GGTTGGAAAGCGCCTGATTAGGGATACGCTAGCAAGTTCCGAGGAACGATTCAGCGGGCTGGCGAAGCAAGTTTTTTTTTTTTCTTCTTTTTGTTTTGCGACGACATAAGCAAAGCGCGTCACAGAGTCGAAGGGTCCTGCAGCTGGTTGCCCTCACCAGTCGACCTTGGAGATCTCGCAATTGGCGGTGCATCGAAACCATGCCATGAGCGCACTCTCTCAAAATGGAATGGTGCGGCCCCGCTTGCTGGCACTGGTCTCCAAATGCCATTGTCACCCCCCATGCTTCCGACCCTTCGTTTGCTGTCTCTCGCCTTACTGCGCTCGCACCCCTTCACCCCCCTGGCAGATTGTTGCCGCCGACTCCAGTACGCCAGTGTCCGACCCACTCACTGATTCCAGTACCATCTGTGCCATCTTTTACACTTCACTTCCTGTCTGAAATGTTCTAACGGACACTGGTTTAGGAAACGGTATCTCTACCCCAGTAGCTGGATCCACACCCCCTTTCGTGATGGCGGAGAAGACCCATAACCCACAACCATGTGGTGGTTAGTAGTCCCTCATCGCCGATTTCTATGGCGCATCGATGATTTCAACCGATCTCCAGGGTCCTAGCTGCCCAGTTAGCCAGAACCGTTCAATCAAATCAGACACGGAACACACACCGATGCTGTTTCTCATCAGTCATGGGGTGCCAGGGCATTCTATTCCTCAGACCAAATCTCCATCCCTGGCCGGGAATTCCATTACATTCACCCAAATACGGATACTGGGGTCGTCTGCCCCCTCCCCTTCTGTCGTCACTGTTGCCCTCTCAACCCTTGGCCTCATGCGATTCCCGCCTTCACCCCCTTCCCTGGACATTAGAGCCATTGAACACATGGATGAACAGCTAGCAGGCGATGTGGTCCCTTTCCCGCCATCCGTACCCTTTGATGTACGTACCTTGCTCTGGTATTCTTCATCAGCTCACCACCACCATACACTATCGAAGAAGTCGCCGCCATCCCCCCAGGAAACCTTGGGCAGTATTCCCGCCTCCTGTCTTTCCCCAGCTTGCGTATCCGCACCCAGGTGCAGTACAGTAGCTAATGCTCGCCCAGCTCGGCGTCCCGCACACACACACACACACACACACACCCCATCTTGACTTTCCCATTCTTCACCCTTCGGTGCACGCATCTACCCCCTCCCTCATTCTCTCTGGTTCCCTCCATCAAATCGACGATTGCGACCCCTAGGGGATCAAGGTTCCTCGTTGTCAACGGGGCCCAACCCACCTCTGCACCATCCTCAGACCCTGAAGACAACGTCGCACCTTGCGCAAAATAGCCCGGCTGATCACAACAGATCACCGATCACGATTGACAGGAACACATCAGTCCGGAGTGGCTGTTCCGGTCGCAGCCTTGCTAGTTGACAACATTCAAGTTGCCGAGCCCTTCAATCAAGGAATCTGTCCACCCTTGCCGCCGTCGCAGCCACTGCCTTAATTCGCTTGCGCAATTCCCGATTGTCCTTGTCCCCATCCTCGTCTCCCTTTCCATTTCATTCCTATCGCTCGGGTCCGGCAGGGCCTCTGGTAGGCCCCATGTCTGGTGTTCTGGCCTTGCTCCTTTGCGCCCGCTGACGTCGCGTCATTTCCAACACACTTTGGTCTCCCGAAGACGAAGTGTCTCCCGCTCCCGTAATTCTGACAACCGACTCCACTTATGCCGGAAACTACAAGGGTGATGGGCTCCCGCTTGGATGCCTGGCACTCAAAGTGCCTGCTTGCACTGAGTTTTAAAACTATGCCGCACCGGATGGATACATTATACATTGGTACCCCTTGGCAAGGTCTGGACGCGTCCGCAACTCAGTCTTCTCCACTCGCAAACTGTGAAGTGGTACCTTCCCCCACCTCAAAATGGAGCTTCGTTATTGGCAAACAGTGTCAGAAGGTTCAGCTCTGCCCCGTGCCGTACAGTGTCTGGCTTGAAGCATACCACGTTGGCGACTGACTAATAGCGAGCTGCAAAATGTTGGCACTTCGCACACTGATACTGACTTGTGAATGGGCCAAAACCAATTGCTCTCAAAACTCCAATCCGTTTTGCCAGGCCATATCGCTCCAACCTCTTGAATGATCTTGATCTTACTGTTGGGATCTCCTAGCTCAAACCTGACCGGTCTGGCTCCATTTAGACGGATGCCTTTTCCCTTCTACTACCGTCCCCTTCACTTCGCATTACAGTTGCCCTCCCATTATCTTGTGATGGTTCGTTCGCGTATCTGTCCCATTTGGGGCACATATTCTAACTGCTGGCGAGCATGTATCAGTGTTGTAGGGCGGGGCGTCGCAAAACGGTAAACATTGGCCAGCGTTGGCCCGTACGCTCGTGAAGCTGAACTGTACCATAGTGTTAACTGTGGCTTGTTAGAAAGGAGGCACCTTACCATGTCCCCTGGGCAAAACTGGCTAGTATGCCGATTTACGATTGGCAATATGTACCATCATCCTCACGTCATTAGTTTCGCATCCCTACGTCTTCCCCGGCTGTAAAATTCACCTCCGGGGGGGCCCGCAAAGTGGTACGTCTTTTGTCCGCTTCCCCAAAGTCTGCTCGGCCACGATTCCGAGTGTCCAGCCAGTAGTGCAATGCCATACGCTATACAGGCTCACCTCAACTGATCAAGGTTCGAATTGCCTTGCACACCCATGCGCAGCTGCATACCTCCGATCTCTAAGCTTGCCATCTGTTCCACGGCACATGAATGGTCTTTAATGCTTATCAGAAGAAGTAGACGTCTGTTGAGGTCTTTAAAGCCGTTGACTTCTAGATATCCGCTTTGCGTTGGTGCTTGAGTCCGATGTGTTAGTTGGTGCGTGGAGGCCTTTACTGTTTTGCCGGCTACGCGGTGCGTAGCCCCTAATTAGATAGTTCTTCACTGCATGGCCTTTCGAACAAGGTCCCTTGTATAGCGCCCCGCCTCCGTAGTGTAGCCTAACGTGCCTGAGGTAAGGCCTCCTCGCAAGTCCTTCCTCCAACAGGGCCCTTCCCTGTGGGCATCAGGACGATCTTTTGGTCCCTGAAGTTCTGGACTCTCTCGCGAGCATGGGTCAGAGCTGCAGCCACAAAGTCAAATTTCAGTGCTACTTTCGAAGCAAAGTGCGAAAGCATGGGATTTCGGGACAGCTGCCTTGAGAGAAGCGTCTACGGTATCAAGAAGGCCATGAGACTAGCCATTACCATGTCCATTTAGCAGCACTTTGTACAGTGGCACTCGAATTGCTTCAGGGTCTTGCGTCCTTCCCTTCCCTTCCTTTCTCCATTGTTACCATAGCGGGGCCGTTACTGTGAGCTGAGGCGCTGTGGCCCCCTCGCTCCTTTCACTCTCACCAACTCTTCCCCTCCCCTCCCCACTCACTTTCTATTTCAAGCAAGGGACAAACCTCTGAGTTTTGCTCCTGGTACGTCATCGTGCCATAGGAATGCATTCCGGCCCCACTGCTCGTTTGGCCGCGGACAAAATTCGCCGAACCTTCTCCTCCAGATGCCGGGCCAACGGGTGCGGTCCGGGCAAAAAAAAAAAAAAAAAAAAAAAAGCCATCAATCTTCGACATGGGGGAAGGTTTAATGCTAGGCAAATCTCCAGCCGAGAGCTGCCAGCAAACAGCGTCCGGGATCCCGTGGGACTCAAGAAAGAGCTTCGCAACGTACACAATAGCAGTTCGTATCCATCGTTGCCAACTTTCTAGCCTCCGATGTCCATTCGACGCGAAGTCTCGCCTTGGATTCTTTCCCAAGGATCCCAAGACTGAAAAATCGAATAAGACAAGAAAAGGTGACAGGACAAAGCGAGAACGGGGACCGAGGACATCGTTTGCGTTTCATGGCTACCCCGGATCTTAGTTTCCTGCAAACACAACGGTCCAACGCCGCCACTCGTGGCAGCGTGAGCTGTTGTCTAGTGCACGGATGATGGGGTTTGAGCTCAACTTCTTATTTTTATTCTTTAACCTCTCCTCCAACTTTCGTTGGGTCCCCATAGCCTTTACCCCAGAACCAAGTTTAAATCCCACCTTGTCTGGGTGTCCGAGCCAGCTGGCTTCAGAGAGGGACAGGCACAGCGGTGTGAATGACAAGAGAAAAAGAGAGAGAGAGGTGTGGTAAGTGCACGCAGAGGAACAACAGTCAAACTCTGTGTTGTTTAGACGTGAGGAACACCCTTACTTGAACTTTGATAAAAGAAGTAAAACGGGGGTGCAGGACATGTCAACCTATCGTTGGCTCGACCAAAGGAACAAATGGGCCGGGAGCGCAGGGGTGAGAGGAGAGGAAAAAGAAGAGAGAGAGAGAGAAAGGCCATCACGGCCCCCAAGAGCTCATTAAACTCTTGACTGACCAAGGTTCCTTAGTTTTCTTCCACTTCGTTGGGGGGACGAGCACGCTCCAGCCCAACTTTAGGACATCATGCCTTGACTGGGGGAAAGAGACAAAGTAGAGACAGGACGGAAGAGACTTTCCATCGGCTAGAATGGCATAGCCGCACAGAGCTCGTACTTCACGACAGGGACAACAAGACAGCTACGTATATGGCAGCTTATTGGGTAGGTTGCACGGACATGTCCCAAAGATGAAGAGTCTTTTGTGGTGAACATTTACAGGCCTATAGCGTTACATGTAATTCTACATCTCAACTTCCAAAATAGAACCCAGGGGAGGGGGGCTCACCGATTCGTCGCTAGAGAGCTGGTGACACCCTCCCCTGCTCTCCTTCTGCGCAATGATGGTGCTCCCATTCCATTCCTCCATGGTATGTCGATTAAGCCACCTTTAAAACCTGCCCAAAACGCCGCACGCCGAACATGCCGGCCGGGCCTCGCCTGCGGCGGACACGGTTCCTTCCACACCCTCAACTGCCGGCGTGAGTGTTCGGGTTAGACATACTTCCAAAACTCTGGTGATTTTCGGCTTTGTAGCCCCATTTTCTAACGCCCTGATTTTCGATTTTCAGCCGCTCCGCGGGGGTGGAGGCCCCATCTTGCCTGCGCCAGTATCTACCTTTTTGTTTGGAGGTAACTCAGGCTTCTTGAAGCCTCCATTGGACGAGCCGCCCACCTGTGTAAAGGTTCCTCCCTTGAACCACCGGTCTTCTTCTGCCTTCCGCTTACGACTGAGTTCAGCCTGGACCTTCGGGTCAACAAGCTCCAGGCCTTGCACTGGTGTAAAGGCCAGCGAAGATGCTGTTCCCGTGGGTGCTCCCAGCGTCGTGCCAACACCAGATGTTCTGAGGCCCTTGCCACGAAGGTCAATGTTGGAGTTTGCCTGCCCAAACCCTCGAAGAGAGGATGCCGCCCCGTTCATGGGTGTTGCGCCTCCCCAACCTTTGTTCTTGGCACTAAGCTTCGCTCTCGTCCGCTGGTCGATTTGCAGATTGCGAATCCGGCCATCGTTGGCTTGACCTATCATGCCCAAGCCTGCAGTGCCCTCTCCTGTACCGTAACCGACCTCTCTTTCCTCCTTGCCAAAGGCCATCCTGTTCTGCGCCTTGCGCAGCTCCGTCATAGCTGTTGCCTCCTTGGCCTTTCTCGCTCTTCTTCCACCGCGCTTGCGTGACGGCTTGTCGTCAGGGACCGGTAGAGCTCGCGGCCCTTTGTTGGGAGGTGGTTCGGTCAGTTTCTCGAGGCGTTCAAGGCATTGCGCTTTGAGATCCTCCCCAGTTGAGCCATCTGAACTTGAGTGTATGCGGTCTACCCGAGCAGCAAGCAGGAGCTTGGCTGCAACAATCCGCATGGCTTGTTTTTTGAGATCATTGGGGATACCTTGGATTATAGGCGAGTGATAAAGAAATCCTTGTTGCCGTATACCAATGTTTGTGGCCAACCCTGCTGCGCCAGCTCCTTTCTTCGAGCCCCATGCGGCGATATTGCAGGAAGGTGTTTTGGATAGGCCAGTAAGCCCTCCCGCAGCGTTCAACAGCTGCGCAGCCGTCAAAGACCCGATCATAGCAGTCAAATTCGGTGCAAACAGGTTCATGCGCGATTGGACATATTCCGTAAGTATTTTTTTCGCCCTGTCCAAAGATATCACCATCTCGCATGCTCTCTGTACTCGCGCGAGCCCATCTGGAGACATTTCTTGACCTTTGGTTGTTGTAGCTTCTACCGTCACAATCATCAAGGATGGGCCGTCAAGAACCGATCGAAGTGACGCCTTGAGGGGGTTATCCGTAGAATGCTGTAGGGTTTTGATGTTTTCTGAGTCCAGTGGTCCATTTCCCAAGATGGCGACGACCTTTGCATATTCCAGCGGGTTGGTGATGAGCGTCTCAAGCTCCGGGAACCGTGTCGAATAGTGATCCCTAATGTACTTGTGCACGAGCACGATCTCGCTGTCGATAAGGGTCGATAGGCTGTTCGACTGCGTGAGGAGGCGGTACTCGGGATGGTCTTCAATGTTGCCGATTAGCTGCGTTGGGGTAGGTTGCGACTGGTAGTGTGCGATTTTCTGTAGCGTTCCAGTCACGAAGTCAGGACTAGTTCTCCCAAGAGATGATGTAAACACAGCTTCTAGTGATAAAGAGAGAGAGAGAGAGATGTATTCGGGGAAATGAACTAACCTCTAATACGGGTTCAAGGGTTTGCATGAGATTCGCGACACTGCGAACGTCGCTCACGCCGCCTAGTTGCATCTTCTCAACCTTTGCTTTGGCGTCTTCGGCATCCTCGACGGGTTCGACGGCGCTTTTCGGCACACCTCCCATCTCTTCATCATCCTCTTCGTCTTCGCTCTCGTCACCATCCAAATCCATAGCGGTCAGCGATTTGCGGTTAGCAGCCTGAGGCGCAAGGTTAAGGCCCAGAGGTTCATTATCATCTTGCTGAGCTTCCTCCCCTTCGGAGCCTGAATCCTCGAAGTCGTTGAGAAGCTCATCCGCAAGGGTAGCCATGATGCCGCGCGCTTCCGTGGTTAGTTCGTGTTTCGAATGATAGCGTATTTATCGGAAGATGGGTGCTAGGGATGTGTGAGTTTGAGAAGACGATAAGTGATATTTCTCGAGCTTTGCGAGGCTGGATAGGCAACTCGCCTCATGAATCCACTTTGATGACCAATGAGGTTGTGTAATTTGGCCTCTAGCCACGCCTCTCTCTTATCGGTGTGGCTGAGTCCCCGATAAGAGTGCTTTTTCACTACCTTGCGTTCAGCCTCGAGCCCAAAGCAACAACATCTGCGTCACAGTAAACATCGTCGCAAGCTGTCAAGCTTCGAGTCGCAAGCAACGACGCGCTTTTCCCGTTCTCCACAGCATCCAATTCGTCCTATAAGGTTCCACTAGGTTGATCGAAAAGACCTTTTGCCCATCCGAGGTAACGCGCCCGAACGACGTGTCCCGGACCTACCGCGACCATGGAGGCGTCAAGAGGGCCGCCAAAGGTCAAAAACAAGGCCCCGGCGCCTGTCCAGATTTCTGCGGAACAGCTTCTTCGTGAAGCTGTTGACCGTCAAGAGGTTGCATTGCAAGCACCCACCCAGCGCTTTGCAGATCTGGAGGAACTGCACGAATTCCAAGGACGAAAGCGAAGAGAATTCGAGGACTATGTCCGACGGAACCGAGTCAACCTCAATAATTGGATGCGATATGCAGCATGGGAACTCGAGCAGAAGGAATTCGCACGTGCAAGATCGATCTTTGAACGCGCACTCGATGTGCATCCTAATTCGGTTCCTCTCTGGATCAGGTACATCGAATCGGAAAGTAAGTAAGCATTTGAAAATAACCACAGGCGTGCTAACGATTGCAGTGAAAAATCGTAACATTAACCATGCGCGAAATCTACTTGATAGGGCAGTCACTCGACTGCCCCGTGTTGATAAGCTATGGTACAAGTACGTTTATATGGAGGAAATGCTAGGCAATGTGCCAGGTACCCGCCAGGTTTTCGACCGCTGGATGCAATGGCAGCCCGATGAGGCGGCCTGGAGTGCCTACATCAAGCTGGAGAAGAGGTATGGAGAATACGATAGAGCCAGGGATATCTTCAGGGCGTTCACCCTCGTCCACCCGGAACCCAGAAACTGGATCAAGTGGGCACGGTTTGAAGAAGAGTTCGGTACCAGTGACATGGTACGCGACGTCTTTGGCACAGCCGTCGAAGAGCTAGGCGACGATTTCGTCGACGAAAAGCTGTTCATTGCATATGCTCGCTTTGAGGCGAAGCTAAAGGAGTACGAAAGAGCTCGCGCAATCTACAAGTATGCCCTAGACCGACTGCCTCGGTCAAAATCTATGGCCCTTCACAAAGCCTACACGACATTCGAAAAGCAATTTGGAGACCGGGATGGTGTCGAGGATGTTGTGCTCTCCAAGCGTCGCGTCTTCTATGAAGCCCAGGTCAAAGAAAACCCAAAGAACTATGATACTTGGTTCGACTACACGCGGCTCGAGGAGACCGCAGGTGAGCTGGACAGGGTACGGGATGTGTACGAGAGAGCAGTTGCTCAGATTCCGCCGGCACAAGAGAAGAGATTCTGGAGGCGTTACATCTATCTCTGGATAAACTACGCCATTTTCGAAGAGTTGCAGGCAAAGGATTTGGAAAGAGCTCGACAGATTTACAAAGTGTGCTTGGACTTGATTCCTCATAAGAAGTTCACCTTTGCCAAGATCTGGTTGTTGAAAGCCCAATTTGAGATACGGCAAGGTGAGCTCACAACTGCTCGAAAGACTCTCGGCCAAGCCATCGGCATGTGCCCGAAAGACAAGCTGTTCCGAGGTTATATCGAGCTGGAGCTGAAGCTGTTTGAGTTCTTGCGATGCCGAACACTGTACGAGAAGCACATTGAGTGGAATCCTTCGAATTGCCAGACATGGATCAAGTTTGCTGAGCTCGAGCGTGGTCTCGATGACTTGGACCGTACCAGAGCCATATTCGAGCTGGCGGTCAGCCAACCGGTTCTTGACATGCCCGAATTGCTGTGGAAGGCGTACATCGACTTCGAGGAAGAAGAGGGCGAGTATGAGAGGACGAGAGAGCTTTACGAACGCCTTCTTGAGAAAACGGATCACGTCAAAGTCTGGATTAGTTACGCTCACTTCGAGCTCAATATTCCGGAAGATGAGGAAGAGGCGGAAGAGGAAGCACCTATCAGCGACGAGGCAAAGGCAAGAGCGCGCAAAGTGTTCGAGCGCGCGCATAAGAGCATGCGGGAGAAGGAGCTCAAGGAGGAGACGGTCACGCTTCTCAACGCGTGGCTGTCATTCGAGAGAACGCACGGCGCTGTGGAGGACATGGAGAAGGTGCAGAAGCTGATGCCGCGCAAGACGAAGCGCAGAAGACGCTTGGAAGACGACAGCTTCGAGGAGTATATCGACTACGTTTTCCCGGCAGACGACAAGCAAACACAAAACTTGTCAAACTTGCTGGCCATGGCTCAGGCCTGGAAGCAACAGGGAGGAGATGCCACAGCATAAAGCTGTATTAGGGAAATTTTGTTTTTGTATCAATACCACCCAGCGCCAATGTTCTTGGCATGATAACGTCACTGAAAGTTCAAACTGAGTTACCCTACGCGTAAAAGGCTGAGACAAACTGAACTACGTCTCATTCATTGCATTTATGCTCAACAAATCACCTCGCTATTCTAGTCATTCAGTCACGACGTGATTAGGTTTGTAGATAGCCAGTGTCGGGTCAGGCCGTTTTCCATAGGCCTGGCCAATGAAGGGCTACGGGAAGAACGGCTGTAGAACACTTCATCGAGATGAGCAAAAATACCACTGAATAGGTCCAAAGATGTGTCGCCAATCATCATTGCAGCGTGGATGGGGCACACGAGTACAACATCAGTGGGGCAGTTAAACATCTATACATAATGTAAAGGCACAAGATGGGACATGATTAAGACCCAAAAATGTACGATGATGTCATTAGTTGGCTGATTTTCTCAGCCTTCGCGACACCAAGGCGCCACGGTGTGCACGACCCGTCATTCCCTTTTCCAAAGGAGCTCGAGACCTCTTCCAACCAACTTGCAGATGTACACTACGCACGCCAAACGTACCTGGGGAAAATGAGCAATACTGGATTTCGCCCATGTTTACGGAGCTGTCTCTGAAAAAGTTTCGAGATGTATCGAGCACAGCCAAGAGAAAGAGGCATAAACACCAATATTACCTCAAGGACGGGGAAGACATTGAAGTCTAGACAATTCTTCGTCTTTCCTTCGAGACCACCCCGCACCTCCTTGACTCTAGTGTGAACCAGCCATCAGCCAATAAGCCGCTGCTGCAGTTTTGTCCGGCAAACGGGGCAAAAGGACGCCTTATACGTAGCATGATACCTGGGTATGCAGCGGCATCAAGATGCAGTTGAATCAGGCAATCCCTCGCGGAGGCGTTAACAATCCTCTTTTTTTTTTTTTTTTTTTTTTTTTCCTTTCGTTTTTCACCGAGTCGTCGGATGTCACGGGCTAGTGTGAAAAAACCTGGAGCCGCTAGCCTGCTAAACAGTCCCTAAATAAGAATCTGCGCATGTCGGCGGATCACAGACTCTGTAGAGAGAGAGGAATGTAAGGGCTGGAAGTCCATGCCTCATAACTGAATCGGAAACTACAAACCCTGCCTGTATAGATCGCAAAGCAAAATGCCCATCCGTCATCCATAGAGAAGAAACTGAAAAGTAAATGAGAGACTAATAGGAAAGAGAAGGCCGTAAATCAAGCAAAGCAGTTCGGGCCCGAGGAGGATCATGTCCGCCACGGCCCCATCCAGGATACTGCAGGTTGGCTTGAGAATCATGACCCATAAAGCCGACATTGCCGTCATATCATCATCCCGCATATGTCCCCTACTGCTTCCGACCATTTCCCCAAATCTTTTACCCTCACCGCTGCCTGTCTGCTCCGCACTAGCAAAAACATGCCCAGTCTGTCTCAGGAACAAGGGTCCATTCCCACCAGGTTCATTTCGCTCTTCGGTCTGTCTGAAACCTCCTCCAACCTGAGGCGCTACGGTGGCCAGACTTTCCGAGCCAGCTATGCTGGCTCCAATGGAACCCTGGCGATCAGTCTCGATCTCGGTTTTGCGGGCCCCAGTCGTACTTTCTTTCGTCTGAGCTGCATGTTGTCAGATTTCCTCCGGTTGGCACAGTCATCCGCCTGATGAGAAAAGTTGCCGGTTAGCACCGAAGCGACTGGCGATTGTTGATGGTGATGGCCGATTAGTAACGGCGACGATCTGTCACAGTACAATTATGATCAGTTATGGTTCGTAGTACAACAGAAATTGCATGTAGATTCAGCAAACAAAAGGGAGAAGGGGAATCCATCTATCTGAGTAAACGCAATGCAAGGCGGGTGGCTGCGAGAGGCCTTTTGTTGAACGCCATTTATGTATCCCAATTCACACTAATGCTTCCCTCCCAGTCTTTCAGATGTAACTGGTTCTTCATGTATTTTGTGCAAAGCGGCGTTCATCATGTCGTGCAAAGACAAACAAGACACAGTAATAAAAGGTTCGTAAGAGCATCAAGTCGTTAAGTCTGGGGAAACAATTGAGTATGGCGTTGAATCTGCGCGTCGAGTGGCAGACAGACGAGCAGGGACCAGCCTCACCTCCTGGGGTCATAGCCGACAGGAGGTGCGGGCAAGGGTCCGGCAGAGTATGGGTTGTCATCCATATAGACGGGTCCGTAATCATACCGATCTGCTCGAGGAGAAGATGAGGTATACCAGTCGTCAGCCCTGCCTCTTCTGCCACTACCGCCGCCGTTGATCCGTCTCTGCCGCTCAAGTCGTTTCTGATGCCGTAGTGCCTTCTCTTGTTGAAATTGCTTGCATTCATGGGACATCTCCTTCGCCTCCTTAAGCTCTGACCAGGCACCTTTGATGCCAAGAGCAGCAATTCCAACAGAGGCAGCGTCTTGTAACATTGCTTTCGTCTTGAGCTTCTTGGCTTCCTGTGGACTTAGTCTTCCCTCCCTCACAGCCTTTTGTCGAGCATTGCGTTTTTCCATACTCTGATAGACACCATGCGCCGCATGAATGGTGGCAACGGCCGCAAGGCCAGTTGTAATCACTTGCTTACCTCTCATCTTCCTTGCGCGTTTCTCATCATCGTCCGAGTCTCCGAGATCAGAATCGGAGCTTGCGTTTGATCGAGCACCTCTACGTCGGGAGCGGTCCCGACGTCGGCTTGTGTAGGAGGATCTGTCATCGTCATATGCATCTCTTGCACCGCGACCGTAGCCTCTGTCGTAACCATCATCGTATTCGTCCGAGTATCTCCGGTTCAAGCCACGACGGGAACCTCTGTCATCATAGCTGCTGCCGTCTCGTGAATGCCTGTCTCTCTCCCTATCCTCAGGGTCACTACCGATGCCAATCTTGGCAAGCTTCTTGCGGGCCGAGTCTACGACGCTGCGGCTTCTGCTTCTGCTTCTTTGACGTCGACCGGAGCGGCTAGATGCCCGGCTGTCGTAGGAGTCGGCACTTCGGCCCCTACTGCGGGAACGGGCATTCTCAATGGCCTTTTTTGCGCCAAATGCACCCAGTCCGGCAGTTGCCAGAGCAGCCAATCCCGGTCCGCCTCCACCCTCTGACCGAGCGCGAGAGCGGGATCTGCTGCGACCGGTCCGGCGGTCCTCCTCAATATTACGCTTAGATCCGTTGATAACACGGTTGCCAACAAGACCTCCGATGACAGATTCAGCCAAACCAAGCTTGCTCTGCTTCTCGCCGCTCTGGGCGGCATCGATCGTAGCAGCACCGGCAGCCGCAGTGAGAATGCGCTTAGTCTTCTCACCCTTCCAGCCGCCTGGTTCCTTGGCGACGCGGAAAGCCTCAGTAGCTCCGGCAATGAGAGATGCCATTGCTGCCTTTTGCATCTTGTTGGCGGCTTCCCCGCCTGGGCCTCGAGACTTAGACCGAGAGCCTCTCGAATCGGGGCTACCTCGACGGCTCCTGGTATCGCTACGCCTGTCATCATGATGACCCCCAGCGGCGCCTGTAAGGGCCTTGACTGCGACTCCTAGACCGGAGGCCGCCAATGCGTTTTCCAAGAAGGATTTGGAACCCTTCTTTTCCTTTTCCGTCTCTTCGTCAGAGTAGTACTCCGTGACCTTTCCATCACGGCCACGGTGCAGAACGTAGGTGGAGTTTTTATCTTCCTTCTCTTTGTGTTTGTTGTAAAACTCAGCGCCTTGGTAACCCGCAAGTGCTCCGGCAGCCCCGAGAGCAGCGGACGTCAGGTAGTTGCGTTCGACATCGCCGCAGTGCTCCTTAGCCTCGCGTCGGTCATAGAGTTCCTTGCCACCAAAGGCCAGGGCGGCACCGGCGACAGCGGCCAGGATTTTTTCTTGCTGATTAAGCACACGCTTGCGAGACCTCTCTTCCTCTTCGTAGTAGACACTGCTGGCCTTTTTACCGCGGCGATCGTAGTCGCGATCATAATAGCCGCGGTCCCGATCATCGTAGCCCCGGTAGTCGTCATAGTAGCCGGGTTCCGCTGAGCGAGTTCTTCGAGCGTCTCTGTACCCAGGAGGGGGAAAGTCGCGGCGAACCTCCTCAACAGAAAGATCACTCTCCTCTCTGCCGCGGGGAACAAGTTCGCGGGAGGGGTAAACCTTTAGGTACGGGTCGTCGGCATACCGAGGGTCGATTCTCTCCTCACGACGCTCCTCGCGCACGTAGCGGCGAGTGCGCTGAGGTTCGTAGTCGTAGCTCATAGCAGCTGATGAGGGTGGGCTCAAGAGCCGACCAGGAAGGCTCGTCAACGGGTTGTATTGGCGCGGGGTATGAAAGGTGGGTGTTGAGTAATGTGAAGGGTGGCGTGCAGATTCAAAGCCAGCACCGAAGTATGATAGTGCGGATGAGAGTTATAGGTTCGTATGCCTGGATGACGAACTTTTGCTTGGACAGCAGTCGTGTTTTTATGAAGCGCTTTGAGTAAAAGGCAGGAAGAGCAGGACTTGAAGTGCAGGTAGGAGGGGAAGAAGCGATGACCGCAGACCAGGGTTAACCAGGGCTGGAAGTGCTGGTGGTGGTGGGTGGGCAAGGGTCCGCAAGACGGGTAAGAAAGGCAATCAGGCGTGGACTGTTAAGACAGTTTAGGTAGAGCAGCCTGCCAGAAACAATGAGACCAGGCAGGCACCGCATCATAGGCAGGGTTGGGTGGCCAAAGACATGGATGCAAATTCTTGACGACTCAGCGTCGCAACTCGCAGCATTGCAGCGGGAAACGCAAGTACCCTTCCATCCCATGCACTGTAAGCCGGTACCTGGACCCCTTAGGTCCGGCCTGAATAAGTGTCCATCTAAGCGACACATTCTATTTACAAAGTCATTTGGCTTCGCACGCCGTGGCATAGGTAAAGAGAAATGACCCTGAGTCTCCTTTTTTCCCCCCTATTCATGCTTCCCCCACTGGGCCATGTCCACATCGGCTGGGCATCAAGAGGGACGCTGGTCAGGCTGTCTAGTGCACAAGAAACCGCTTGGTGCGCATCTAAGTGGCCTCAAAAGACGGGTGTTCCCTGCGACAAAGCTGATGCCGTCCGCTCCTGGTGTTCTTTTCGGTGTGTTGGGAAAGCGGCGGAAATTTGGGGGAAATCCCAAGCTCCGAGGCTCTGACTATCCTAGCCCCAGAAGCTAGCTGCTTCGCGGTGAAACCTGTCGCGCTGTGGAAGATACGTTTATACACAGTAGCAGAGCCATCCGTGTGCACATATGGGACCCCCAATGTTTCTGGCAGTGCAGCTGCACTCCCAATCTCGGTGCATGCAGCACCCTCCACTGTTTCGCACAACCTGCAACTTGTGATCAGTGGCACCTGGAGGGAGGGTGGAGGACGGGCGAGGCAGCAACTGAAATGATATCATAACGGGAGGCTCATTGGCCACTTATAAGTAGGCATCCAGGAATGCGCCTAGCATATGGGCCGAGCGCGCCAGCGCAGAAACCCCAATGGTATATGGTCGGCAGGCTATAGCCAATCCAGTCCGGCTTTCTGGACAAGCAGTTCCGCCATTGGTGAACGGTTCGGTATGCCCGTTGTTGGAACTCTCAGTAGGCCTTGATAGTGCATATTGTATTCTATACCTTACTACAAGGATGTCACAAGGACAAATTGCTCATTTAGTTGATCCTGCTGTCTTGGGGTGACTGCTTCTTTTTTTAAATATGGATCGTTTACTATGGCCCTTCCTCTTTCAGGTATACTAAATCGGGTAGGGCATGACGACAACCATGTCTTGTCGATAACCTAGAACAGAATCTCGCAAACTAATAGACTACTGTAAAATACATTCGAAATGGCCATTGAATGGATGCGATGGTTGCTACTCAGTTGGTGTGGATAGAACATATAAGAAACGGCTGGCGAGACACTGTTGATAGGTAGGGGTAAACGGCTTTGCCCCGCGATGGCTGCGCTGAGGGGAAAGGGAGGGGCTTGTGTACTATTATGAAGTGTGTCGTGTCGCCCTGGAGCCCGGGATCCCGTGACGTAATGCCCCCCTCCCTTCCATGCTGAGGCTGGGCAGTATGGTACGTGGCGCAGGCAGAAGGCCCCTGGGTCCGCTTGCTGACTTGAGGTATCCAACATTCTGGCATTTGGGTGGGAGCCTGACCTGCCACACGTGGCTGGTTGGCTGCTAGCTGCGACGAAACGCCCGACTCCACGAATTGTATAGGCACCCCCAATCCATCGTCGGGGGTTGTTGGTTCCTCTCAGCCAATTTTCCCTCTTCGGGACTTGTTGTGGCTTAGCTTTTGCAACTTCGTTTTTGTTCTCGTCCGGATGAGCCACGTGGTGTGTGTGGCAGGGAGGCCTTGAAGTGTTATACCCTTTGAGAAGAACTCGACTGGTTGCTTCGCTGGTAACGGGAGAAACGGTAAAACGTACCGCGGGCGGGGACTCCTTGTACTTGCTAACGGTGCAAAAAACACTGCAGTTGTATGATTCGGCCAGCACCAAATGGCCCTGACCAATGATGTAATAGTTCTGCTGGGGCCAGTCAGCTACCCGCCAACAACATCCCTCCTCCCACACTCAGCTCATCATCCACACTCCAGCAGTACTTACCTCGTTGTAAAATAAGCATCATCAAAGTCAGTCGAAATCATAGAATGCGAACGAGGTTTACGACAGCTAAACCTTAAAATTGGCAATGTGGACATGTAGGCAGGCAGGCTGAGAGAAGGGTTCTAGTCGCCGTAGGTGGGTAAAATGCTGTCGCCTTGTCGTACAATCACAGAGACTGATGCGTTGGCATGTCCATTCTCTTCTCGGCCGCAATTTCATCCTTGCTCATGTTACCAGCCTCCCAATGCTCTTCAACCCATTTCACGATCTTGGCCGGCAAACACGCAACCTGGCGCCAATCAGGCCCCCTACTTGCTCGCTCCCGCTCAAGGGAGCCAATACCACAATGCCATTACCCGTGTCCTGGTTCGACATGATCATGGCCGTCGTGCGAGGCGACCTTCGGTGATGTGATTCGGTAGGAGTAACTTAGCATACGCAAGCAACTGAAGCAGTTCGCCGCCAACGTCACTCTGGGAAGCTGGCCGGCCTCTTCTTGCCTGTGTTCTGCCTTGCTTTCCCCCCATTGTGTTTCTGCAGCCTCTACACGCTCCCTGTTCAGTCGCCCACGCTGCTGATGTCGCTTCCACTGCCGTTGCTGCCACTAGCTTGGCTAGCTGCAAGGCCTGCCTGCAAGGGCAGCATCTCAACCCAACCTCCACTTTCCAAGGAAGACCGGGGGGCTCATCAAGATTTTTCCACCTCTTCTCCCCTCACAGAACCCGGCCCGCAACTCGCAATTCGCTTCCACAACCGCTGTCGCCATGCCAATGCCTCCCGATTAGTTATGGTCTGGTTGTACCCGGCCCAGCTTCACCACGTACGGCGTCATTTCTGTGCTTGACCGCACCACCAAGCTTCCATAACATAGTATTTAAACAATAACCTGTCGGCCGCCCATGGTAGATTCCCTTCTTCATCTCTGCATCCAGTTGTCGTTCCTCCTCTTGTTCGTTACGGCGATCGATATCCCTTCAAAGCAGTCCAGTTGTTCTTGTCCAGCCAACTTGCGACAACCCCCATCACGAAAATAAAATAAAATAAAGATAACAAAAAACAAAAGCCAAAAGCCAACGCCGTTTCAAAACAAACAAAATGCAGTCTGCAATCCTATCTTTGGCTGTTGCCGCCAACGTCGTCGCCGCTGCCGGCCTTCAACCCCGGGAAGCTGTGTAAGTCGTCTTCTCTCACGAACTACGCGGATGGAGGAGGAGGGAGATTTCCAAAATCCTGCATGCTTACGGAGACTGACAACGTTGCGGTTAGCTCCGACGCCGCTGCCTTCACCTCCGCCGCCGACGCCCTCATATCGTCCTACATTCCCGCTAATGAATGGGCGGCTCTGACCTCGGCTGTCGGTTCCGCTGCGAGCGCAGCCGGTGTCACACAGGATGTAAAGGATCTCATCTATTCGGCTCTCAAGGCCACCGATGCCCCGCAGTGGTTCGATGGAGCTGTTCCAACTGCTTACTCCAGCCAATACGCCGCCCTCGAGTCCGCCATTGACAATCTCCGCCCCACCGTTACCGTCCCGGCTCCCGGCCCCGTGACCACCGTTCTCGCCGTCACCACCACCGATGAGAACGGCAGCACCATTGTCGCCAGCGTCACCACTACCATTGTTCCGACCCCGACTACTATCACCACCCAGGTGGTTCCCACACCCAATATCAGCGTCGTCACCGGCACCGATTCAGCGGGCAATGCCTACACCTCCACCATTGTCGGCACCAACGCTACCGAATCTGCTGCCACCACTGCGTAAGATGCCCTTCACTTTCATACCCGTCCTCCGTCTCCTTTTCTTTCTTCTTGCTCATACCTTTTTACAGCACTGAGACCGTCACCACCGGCGGAACCGCTACCGAATCCGCCACTGTGACCGAGACAGGACCTGATGCCACCGGCACTGAAGCCTCTGGCACTGCGGCTTCTGGCACTGCTACTGGCACTGATGCCCCCGCCCAGACCAACGCCGCTCCGACCGCCGTGGCTAACAGCCTTGCTGGTGTCGCCGCTGTCGTCGGTCTCGTCATGGCCCTCTGAAAAGGAGATGTTACACCCGGGAAATGAAGATGAGAGAAGCCTTTGAACCCGTGGAGGATTGGAATCTCGAAGCGAGTCAATGGCACCGAAGGAATGTACATAATGACCACGTTTCCCAAACGAACTCGCTGGTGTCTTCAGCACATTGCCACGGCAATGATCGAAGGAAGACGATAATCTGCCTTGGATGGCAAAAAACGTAATGAGTAATACGATACGATTATGAAAGGATTCAGGATTTTGCCCCTCTAGTCAAATATTCTTACCATCGTCTTCTGCAATGTTACGATTCGAATCAGGCACGCGTCTTTTCTTCTTTTTTTCTTATATCTGAAAGAGGGGACTATCTCAATAAGCCATCCATACCTGACCTTGACATGTTCATTACAAAGTATGACGGCAGCAGTCGCCGAAGACACATGAAGCAAGGCACATCTAATTCAAGCCCTCCAACTTCAGAGATAGCTGAACAACATGTTATCCACATACACCCACCGCAAAGGTACTCGGTTTACCGCGTAAACGCCAATCACTCCATATTTATTCATTTTTTGGGTCCTATTCGTACAAACGACACCAGCCAATTTGTTGGACGATGGTGCTCTCTTCGTTTCCATATGATGATGAGCGAGAAATGAGAGAGAAGTCTAGAACCATGAACCACCGCCTCCAATCCCTCTTTGACCGCTCGAATGCATTTCGTATCCCCATTGTTCCTAAAAGCATGCAGTAGCTATGTGCAATAAAAGGAAGAAACTTTTTTCTTCGTCTAGCAGCAAAAGGCGAGAAGAGAGAAGCAGAATCCCAGCGAGGTGTAGTGGAAAAGACCAAAAAAAAAAAAAAAAAAACAAAAAAAAGACCAATACCCATGAATGAAAGTAGGCCATCGACTGTGCTGTCAGGCCTATACCGAGTACGCCGGAGAAGAGACTTTCATCATAGTATGTTTCCGTGAAGGCTGGGAAGGGAGGGGGCAGCGGCACCTCAACAGATGATATTGCCCCACTGCTCGCCCAGAATTAATCCACCTGCCCATTATTTCTGAACCGAACCTTATTCTTAGGTATGTCGCTGGCCATCCAGCAGGAAACCTCTCTGCCGTTTTCCCTTCCCGAGAAAGCAAGGAACTTTTCCAACCATTGATCGAGGACAAACAAATCAGGCTCGCCTTAACTGATACCAAGAAATTTTGCAGATTCAGTGATACTCGGAGATCAAGATACTACCCAAAATCCGGCAGCAATTGATTGCAATCCCTCTTGCGTTTGGCAGCTGTTGAAAAAATTCCCACAAAGTTGCATAATTCGTCAAGCAATTTTTTCCTGTCGCTCCTGGCCAGCGTCATCTCTCACAACGCCCCAGCACTGGCAGCTAGCTTCTTCGCTTCTCCGTATAGGAACTCCAAATTGTTCAGAGGCCAGTGGCTGTAGTTGTCACCCGCCTCAAGGATCGTTTCGTAATAAGCAATCAAATTTTCAAGCCCGACAGTGCTGCCCATCTTCCCCGTGGTGTCCGCCACTGCATATGCCCGGAACTCCTCAAACATCTCCAAATCAAAATGCCGGGCCAAGAAGTGAGACCAGAACCGATAAAGTGATATCATCTCGCCAGGAATGGCACGAGGAACGCCTTCGGCGTTCCTGGCCAAAGCGTCTCGCCGTTTAGAGAGCGCGCGTGTACGAAATTCAGGATACGGGACGTCATCAATATGTGTCTCCGTTACCCGCATCACTAGGTGCGTGCGTTGCGATGGACTCGAGACGCAGCTAACATTGCTTTCTCCTGACGTTACCTCACCGCCGCAGGCCTCTTCACACCCTTCTTCCAACTAGGACTGAAGGGCTTCGGTGGACTGTGAGTGGTTTCCGTTCGTTAACGGGACGTCCTCCTGAGCCTCGGCAGCGCCATTGACAAGAGGCTGAGTCTTCGACCCAGCGTTCGTATCAGTAGAGCCATCGACAACTTGCTCAGATGAGGTGTTCGGCTGAAACTCGGGTACCTGGGCAGAGAGCCCTGTGCCGTTAAGCACGCCGTTTTGTCCGGCGGCGGCGTCAGCAGGGTAGGACACATAGCCGTTCTCGACGCCGTTGGTGTATGCGGTAGGGGAAGTGACCGAGTAGTCGCCCATCATTCCGTTCGGGTAGGGACTCATGGCATGAAGGGAACGAGGGTAGAAGAACTGGGGTCCCGCAGTGCGTGCAGACTCAAAACGTTGCTCCATGCTGGGGTAGACGAACTTCTGCCAATGGGTGCGTGAGCGAATTCTCTCAACATGGTCATCTCCGACGACATAGTCTAACTGGGTGCACTCGGTGCAGACTGCGCGGAGAGTCTGGGGGTCGGCAGCCTCGCGAACTCTGGAGAAACCCAGCACAAGTTCCAAGGGGACAAAGCCCTGGCTGTCCATGTGTTTGCGCAAGAACTCGTCCTTCAAAAGGTTCTCGATGGAGAAATAGTACTCCAATTGAGGGATGAGGATATGTCTAACTTGCTCATACCATCCGGGGTAAGAGGAAGGAGTCATGGGCACAGAGTAGTCCCAGGGGCCCTGGCTAACGTTGGTCTGAACTTGGCGACTACGGTTCGCATTCGAGCCGCCAACTCCACGGAAAGCCCCAGAAGAGTTGGATTGACCACGGCCACCACGGCCACCACGAGACTGAGAGCCCCCGTACGACGGGGGGAAGTTGCCACCCTGGTGTAGAGGAGGGCTGTTGTACTGACGAGGGCCCTGTGAGCCGAACGAGGTGCCGTTAGCCATGAACGAAGACTGCTGGCCGTGCAAGGGCACATTTCCAGGGTGACCTCCACGACCGCGGTAGCCACCGCGACCTCTATCACCTCGACCCTCGCCTCTCTCACGGACAGGTCCTGCCTGCTCCTGTACCATGGTAAGTTGAAGTAAGGCAACGGACAGTTGGTAGGATAACTTACAGTAGTTGTATTCGACGACTCCTTGGTGCGCTCGCCAGAAGCGGGGGCAGACGCCTTGCGCTGCTCCTTGGCGTTGGAAACATCCATCGAGGCTCGTTTGTTAGCAGCGGGGGGTTGCGAGTTGGTTCTGGCCGGGGTGTTGCCATCTCTGGTACGCTCGCGTGCCTCGGCTCCAGCCTTGGATGTAGCCGCAGCACCAGCAGGCTTGTCGGCAGCGGCGGCAGCGCCGCCGTGGCCTCCTCTGGAGGTGACGTCTCGGCCACCACGAGCACCACCACGTCCTCCACGGGAACCTCTCACCGAAGGGATAGGGGTCGAGAACTGGACACTTGGCACGAAATCCATGCGCTCCCACTTGTCCTTGGAACGACCCTTAGGGCCGGACTCATCCTGGGCCTCAGCCTCAGGCCGCTCAGCCTTGTCGGTGGGCTTACGCTTCTCCTCCTTAACAGTCTCCTTGACCGCCGTCTCCGGCGTGGGCCACGAGGAAACGTCGTTGACAGATGGGGGAACCTCGGTAGTGCGGTTATCTTTTTCCGTCAACCTGGAGCCGCGAGCACCGTTCCTTCTAGCAGCGGCATCACCGTCGCCGGCCTTGCGCTGAGCCTTGGTACCATTTACGGCGCCATTTGTGGTCTCAGAGCCTTCAGCAGTCTTGCCCTTCTTCTTAGACTCCTGGCTATTAGGCCAGGCATCAGTAGCAGGGGCTGCACTAGGCTCAGATCGGACAGGGGCGGAATGGGAGGGCAGAGTGATGGAGGTCTTCGCAGCCTGCGTCTCCTTCCTTTGCATCCAAATGTTGACTGTAGGCAGCGGTGCCTCAATCAACTCAATCTTGGGCTGTTCCTTCTCCTGCTCCGCTGCCTTATCCTTCTTGGATTCATCGCCAGATTCCTTTCCAGCCTTGCCCTTTCTCGGCTTCCTAGCGCCCTTCTTCGGCTCGGCTTCATCGGTCACGCGAGTAGATGCGCTTGCCGACCTGACACTCTTGTCGCTACGTCGGGCAGAGCTTTCGGTGGCGGCGTCCTCATCATCACGTCGAGAATCAGCGACAGAGGCAGCAGCGGATGTGTTGTTTGTAATGTTGACCTCAGCCTGTGCGGAGGCGTCCTGTTTAGCGGACAGCTGAGCCTTGAGGCTCGTATTTCTTGATGTGTCGTCTTCAGCAGAGCCGGCTTTGACAGTGTCGGGTTCAGCGGTGGGTTGTTCGCCGTTCGCTGAGGTCACAGAGTCCTTAACATTCTCAGCACTCTGGGTGGCCGGTGTCTTGGCCCCTTGACCCTTGGCGGCTTGAGCGTAAGAGAATGCAGTGGCCATTATGTCTGATGCCGAGGCTGATGCAGAAATGGACAAGCCTTTGAAAAGTATTGGGGGTATTTCGGACCAGGGAAGACGGTCAACGGATCCGATCCTACCAGGCCCCGGGTTAGGTAGCCTTTAAACGGCTTCCGTGTATCCTGCTGTGAGGGTAAACCGAGGTCTACCAACAACTCCTCGGACGGAGACAGACCAGAGAGGCGAACCAACCTCCCCGTGTGGTCTATTTAGAAAAAGTCGAACGACGGACGATAGTGCCGCTGGAAGAGGCTTCGGTGTCGATTGACGTCGTCGGCAAGTCGTGAATGACTGTTATTGCCCAAAGGTGTTAGGACAGGTTGGTCTTTCCAGTGCGGTTAAGCCAGGCAGACTGCAGTACAGGGCGGGTGCGGGGGGAGAGGAGGTGAAGAAACGAGTTTCCGACAGAGCCACACGGGCACCGTATTGAGCAGGAAAGCAATCGCACGATAAAAAAGTGTGGAGGGTTCCTGGGAAGTTTTGGGCTTCGTACCGTGTAGCGGACAACCGTTGAGTGGGAGTCAACGAAATATGGTGGGCTCAAGGTGAAAAGGCGAGACGTCCGGAGATGGTCGGTTTGCGGCGATCTAAGGAAAAATATGAACGACGGGTAAACGCAAAGCTTCGATTGGAGGGTTTGTTGGCCTGAGGGGTCTTCGCTGGTCTTGTAAGAATTCGTCTGCTGTAGGCAGCGGAACGGAGTGTCAGCCCAGCAGGACAAGAAATGAGAAGACTGACCACAAAAATTTACCAGGGAAGGTAAGTTTGTGGAGGAGAGGGAGGGAGAAAGTTGTGTGGTTGTGGAAGAGGAGAGGGAAGGAAGGTTACAGGAATAAAATCTGAGGCCCGAGTTTTTTTTTTGTGAATGAATTTTTTTTTCTTTCTCGGGAAAGCCACTACCAGGTTGGCACTTGAGGTAAAAGGTGGAGGCAGCTTGTTGACCTGACTTTTTTAGCGGGGAGGGGGAGGGGAGATACGGTGACTGTGACTGTGACTTTGAGGACTTGAGTAGGAATTTGCCTGTGACTGGCAGTGGAAGAGCGAAGAGCGGTTTAGAGACGGACAGTAGTAGGTGCCACCACTGGCTATACGTTGTCCACTTGGACATTTGTTTTGAGAATATTTTGCCCATTGTCACTTAAACCCCCTTACGCCTCAGGTAACGGGGTATGAAAGGCTGGGGGCTATGGGAAAGGTGATTCATGCGCCTATGAAAGAGTACACCCAGTCTGGGCTCATCAGTCGGAGGGAATATGCGCTGTGATCAGGCACCTGAGGGCGATTCACCTAGGTGTCTCAGGCACTGTAGGGTGCGCTGGCCCTGGGCACCTTCAGGCTTCGTCTCGTACAGTCCGCCCATGTTCTTCCCGTGATGGTGGGGGTACCTGGGTAGGTACCTACATGTCTACGGTTTCGAGCACAATCGGATGGACGGGCGGATGGGCGGGCGGGCGGTGACCGAATTATTGCCCTCTTGAGGGCAGGCAGGCGAAGCAGAGACAGGGAACGGACGGACAAAGTGACCGTCAACCCCAGCCAGTAAAGGAAGACGGATACGACACAACGGGGGGGGGGGGGGTGTCAAGTTGCCGCCCTGCCTACCAAAGGCAGAACTAGAATCATTACTGACAGGGCTGCAACAACACCAGCAGCAGGGCGGGCAGCTTTTTCGGGCCCGTAGTACCCCTCTCCCTAACCCCTCCCCTCTGGGTAAAGTGCTTTTGTAATTACCTCCACCAAGAAAGATATTGAACTCTCTGAATTACCTCACCACACACTCTCTCTCTTTCTCCCTGTGCACCTCAAATCATATCCCGGCGCGTTGTTGTTATCACCACTCTTTCTTGCCTTAAGGCTGTTACCTTCTGCATGCGTACACTCATCCCCTCCTCCGGCTCCTTGTCGCCTATGGTGGGGATGCGTGAATATAAGTCGGTTTGGTCATCTACAAGACGAGCAAGACTTTTTTTTTCTCATTATTGTTATTACTACTGTTATTTCCCCCCTGTCTCGTTTGTGTGGCCTTACTCTGCTCGCGGCCGATTCGCTCGTGTGTCGTGATGGAGCTGCGATGTAAGTGCTACCGGGCCTGATTAACAGATGCAAAGCACCACATCGCATTACACTAACCAAGTGGGCATCTCTGATGGAGTTTCAACAAAACGGACCCGGCCTTGTTTTGCCTTGCCTTTGTCTTTGCATGCCCTGCCTTTACCCTGCCTTGGGGTCAGAAGATGAAGAAGGGGACACAGCTTCCAGTTATTGCTGCCCCGTGTGATAACCCAAACCCCAAATTCGACCATTCCCTTCTCGGGTGTTGAATCACAATGCAACGGCTCTAGACACCACGCACTAAGTAGATGTTCTGCCATGAAGGGATAACAGTGTGTGGTTGTCCCCGTTCAGAGTTCGGTTTGCTTTGGCAACTGCCCGCAAAAACATCCGGTACGTACCTTCTTCGGGGGGAATGCAGATCCAAAGGCCCGCTTGCTCTACTCCCTCGCTCCCATTTGGCACACAACAATTCATCCATTTGCTACAACGCTTCAGGGCCGAGGGCTGGAATCCATCCACCCTAAGAGCACCCATACCTGGGTCAACCTGTGGTCCAAGGTAACCTTGTATCATCCAAAAACGTATTTGCCCACGCTACCTATTTGCCCAGTTGAGTCGCGGCGATGCGAGAACAGAAAGCGGAGGGGCATGGGGGGAAGGAACCAAAGGGTAACCGCGGCTACGGGACCCTGGCCTGGCACACTGCATCACTTTTCTTTCTTACCTAACTCCGTTCACCATTCTCAAATTACATAAAGACCCCTTTTCCTGACGTTATTATTTGAAGTATTCCTTCATGGATCATGGAAGTAGGCGCACTAACCCGAGCCCGATCCCATGTGCTTCACACTGCCAGACTTAAGAGCTTTTCTTTCCCTTGCCTTTGCCTGTCTTGCCTACTGACACGACCGGAAAGGATGCCACACCGTCATGGCATGCTACATGACGGCCTTATTTCATTGTCATTCCAACACGCACTTATTTAACAATACTCTCCATCTGCTGGTGTGAAATTCTGACTTGAAAACTATTTGCGCCACCACAGCCACAGCAACCGGGCTTCTGGATCCCTTGTCTTCGCCTGCTGTCCGACGCCAGCACTTTCCTCTTCGAACCACTTGCTTTTAAGTATCGACTTCCTGACTATCCATGCAGCAAGATAGACCACCATGTATGCTGTCTGGAGCATCCGCCTTCGTTAATCTAAAAACGTGAGTGATTTTTTCCCCTTCAGTGCAGAGGAAGCCCTTGGGGAAAACTGTGTATATTCCCCTGCTGTTGGCCACTACGGACCCTTTCAAGTGGCTGAGCTGAGTGGGCAAGAAAGGAATGAGAAATCCGGCAAGACAGCGATTTTTCATGTCTGGACGCAATCTGTGATCCCCCAGTCTGCTAGTAAAACCAAGCTCTGCCACCCCTCACCCTCGCCCTTTTGATGCGTGACCACGTAGGTTCTCCATAGACAGCGCAGGTTTGCAATACGCTCAAGAACGTAAGTTATTTGCATAGACACATACACAAATAACGAGCTTCAAGCTCGTCCTGGGTACGTGAGTACCTCGTCCACTTTCCCAGGGTTTCCGTCTCCGCCGTCCAGCCACCGCTCGAGTGGCGCAAAAAGAAGGGCGGGTGTCCGCATGGCGTCGTTACTACGGAAAGCCGGCCGGCTCCACTATACCTCGGCAAGCAAACCAGGAGGACGTCCAAGAAAAACCCCAGCCAATGCCTCTTTCTTTTCCCTTCCTTTCTTTACATGCATACTATGTACACACATATATATATATTTAAAAAATTAATTAAAAAATTTGAAGATGGAGACAAAGCAAAGCTACTGAAGGTCATCACATCTAGTTCGTGTCGCATTCGTGACCCGGGACTACACACAAACACAAATACATATAGACAAAAATTCATTAAAAAAGGTTTGCACGTACGTACATCCCCGACGTAAGGCCTGGCTATTTGTTCAGCAGGGCTCTTTTTCTCTGACATTTTACACTTGAAGTAAATTTTTTTTATCTTTCATTTTTCACTCCTTCTCCACAACCAGGGCCCTGGGGGATTTTTGGAATGAGGTGGACTGACTCGCCTTCCGAGCCTTCCTGCCCGTGCCGGAGTCGCCCGTCCGTTGATGTCCCAGTCCCCGCGGGGTGCCGATTGGCGCCCAACCCCTGTTCGAATACACCATTTTAAATCCGGTCTTTCATACGGATACGGCGTTCGGTAAGGTCTTTGGCTCTTCCACGCCGCCCCCTAGAGAAGGGTTGAATTGAAGACACCATTGTAAAACAGAGACCGGAAAGGAGACGATGTTGAGTCACCAAGAGAAATAAGGAAAAATAAAAAGATATATTCTGCCAACCTGCAGATTTCTTCTCAGCTCCCAAAGGTCTGCCCTCTGCAACCATCTGTCGATCATTGCGGGGGTACCCTGGAATTCTGAGAGACTTTTCTAAAAGAAAGCATAGCAGAGGACGGACCTCTGGGGAATACTCTCGCTGCCATGTTGTGGTAAGCCCATCCTCAGCGTCGGAATGACGGCCTTTGCCATGCTCTGTAACTCTGGCCTGCGCTTTGACGGTGTTGGCTGTCCACTTTAAAAGGATGAGGTGAAGCATTATGGCTTCGGCGGAGCTAGTTCCGCAGTCATATTGCGTGTCTGGTGGCCAGAGAAGCAAGCATGAGTTGGGTAAGAAGGAACCAGCAATCAGATGTGATTTGGATTAGGAGATCAGTCAAACTGGCCGAACCCAAGGTCGCATAATAGAAAAATAGTTATTTTGTTCTTTTCCCGTCAGGTTTCCTGTAGCTTTTCCTGACACAGTCCCAGTTGGCTGCAGCGAGCTGCCCACGCCTGTTGTTACATGATTCGCTACACTTTCGTCATCATACATTTGGAAACGTTATCAACAGATTAGCCGGACATCCAGGCTGCCGCCCTCCTCGCCCCAAAAGTAGTTGCCAGTCGCAGGCCGCTGGACCCCATGGGAAAGTAGCTAACCAGGTACCACACCAGGCAAGCCAGCTGAATGAGGGCCGAGATCAACGTGAGAAAAGTGCTGTGAAGCTGTGGTAGTGGGTCAGCGCGACGTCTTTGGTGAATGATGTGCTAAGAACTTACAGCAAGAGAGAAGTAAAGAGATAGCCCAAGCGAGCCAAAGTAGGCCGCAGTGAAGGGCAAGCGAGGACCAGAGATGAGATGCCTTGCATAAGCCATAGGGCCCATGACGGCCGCAAACGACGCCAGGAACAGGAGAGAGCCAAGCGTCCAGCTAAAATGAGAAAAAATTGTCAGCAACTAGTAGATTTCTCTAGGAAAAGGGGCCAGAAACAGAGGAGAGCTTCTCAAGGCACTCATCGCTCCATGGCGCGTCACGGGAAAAGATATGTGCAACTAGCCTGCCATTTGAGATCATCTGGCGTAGTAGGCGGGTAGATGCAGAAGGGCAAAGCCACCCAGGCACGCCTCAACTCCCGATCCAACCACCTTTGGTCGATCTGCCGTCCCGGCAACTAGCAAGCCTGGTAGGCACCCATAGACGGGGGTAGGAAGGCTGACTCCATGCGGCGAGGAGGAAAGGGCAAAAACTTACAGAATGACAAACTTGCGTGGCCGCAAAGACAAAACTGGAAACAGGGCGAAGCAGATAACGAAGCAAGCGAGCGCACCCAAGTTGCAGGCGCCAAAAATAAGCATGCGATCCCATCGACTCACTAGGCAAACAACACTACGTCAGCATGGCCATTACGGAGGAAAAGGAGCGGACTCGACACCACCAACTAGCAAGGCCGCCCTGCTCACATGGCAAACCGAGACATGACAATCAGGCCAAGGGCCATGCCAGCTGCAGGGGAGCTGGATTTTGAGTCCAAGCCCTAGCCGTAGCTGTGGTAGAAGTGCACGAAGAGAGTGTATGAAGATAATGAGACTCACACGCTGCCCAGCCTTCTTCTTCCTCCCTTCTATTAGGAGCAGGCAAAGGCGCACCAGCCCCCTCGGTCGTTGGGAGTTGTATATAGCTATTGTTTTGAAACGGGTTCAACGACTTGATGGATGACATGAGACCGCTTTGCTGCGCCGTGTTGACGGATACATCATCGTCGCGGCGTGACCATCCCAAAGAGTTGATGGAATCTCTAAACGAAGATGAGGCCATGGTTGTTGATGACTGATGGAGGTCGCAATTAGGAATAATGACGTCGTCGAGGAGGTATGACACAGTCAACCAGTCTTAGGTGCACAACGAGGCGGGCACGGAAGTGTGGGAACGTTCCTTTGCTTGGAAATATATGGTCAAGTGACAACCTTCGCAGATATCGAAAATAGCTCGATGGAGGTCGTTTTAAGGGGGTGATGTGATTGGGTCAAGGTGGTGTCGGGGTCGTCTCCGTCGCTGCTACTGGGGGAGCACGGGGGTGAAAGGTTGGTGTAGCGCGACAGATGGAAGGTGGAATCGGGTGTCGATGTGTTTCTTCGCAGCCAAGATGGCCAGCTAGGTTGATATACGGACCACAGCGGAAAGGGAGGGTCGGAGGGCGCGTAAGGTCAGTGTCGGAAGGGGTGGGCAACTTCAGTGACCACCTGTTCGATTCGTGATGCGACGTAAAGGGGATGTTGGGAAGCCTAGTGTCCGCGCGTACCGCACCGCGTCGTCGTAACGTCAGTCGAAAGCAAAGAGGCAGCAAGCTGGATGTTGTAATGGGGGAGGGGGGCTAAGGCAGCTAGCTACACGAGGACAAAAGGTTAGCGGAGGATGGGAGTTGAGCGTCAGTATAAAGGCGTGAGGCAACCTGAGGAGGGTAGCTTGGGATTGTCTCAGAATGGAGGTAGACCAGGCGGACAAGTTGTGGTTGGAGGTGGGCCAATGAACAGCGACAGCCTGTCGCAACCTTGTCAGGGGTACGTACCCGATCTATCCCAACATGACCAACGTCTCTTTACCCCATTCAGACGCTGTTTGAAAAGCCGTTAGTGGATCTTCCGGGCCTTCCAATTATCTAATCCACAGCATATGATTGGCAGCCTATTTCACTCTCCACACCCAACTCGATCTCCAACTGCTACTTGCATCCGCAGGACAGTGACACACATCCGTGCTGCACAGTGCGGCTGCAGGAGTAAATTTGGTGGTAGCCGTGCATGAGAGGGAATGTACAAGCATTTGCTTGTAGGCATACAGCGGGAGACGTGGAAGGGGATCGTTTAAATATTCGCCAAGGGTGACGACCCATTAAATGCACAACAACATGGCGGTAGTGGCGGCTATCATGTTGTCCCTTTACAAGATGCAAAAAGTAGGGCAGGAAGTAAAATAAGTGGCAGATGTAATGCCACCTTGCTAGGCCGGGATACCAACAATCAGCTACAATAGTAAACCGGTTGTGTCTTGCAATGACAGAACTCTCGATAGGGTTACTATGCATCACAGAGCTGCAGTGCCTTGATTGCCGGAGTGTGGACGTGTGCTATCTGCCCCCGTCATACCTACCATGTAAGAAATCAATACATAGATGTATGTGTTTATGTGTGTGTGCGTGTGTAAACGCCAAGCTTGTCGCTGTTTAGGATGGTTTGTGGGCAACGATGCCATATAAAGCAACTCTCTGAGGCGGTAAGCATAGCTGCTGCTGATGTGCCCATTCTAAGTCATACAAAACGCTTCCACTTTGCGAACAATACCTTATCGGACTAGAGTATGTTACCAGACCCAAGATAAGACGCTCTCGTCAAGATTCGGATACAGGCTGACGGTGTGGACACCAACAGGGTGGACACCTAACAGCGCCTTCCCTTGCGGAGCGGACAGTGCTGGTCATGAATTTGTAGGCCTCAAAGCCTGTGAGGCGCAGTTTGGCATCTAACCAACGGTCGGATTCGAAAATGCATTTCATGGGTAAGGTGTTCTTTGGGCAGTGAAAACTGGTTTCTGAAGGGTATCGTGAATGAGACAGAATGCCATACTTGAACCAAGGGCATTTTGAGGCGTTTCGGCCCCCTTGGGTTCCTGGCCGGCGAAGTTGTAGAGTATGGGGTAGCCCAGTTCAAGCCCGTCCGTGATGTACTAAGTTGTGGGTAGGCCAGACAAAATGAAGTGCATGACCAGTTAGTTATGGCCGATCGTTAAGCAGGTCCCGATGAGCGTTGCAAATCGTTGCGGACGGCGCGGTTCCAGTTGGTATTTGGTGTCTTAGGCTGGCTGGCTGGAGGCATCACGGGGTTCGGCCGGTGCCCTCCCTCACCTTGTCTGGGTGCCCTCCATCAAGCCCCGACTCAGCCCAAGAAGCAGCGAGATGGTCCCGGTGAGAGGTGGTAATGGGTGCCACCCCCGGAATATGGGACGAGTCAGGAGATGCAGGTGAAGCGATAAGCCTCGACCAGATGATGTAGTGGCTTCCATTAGCAGAAACACATCGATATAAATGCTAGCGCATCTCTCTTTCGTGGTGGAGAGAGGAAGGGGAAAGAAAGGAGAAACATCAACAGAGGAAGATAATTTCTAACCATCAGTCAAGAGGAGGTATGTGAATGCCGTTTTTTGAGCAAGCAGGCACACATGGTTTTTGGTTGTTGACTCAAAAAGCCTCAGAAACACCAATCCAAGCTATTGATTTCCAATGCCTCAAGGCGCCTGGATTCGCCGACGCACAGACCACCGAGATACGTTGAACAGCGAGCAAGAAACACCGTCTTACACATCTACGTTCAGAAAGAGACAGCATCAACCCAAGCGCTGGAACAGGATCTCCAGACCAAGAAAGAAAGAATATACTTGACTCTGGATTGGATATTCTTCACACCGGAAATTTTGGGTGACCAGGGATTCGCACACAAACTGAGTCTCACAGGCAGGTGTATTTCCGAAGTTGTGGCAGGAAGAAGAATACGGCAAAAAGAAGAAGAAAGAAAAAAAACCCCTTGGAACTTGGGACTAAGGTTTTACTGATAACCTCAACCCGCCCGGTCCGAAACCCCTGCCCCAAGACAACGGCAACAAGAGCAGTTCCGGAAGTCATCGGCCATCCCGTCATCTTATCCACTGCCAACTTGTAGTGTTATCGGGCGTTTTGCTCCAGAAACTCCAGGAAGAACAAACTCAATTTTGGCGGCGTCTTACTACCTCACTGACCGGTTTCGCCAGTAGCGGACGCCACAAATCAGCACGCGATAGCCATTCAAATCGACTACTTCTGGAATTGGAACATCTTCTCCCGTTGCAAATCCGTACGATTTGTCCGCTCGATACTTCCCCCGCGGTTGCACGACAGCCTATCTCAATCAGGGCAAAACACCTGCAAGAACAGAGCAAGCATAGAAAGTGCAATCAACAGGTGGCAGGGATCATCGCGCATCGCATCTTTGACCCGGATTCCGACCCCGATTTCGACCCCATTCATTCCAGTTGCATTCCCCGCGGAGGAGCACCCTTCCTAGCTACATACGGTATATACCACGTTGAGGATAGCAAACAGCCCCCAACGTTACCAGCCAGCTAAACCGCCCACCCACACCCACACTGCACGTCAGTTGTGCTGCATCTCTCTCTTCCACTCTCTCTCAACTTCATTGCCCTGCGGCGTGTGCCTGCTTGTGAGCAAACAAGGTTGGCATCGTCTTGACCCTCACTGCGCTCCGACATTCAACTCAAGGTTGGCAAAGTCTCTCTTATTCTTGTTCCATCCAATCCTTTCACATCTTCGCAGGGCCTCGGTGGCTGCCAGCCTAATCCATCACATCCCCATGCAGCGACCCCATCCCAAGCCATTCATACATCCCCATCCTTTGGTTTCCCGCCGTTACGAATCAGCCTCATAGCCGCTTCATCCGCCACCATTTATTATACTTGGCGGCCGATCCGGCTCTGTTTCTTCCTCTACTTCCTTTCCTCTTCTCTCACTCCCTGTTTTTGGCATTTTACTCTTCAAACCTGATAACTGACTAGCTAAAAGACAGTTTTAAGCAACCAACCCCGGTCGCGCTTTCCACTGTGCTGCCCGCGTCTCGTCCCAAGTACGTCTGCCCGACCTCCACGATGTCTTGGAAGCTTGGGAACTTTATGAGCTGACACTACTGAGCCAGAACTGAAAAGAGAGATCGGCCGCCAGCGCAGCAACGCGACTGCCTGTCTGCCTGCATTGCCTCGCCTCGCTTTATCACCGACCCGTCCGAACCGGCGCCTACCCCAGCCAACCCGCCACTACTAATTGCTCCTCGCCTACTGCCACTTCTCACCACCATTACTCCCATCAGTTGTTCCGCCTCCCCCCCCCCCCCCCCTCCTCTCCTCTGGCTTTCAGAATATATCAAGGCTAAGCCTCAGTGCCAACTAAGGCGCCCCTTCCAACACAACACCAACGCCAACGCCAAACCAGCACACCACCCTCTTTTCTTTCTTGCTCGTGCGACATTGAGCGAGCGACAGCCGAGCCAAAGCGTTCGCTTACCTCGAAAGGAGAACAGCCGCCGTGCACTTACAGTATTTACCCACCACCCATAAGTTCCGTAAGTCAAGTCAGAATCCGTGTGTGTGTTACGTTGAGCTACACTGCGTCGCGTTGCTTTGCTCTGCCCCGACTCATTCCCCTCCATTCCTTGCCCCTCACACCCCCGGACTCGACTTGCCATACCTTAGCACACCTCTTCTTTGACTTGGAGTCCTGGGCTCAAGTATTGTCTTGTCGCATCCCATCCTAGCAAACCCTCCCCGGCCACTTCGCAGCCCCTTGTATGTATAGGCCTGGCTCACCTAAGACCACTTGCATTTCACTTTTAGAGAAGTACTGATCTCCCTTGCAGCAGGCAAACCCAGTTTCGGCCTGTCTTGCTGTCCCTAAGGTACCTAAATTCTATCTTTTATTTGCCTCATGCTTTTTTATTAACCCCCGCGTACGTACACATACACACTGTCTCTCTCTGTCTCTCTCCCTCTCTCTGTGGGGAATAGGGAAGGACAGAATGAGTGAGAGACGGAGGGGCCCTGAAGAGAGCAGCGGTGCCCCATCCCCCCTCACCCCGTCTGGCTCTCACCCCCATTACGAGGTCAAGGTACCTTCGTACCCCTCCCTCGGCGTCGGTGTCCCGCACGCACATCGTACATTACTTGACACTACACACGTCCATCATCCAACACAGTCCTAACTAATTATTCGCCAGACCAGACCAGCCCAGCCCCGAGGCACATACACTACAAACCCTCGGGTCCCCGACACCGCATTTCCATCGTAACAAAAATCGAGTCAACTCTCCCTCCTCCTTATTCTTTTGCCTCCCTCCAAAACCGACAAAGCTACAGCTGTCTTTTCTCATTTGCTCTGCTTCACTAGTGAAATAGGCAGCGACCATTTTAGCACACCCAGACCCTAGTTGCGACAGACTGATAGAGTCCTCCCTCATCTCTCACTTTCTGCTCTTTGGAACTTGCCTACACATCCTACCAACTTTACTTTACTCATCTTGCCGATCCCCGCACCATCCATAACACTGCGTTGAATGGCCGTGTAACGGAAGCAATCTGCCACCAACAACAAACATACCAACATTGCGACATATATATTCTACCATTTCCCTTGCTTCCCTTCCTCGCGTTTAGGTGAGCCAGCTCGTCCTAGTCTTGCTTCGGTCGCGCCTTGCCTTCTTTGCCTACACTCCGCTTGCCTCGGTGGCGTTCGGGGCTGTTATGTGACAGTGTGGAGAATATCCGCATGCTCAACAGTCAGCTCGTGTTTGTCCGACGGGAAGTGGGATTCAAGAGTGCGGCCTGGGCAACTTTGCCCCTAGACCATTTCGTACCTTCAACAATAGATCGCATCGCTAACTACTTCGTCTCTTGTAGCCGACTTGGTCCTTGTCTTTTCCGACTTGGTTGAGCTTCGTAGCTCCAGAATTCCACCGCATTTTCCCACGAAAGAGGCGGTGTGTGCCACGCCCAGGTCCGCGAGGCTTCCAGCAGTCGCGGGACCGACATACTTATCTACAACCCTACTGAATTTCGCTTCTAGCGACAAGCACCTGAAATGGCACAGCACGGCTTCGGCCAGTTCAACAACAGTCACGGCGGAGGTGGCGGTGGAAACATCGACCCCAACGACCTGGCTATGGGTGGCAACTTTGCCTCGTCCTACTCAAACAACTTCAACTCAAATTCCGCGAATAACTCCAACGGCTTTTCCAGTGGTTCTGCCCTCTTTGGCGACGATGAGCTGCTGGATGGCCTCGGTAGCCCAACCGAGACCCAGCCAGGCATGCACGGCCACAGCCAGGAATTCGGCGGAATGTCAGACATGAACATGGGCTTCAACCAGACTATTTACGGGTCCCACCACGGCATGGACCAAAATCACATCAATGGGTATTCCAACACCCCAGACGGCGACCCGATCCAAAGCCCTTTCGTTCACAGCTTCAACAACTCACAGTTTCGTCAGCTGCATCATCCTCAGTCTCTGGGAACCTCGCTGCAGTCTCCAATCTCCTACTCTGGCTCCCCCTTAGCTGGCTCGGACATGAATGCCGATAACGCTGATGCAAACTACCTCAACGCCAAAAACAGAGCTAGAATGGCACAGGCAATGCAACGCAAGAGCTCCTCCAACACCAGGAGTCCAATGACCCCCAAGTCGGCCATGCATTCTGTACCTGAGACTTCTGGTTTCGGGTCTCAGTCGATCAGGACCCAAGGTTTGCACGAGAAGTCCCCGTCAGGAGGCCAGTGGATGCAGACACCCACTGGTAGTATGGCAGCATCTTACGGCTCCGGCTTTTCGTCCCCGATCCAGCCTGGCTTAGCTCAGCTCAACGAAGTCATGATGAAGGGCGGTACCTCGATGCCTGCAAAGCTCGGCGTTCAGCCTGCGGCAGTCTCTTCTCAGGAAATGAAGCGGAAGCGGCGCCGTGAGTCACACAACTTGGTAGAGCGGCGGCGACGAGACAACATCAATGAGCGGATTCAAGATCTCAGCAGACTGGTGCCCCCACATCGCCTAGAAGACGAGAAAATTCGCAAAATGATTCAGAACGGCACTCCACTTTCGCCTACCCTGACAGGCATCTCAACCCCCTCGCAAGCCACTTCCGGTCTCGCAGGTCCAGGTGCACGCCGCGCGGCTGGCGGTACAACTGGCAACATCACCACGGGCCTCCCCATTGAAGACAAAGATAAGGGACCCAATAAGGGCGATATCCTCAACGGCGCCGTGAGTTGGACAAGAGACCTGATGTGGATGTTGCACTTAAAGCTCCAGCAGCAGGAGGAACTTATGAACGCCATCGCGGAGCTTGGAGGCCACTTCCCATTTGAGCTGACGGAAGATGAGAAGCGCATGCAGACGGAGTTGATGGAAGCGATCTCCAAGAACGACGGGCTCGGATACTCACGTACAACCGGGTCCGGACTCAGAGTACCTCATCATACCGATTTCCGTGGTGAACCGCTCAACGGCTCAGGCAACCCCGATGGCGTCAGCCCTGGTGACAACCCCGGCGGCGTCCTAGCCAGCGACCTGGGTGCTGGAAATGAGTTCTGGAACGACCCGGATGACGACGACAGTGGCCCGGCTTCCCTGAACTTTAAAGAAGAGGACGAGTTCGGAATGGACCTGACACAATAGTATTGTGACATCCACATCTGAGAACAACTCTGCTAGAGCTTTGCTGATGACTGCGAGCCCTCTGGGCAATGCTCGAGCTAATCACTATATCGATTCTCCTTCCCTTTTCTATGACATGCATTCGCGTGCGTTTACTTTTGCATCCAACGATTACTAGGGTTAGGGTCACAGATACCGGAGTTGATTGGATTCGCCAATATGCGGGCGGTGGGAAGGAAGATTCGCGCATGTAGGCAACGTAATGATTAGGGGACGTGCTGGATTATACTTTGGCTTATTCTGACACTTTCCTTTCTGGCCCTTTCTTTCTTGGGTTATCGAGCATTTATCTATGGGCAGTTGTGATACCTTTGGGGGGTTTCGGATGGGCATTTGCAAGGTTCATTTTCGGGACGGTACCGCATGTTTGTTTCAGGCAGATCATCCTTATTTTCCTGTCATCGTGGAATATGTCTTGATTCTTTCTTTTATATTCTTAGGTGCTTTATTCGCCGTCGTTTGTTCAGCTCAGAGTCTTGTATTTACCAGCCCTGGCGTGAGAAGCTTTGTGTGCGTGGCATAAGTGTTTGGCCGTCCCCCTCCTTTTTTAAGTCCCAATTTTTGCACATCTACTATGATACCCTCCCTTTCCCTTGTTACAGCTAGCAACTTTAACAACTTCATCCTCTACTCTCTTCCCAACGCCGCTGAACTCGCAGCCTTCGCAGGTGCGTGATTGTTTATGAACCACCAGTAGCCCGCAAACCCGGCTCTCTGAGCGGTAGCCGTGTGGCTTGCATTCGGTCAATCCATCATAACCTTTTAAGACGGCAACTACACTGGCATCATTTCAAGATGTGATAAGACTGCCATCTACCAGTGTCGCACGCAGATGAGATGCTCGCTCATCGCCATCAGTAGATTCCACGCCTCCTTACGCTTCATATCCTCCTGCAACGCGATCCTTTCGAGCGCCGTTTGCCCGTCAAAATACTTTCCAAAGACCTGCCATGCCTTGGCCACCTTGGGGTCCTCGAAACGCTTGCCAATGGCCGACAGGTAGAGCGAATCCTTGCCCGTGGCCTTCTTCGCATCCAAGATGATGTGAGGTGACATACGGGCCAGATGGGGCGCGTCGTTGGTTGACGGGTGGTCCGTTGCCGTAGGGAGGACCTTTCGCGCGTGCGCCGTGGCCTTCTCCGCTGCTTCGCGCTGCGTCTTTTCAGCGATGCGCTCGAGACGAGCCTTCTCCGCAACCTGCTCGCTCATAGTCGGCACATGCGCCGCTTCTAGCCCGTCAGTCTCCGACTGTTCATCGACGGAATCGAGGAGACCTGAGCTACTGCGCGCGCCGCTGCTGGTACTGAGGGAATGAGCGTCATCAGATTTGCGCAGCTCATCGCTTTCAAGCTTGTGTTCAACCTCGTAGATAATCTCTGGCCAGACAACTATGTAAGCAAAGGAGCAAAGCTGGGTCACCCAGCCTCCACGCATCAGCCAGGCCAGCATTGCAAGGTATGTTGGGCGGTGTGCCTTGCTAGGGCAAAAGTGCTTGTACGGCCGCGGGGCGTAAGACAGCTCGGCGAGGAAGTTAGTTAATGGCGGTGCTAGTGGAAATGTCTTCTGCCACTCGAGGCTTGCCCTGGAAAGATTTCGAGTGTCACAGTTTGGGGACATGATGTAGATGTCACGCGCGTGTAAGGGTGGTATGGCGATGGCGCGACGCCAGAAAATGAAGTGCTGCGCGTATTTACGCACTTGACTCAACGTCAGGACGTTGCTCTGCCCAACTTGATAAAAACTGTCTTACTTTAGTGGTGTGCAGGGTAAGATGACGGTTTGTTTGTTTGCACACTTACGATTGCGTCGGCTTTGACAAGCGAGCGAATTCAACCATGGCAACCGTACTCGGGTCGGGGTCTGCTTGGAGCTCGGCAATGATCTTTTTCTCGTCGCCCATGAGGAGTAGAGCAAAATTACGGTCCAAAAACCCTGGCTCATCAATGGTATCTTCGCCAATATAGGAATTAGCTGTCGTCAACCAAAGGCCTCTTTGCTCCTTTTCCCCAATTTGTGGCAGGTCTGTGACGTAGAACGGTACAGGTATCTGCACCGATGGAGTAATGGGCCCGGCTGCGGTGTCCAGCTGTAGAGCTGCAATCTTATTCTGTGATACAGCCTCGTAAATGTCTTGAACGGACGCCGCTAGTGATGATGTCGCCAATATCTCGCTCCACAAGGAGCTCATCTTGCGCTCTGCGGCATATCAGCACTGCTTGCGCGGTAGGGACGGTATTGAGCTTACTCTCTTCACGGCCTTTATCCTTGAGAGCGGAAATGCGCTTTGTTTCTTTCCATACAAACTCACTGTGCTGCTGACAATACTTGTAGGCCTTGTTCACCTTCTTTATGATGTTCAGGTACAAAGTAGCAATCAGCTCTTTGGCTTCATGCTTCCTCGGATTGAGGAAGAAAACCAAGTTAAACATAGTCATGGAGGCACGCTTATCGTCCGCCTCCTCCTGATGAGACTTGTCTTCCTCTTTAGACTCTGTATGCGACGCTTCAGCGCCGTTGGGCGCTTCGTCAGTGTTTTCATTTGGGTCAAGGTCAACCAACACAGCCGACTCTTCAGTCCGCACAGACTTGGCTCTTTCTGGCTTCCCCTTTTTCTTTTTCTTCTTTTTCCAGCTCCCGCTTTCGGGGACATGGATAGGATAGGAGACACAATACAGAGGGTCTAGAGAAAGTTGGAAAAGTTTCTTGTGATAGGCTCTGCCTGGTGTCAAAACACTAGCGAGATCTTTCGTAGGGAAGCCGGCCACGTGTTCCCATGGCACAATCTGAGTGCCCTCATCAGTGACAAGGTGGTCGTCGCCTGCAGTCCATTGCTGAAGATCGTCTGAGTTGGCATCGGCATCGAGCGATGCGGGTTGGTTTAGACGCTCAAGAAGGATGTCATCATTGTCGGGAGAGCCATCGGAAGACTCATGATTCGACGACGGGGCGTTGGGAGGCAAGACATGTGGCGGGTAGTGAAAGACGAAGTTGGGACCATCACGGGATCTGTTAATGACCAGCGCTACGGCCAGAAAGTTGGACGGACTCGGGAGCACAGGCTGCGCCATCTCTGGAGCGATAAGAGATCACGGGAGCAGCAACTCAAGTAGAGCTGCCAGTGAGTTTGAACTGTGAATGACAAAGTGGTGCGAGTCCGGCGAGCATCGTTATCCTAATCGCACCCGGGGAATAGGATTGGGGCAGAGTTAGGTGATCGACGCTAGACAGGCAACCACCCTACATTCCCCGAGGTACAGTCCCGCCGTTTGGGTTTCGATGACAAGATGGGAAAGGGCGTTAGACTGTTCAGTCGGCAGTCTGATGCCTGATGATGAGAGTGAAATCGATGTATGCGACGGAGGATGGTAGTGGCTGATTGGTAGGATTCTGGTGGGAGAATGCACAATGAGTAGAGAGAAGGGCAGTGTGAAGCGCAGCCAATGAATGAGTAGCTACGGCTACTGTAGCGTGTGGGCTTGGTGGTATAGGATGCGCAGGATGGCCCGAGCGCAGCTGGTTCGGCGCCGTTTGTAGTGGGGTTGAGGCTCCCAAAGTTTCGGCGGTGGGCACCCTGTCAGCCAAGCAACTGGCCAAAGGGTCTTCTAATGCGGGCCTAGAGATCCTGCCGTCCGTCACATGCTTTGAAGCCAAACCCCCCCATGTGTGGCGGTAGCCGGGAGTCATTCCAAGACATGCCTCCAGGCCCTTTGTCCAGTTCCCATCAGCGGCTTGGATTAGGCTGTATGGAGGAAAAAGACGTTAAGTCGGTGAGACTTTCCAGCCTCCAATTAATTGGACGGAACAGAAAACTCTGCCTGCAGATGCGAAGAAGGCACGTCCCATGGCCTTTGTCTACCCATCAACATGATAAACTACTCAATAGGAACAATGTGCTACAAATTTGAGGTCGACACAGATAGCTGTAGCCACATCAATCCAGCGTGTTGTGAAGGCGACAATGTGGTCGTTCCTTTTTGGTGTGTCGATCATGTCTGGGGAAAGGACGAGGAGTTGGCACAGGATAGGGAAGAGGGTGAAGCCACCCCAACAATGACGAAATAAGTCGGCATGGAAGCCCTAGCTTTTGGGGGCAATGTTCGATCGAAGGAAGGGCCTGAACAATCCAATAGCTGAATAGGACATCGTGGATATGCAGTCTTACTCGCTCAGACAACGGGGACCAAGCTGTTGTGGCTGCCACACTGCATGAGCAAGCTGGTGCACGGCCCTGATAGATTTACGACTTGGGGGCCTTTAACCACTGTGGAAAGGGAGAGGAGAATGGGGTGACGGGTAATAAACCAAGTCGAGGCAAGAGAGGTAGCAGCGGAGACGACTGCGCGTAGAAAAGGAAAATGAAGACGGACCCCCATCGCCCCTTCCTAGGCGCATGTCTCTCCTACGGCAAATTTGACGCTCGTGCCACGCGTCCCACGCAAATGGCCAACAAATAATACTCTATCGCTAAATTGATTGAGCCTTCTGTCTTTGGCGTTGGGGACAAACTGGAACCCGCATCGTCCCCGCCTGACGTCCACTGAATAAAAAATGTGGCGGCAGTGGCTTTCACATGCTCTGTTTCTGCTTTCGCGCTCTCCGCTAACCCAGCTCACTTTCTGTCTGTGCCTTTGTTACCTCGATTCGTTGACCGACGACTGAAAGAAGAATAGGTGCTGCCCACCGCCCAAATCTTCCCCAGCGAGAAACCTACTTTTATTAAACTACCTGCTTTAGCGACGACTTTTTTTCGACCTTCGGATCCGCACGAGGAAGGCAACAGGTCGTGTGCTCGGCTCAATTCGAATCGAACGGCGCCAAACTCGACAGATTGATTCTTCAACCCATTTTCAATATTAATACCACGCCTACTTGATCCATCCCGTCCCGCTGCTCTTGCTGGATTTCTCCTTCTCTCCTCCTTTTACTCCAATTCACCCCATTACCTTGTTGGCCCCTCCTGCCTTTTACGCTGACCATCACCGCTTATCTTTTGCCCCTCCCTCGAATACCCTACCTCATTCCCTTTCCATCCCTTAACCTGTCGCAGACCGCCTCAGTCCCCCCCTTTCCCCGTCTGCCTATAACATAACACAACCTTACTCGACCACCCGGCCTACTTATATCGCTCAGTCGCCACCAGTTATATCTTCCACGGTGCCGATTTCTTGAGGAACAATTGACTTGTCGGTATTGCCTCTGCCCTCTCGACATTCCCTTTCCATAGTTCACGAAGCTTTTGTGCCACTATCATGACCCAAGGCGTAAGCAACGGTCACCCTAATGGGTTGGCGGGTGCCCACGTCCGGTTCCTCCCCTTTTCCTACGACAGCGAAGATTCCCAGCAATCCGCGACTCGTTTAATCCTGACCGTTCGACCAGACTGGGACACCGCCGATGACAAGATCGAGTTCGTTCGCTTCACCGACGGCATCACCAACACCCTGCTCAAAGCGGTTAATAAACGGAAAGGTTGGTCCAAGGAGGATATAGATAGGGAAGCCATTTTGTTGCGAGCCTACGGACATGGAACCGCCGTTCTTATCGACCGTGAGCGCGAAGCCCAAAACCATGAGCTACTCATGAAGTACGGCCTAGCTCCTGAGTTGCTTGCCCGTTTCAAGAACGGGATGCTCTACCGCTACGTTAAGGGCAGTGTTACAGCTCCCGAGGACCTCAGAAAGCCTTCTATCTACACAGCTGTTGCGAGAAGGCTTGCTCAGTGGCACGCGACTGTCCCTTGCATTACCCATCCCACGTCGACAAACGGCCACGCCAAGGAGAATGGTACCAATGGTCATCAAGACCGAGAAGAGATTATTGAGAACGCTGCTCCTGGAAAACCGACGCCGAATGTCTGGACCGTGATGCAAAAATGGATCTTGGCACTGCCTACTGAGACATTAGAGCAGAGGGAAAGACAAGATAAGCTCCAACAAGAGCTGGAAAACTTAGTGGAGGAGTTCAGCCAGCGTCCTGGTTTGGGAGTCGACGGTGTAAGACACACCTGCATATTTTTTTGGCTTTCTGAAAGTGATGACTGACCTTCCTGTTCGTGACAGCTAGTTTTCGCCCATTGCGATCTCCTCAGCGGCAACGTCATTGTGCTGCCGACAACCTATGCCACCAACGGCGCCAAAGACCAGGTGTCTGTGACTTTCATTGACTACGAATATGCCACTCCTTCACCGGCGGCGTTTGACATTGCCAATCACTTCGCTGAGTGGGGTGGTTTTGACTGCGATTACAGCGTGCTTCCTAGTCGGAGCCAGCGTCGAGAATTTATCGAGGAGTACATCCGAGCTTATTTCAATATCCTCCCTGGCAGGTCAAACATTGACATCGAGTCTGAAGTGAGGAAACTTCAAGACGAAGTGGACCTATTTCGCGGTGTGCCAGGTTTCTACTGGGGTATCTGGGCGCTGATCCAAGCTGTCATCTCGGAGATTGATTTTGATTATGCATCGTATGCAGAGACGCGTCTTGCAGAGTATTGGGCCTGGAAGGAAGAGAGAGATGGCAGCAGGGCAGCAGCCGGCAAGGAGAAGCCTCTGCGAGAGCGACGGTGGGAACAGGTGGAGTAGGTTAGATGGCGGCCGCTCCCATTAGAAGAGTCTTTGTGAGGGGAATCAGCAAAGAAAAACACGAAAAGGAGTTTCTGGCATGGATTTCTGTACATAAACTTCAACTGCGGAACAGAAATGGATCGAAGGAAGCGAAGCATAATATCGACACGGGCCGGCGTCATTCAACATGAGCTCGACGAAGGCCAGGGATGAGCTCCGGGGCGTTTTTGGAACTAGACAGGACTAGTTAATCACACCAACCAACTTTATACCACAGATTGAATGACAATGAGGGGTTGAAGAGTGAGAAGACGCGCCAGGATTAGTATTATCAGCCTGGGCAGGCTGCCCGTGGAAAAGACTGAAATAGAGTGAGAGACCAGACAAGGTCTGCTGCGAACAGCCGCGGTCGAGATAGAAAGATCAATGAGTCCAAGCTCGAGGTTGGCGCAATGCTATGCGGTGTTTTCTATTGAGTCGCACCAAGTTTGCCTGTCGCGAGCGAGCGACTCAACGAAGGAAATGGGCAAGATAGGGAGAAGGGGGAGAAGGGGGAAAACTGATGGGATCTAGCTTCAGTGAGCAAAGGTGTTGACGGTACCTGGGCTGGGCGTAGACAAAAAAAGAGTACCAAGTGGTCCTCCGCATATATGCGACGTACAGTAGAGGATGCATGCAGGCTGCAAGCACATGTTCTGTTTTGCTCACACCCCCATATCAGCCTCTGCACTGGCCACCTTATCTAGCAGAACTAAATGATTAGATCTGTCTAGACCTCACATCTCCTCACGGCATATCAGTCCATATCTCAGCGCTTGGTATATAAAGCTGTTGTTCTAATTAGGGTTTAACGGCGGGTAAACAAAGGGAAGGGTTTGACACATACATATTGGAACTAAGCTCTTGCACCCAGCTACAAAGTCAATCCATCACCCAAGTGTTTAACCCAAATAGAAGATCTGTGAAACAGCCATGTTGTTTAGGGCTGAGTGGGATGGCACGTAATATAGCTGCAGCTGTTCTCCGCGTGTACACACTTCGAGGGTGTTGTGTCTGTTTACAGTGAAGCCTAGGGTGAAGGCAGGCAGTCAGTTAAGAGGCCAGCCAACAGCAGCCGAGTCGATTCGTTCAAAGGTATTCTGTAGAAGAACACAGGTGATCAACCCGTTCGAGTTTTGACAGGAAACTAACATGGAGACTAGGGAGCCTGGGGATCGTGTGAAATGATTCCGGCATTTCCATCTCATCCATGCCAAGATATTCCGTGTCGGGGATGGGCCACTGGGCCAACCGTGCGGCTTGACAGGCGTAGTACAGACATATCGAAACAGCAGGCTGACGGCTGGCCGATGGGCAATCGTAAATTTCAATTTGGATCGTCTCACCAGTTGGTTCGCGGTTGGTAATGTTAGACTGTCTGAGTCGGCCATATCGGATTTGACTTGGCGCCAGCTCTAAGGGGCATCTAGCTTGCATGCACAGATGACTTGATTAAGTAATTTTGACGCGATGTCGGATCTCACCCTGTATCAGAACCAAGACTCAAGATGCTAGCTGCCGAGCCGAAGACGAATGGGCTTGCGAAGAGGATGAACTCACCCCCCATGAAGCCGGACTGAGGCCAGGAAATGACCCGAAGTTAACGAATGGGAGACATGTCGATTCCAGGTGCGCAGTTACATGGAGTATTGCTCAGCCATCACAGGGAAGCGGAGCTGGCTGACAAGACAGACTGCCAGCCAACAAACACAATCTCCCAGGATCTGGTCAGTAGTAAGGACGTCTGTAGTAAGATGTGGTATGGATGAGACGCAAACGAGAGACTATACTCTGCTCTCCATTCTTTTTTTTAGGATATTTCCCTGGGTCCGGCAGCATCCTCAACCTGAAAATCAAAGGCACATTGGCTTTCTGACAGACGTGGTCATCCGGAGGGGTGAGCAAACAACGGGCACGGGTGCCACACATACCACAGCGTTCATGGAATACCCATGATGTGCTTGCAGTTCATGCCGCGGATGTTTGAGCATGTAGAACTCTACATGCCCCTCTCGTCGCTGGTAACCCTCAAGGGTCTAGGAAAACCCTACAAGTCGGATAGCAAATCCCCTTTTCGACTTGGTTTTTTATCGTAGCCGACCTAGTAGCTGGTCAGCTTGAACGGCTGGGTCCCGAATGAAAGTTTTCGGCATGCTCTGTAAGTTGTCTTAACAATGTTAGATGATCCGAGACGCACGAGTGGCAGGCTGGTGAGTTGCGGTGCGTAGGATCGGTCAAGACCATGTGGTGTGTGAGGACGCATGTAAACAAAGACTACTCGTCCGTGTTCTTTTCCGTCCGCTTCGATCGCCTTTGATGCGTATTTGACTTCTGTATAAGGGCAGAGGAGGGTAGACGGAGGAGAGGGGTATGGAAAGAGTCCTCCGAGCGTCGACCAACCATTTCTCCTACTTTGATCTCTCGCGGCTGCATGCCAGGCCAACTTGACCCCATTCGCTGTGTGATGGTTAGTGCAGACATCGCGCATGTCTTGCTGCTTTAAGCATCATTTTCCCTGAACTGGGTAGCTGTAGCTGTGGCCCCCCGACCTCGCCTGCAGTAGCTGTCTGCAGGTTGTAACGGTGACTCGGCACATGCTTGTTTCTGCCGGGACTGGCCCCCAGCATCGTACCACGGACTCTGTGGCCCACGTGGAGTATTGGTCCGTGTGGGCGTGGATGTAGGCAAGGGAGTGTGGACTTGTTCCTTCTGTGGCTACAACAGGACACACCCAGAAGAGCAAAGCAACTCGGCGCGAGATGGGAGATGAGGAGAAGACCGGGCCAAGGACCCTCTCACACCTTTGTTGCATACAATACAGGTAGGCGGGCAGGGCGGAAATGTCGCAATCTCTTGCCAGTGGAAGGGTTCCCCTGCCGTTGCGTGATACCTTCGACAACCATTCATGGGCCAGAGCAAACCCCATCATGGGCAGCGCTGGGTTAGGAAGCAGGTATGCGTAACAGAGAGTGTAGCCAAGACAGTTAGCCCATGGATGCGAAATACAGCCTACATAATCATTTCTCTGCTGCCATTTGGGGCCCCTGGACATGGCAAGTCGCCAGCTGAAGCCTTGCATGTAGTGGAGGGGCTGTGTCCGTTCGTTTCTTCCAGTATCGAGAGCAAGCGAGAGGCATCAATGTCGGAGCGATGAGCCGGTGGGTTGGCTCGGGACGAAGTTGGAGAGGAAAGTGACAGACCGGGCAGTAACGACGGGTCGACATTGAGGCGAAGTGTCTATCCAGCCTCGCCTCTTTTTCTTCTTCTTTTTTTTTCTTCTTCTGCGCTCCTTCACACATAGGCTCTTGTTTGGTTTGGGAGCATCAACCCTCAGTGGTCGGAGAGTCGGAGAAGGCGCAAGCGGCCCCACGTAAACGCTAACGCCAGCGCCCACTCCGATGCCCAGACTCATAAAACTCCATCAACCTTGGACGGAGCTATGGGTAGCCTGGGTTGGTTCTCCATGGCCCTCACTAATCCAGACGAATCCCTTTGTTTGCCTTTCTGGCAGATTCTCCACATTATGGGATGGGAAACAAAGCGGCAAAGACCCAACCCACCCAGGAATCCTTACCGCTGACTGATGACAAGAGCTGAGAGGACGCGTGCCGAAGGGGCTGGAAGTCAGGCTTGCTACGGTCGATGGCGATTGAGTGTGTTTGCGGCCGCTGACCACCCCTCTCCAAGACCTAACAGCCATTGCTTCCCTGCACCTCACCCTGAGAATCCCAGTCCGCACTCAGCACGCGCCTCAAGGCGTGATGTAGCAGTGACCATTATGCAGAGAGAGGGCGAACTGCGGCCACGGCCCCGTTGCCGTGTACACAGGGTGCAGGAGGTGCGTAGTCGCTACTAACAAGCTACGTAGTGACTGGCCAAGCAAGTTGCCAATGTAACGATGTAGGGAAGAAGCTGGGATGAGCCGGGGTGTGGGATGCCAGATGACAGGGACCAGAAGGCGTGTACTGGATAGATACATGCCCTGTGGCTTAAGGTCTGTGCCAATTGTAGGGCGTCACCAAGGACGGGGGTTACAGAATCATGACGGGTGAGGTAGGACCGAAGAGTAGCTGATAAGAAGCGTAAGGCGTGTGCGAGGCCAACACCTTCGTACCGCCCTCTGCCTTGCCTCGCCTTACCTTGACTACCTTTGTCGAGCATATTCTCCATGTAAAAAGTAGATTCAAGCAATAAGGTCTAGTTTGTTGCTTGCTGTGTGCTCCGGATACCATGTCTGTCGTATGTGAGAAGTTCGAAAGGGTTTTGAGACAATGAGCACTTGGTCTAGAGAAGGGAAATGTACAAAACGGATGAGAGACCGGAAAGGAAACGAAAGTAAAACAAACTGGAAAGGCAAGGCAAGGCAGATTGGACCAGGTATGTACTCAGTTGGGCGTGGATCGGATGCGCAGGTACGGCGACGATACATTGGGGCTGGTGGATAGCATCGGTCGGAAGGCGGCCGAGCTCTTCCACGGGATGCTGGCCATGCTTGGGAGGTGAACGTCTAAGATGTTTCACGGAAAGAGAGTCTAGAATGCCCAGCTAATGGCTCTATTCCTCGTTTGCCTGTCTCTGTGAACCCGGAGCGTGCGTACATGACATCGAGCGGCGGGAACGGGATGGGTGATGATGATATCGGCATGCATGGAAGATTCAATACTACCAAAACCCGCCTTTGCAGTATTCGATTCCGTACAGGTCCGGCCAGGCTCGTTTCAAGCAACATGAACTTGGGCCCGGAAAGCCCTCGCTTCGCGTCTCAGGGTAATAATATACTTCGACGAACTAAGTAAAAAGTGTGGAAGGTCGAGGGATTTACCCATGGCGAATTGAACAATTATACAGTTGAGAGGGGAAGGCAAAGGCGACAGGCGGAGTCTAGCTCAAGAGCAACGGAGGAAGTAATATGTTGTATCCGTACAAGCAACCAATTGTGAGGGCACCGTCTGAATACTTACAAGTGCGTTAGTCTCCTCTGCGAGAGCAGGAAGCAGCCGACCAAGAAATAAAGCGTGCGATATTGCAAGACCCTCAACGGAGCTAGGACCGTCAAGCGACGACCGTTGACTGGTAGACGAGACATCCGTATGGGAGAGCGAGGAAAAGAAGACGGGAAAAAATGCGGGTAGCTTCCCAAGGCAGTCAGCTAGCCGACGGACATCCTTACCTTTTATCTCAAGGACAGGAAGAAGAGAAGTCTCTGACCCCCGTCCCCCTCGTCTTGCAATGGTACTGTGTGTCTCTGACCGTGCTCCGTACCTTCCATCTCCCCATCCACCTACCCTGTACGGTACCTTCCCATATCCTGGCCGGACCTGTCGCCGCTCTGAGAGACCGACTTTCCACCCGACCTCACCTTTTGCCAGGTCTATCCACTTGGTCCTCATCTCAATCGGGCCAAGGCAAGGAAGGTAGCGAGCGTCTGGTCTCTGGTCTGCGGTCTCCAACTGTACACCCCTCCAAAAGTCCAATCCAGTTGGGGTTCCCTCTCCTGCCACCATCCCATCCCCTTCCACATATCCATCCCGTTGCCCACTGTGAAAACTGGCTTTCTTCTATCTAATCGATGCCGTTAGCCACTCGCCCCACTTCCCCAAATCAACCCTGCCCGTTATTAATAAAAGAGCTATCACCCCAATGAGGGACCAGCAGTGTGTTCATTGTTGGGTACCATGCAGTGCTTGCTATCCAATACCCATCACTGCGAACCACCACAGGACTGGACCAAATTCCGGGTCCCTTTAAATTTACAAAATTTCTCTTTCCTTTCTTCCACGTCTTGACTTGCCTGTGCCGCAGTCACAGTTCGAACTGGAGACAGAAAGATAAAGGAGCCCCGTCCATGGGAGAGGACAAAGCTTGAATCAGAAACAAGCCCGGAGGTCATATTTCAACAGCTGGCCAGTGGTGGACTTGCGACTGGAAACCGGAACTTGTTCCTGATCCGATTAAGTCCCGCCTCCAGCCAGCGGGCGCTGTGTTGCTGTTCTTTGCTCTGCTCTCAACTCGTCCAATACTTCGCCTCGCCTCTCACTCTTCTTAACCCTGACGACCCCCCGGTGACAAGGAGGCGAAAAAATCAGAGATTGGACAGGGCCCAAAGGAAAATCCTATATATTCTCAAGAGAGGGATCTGCAAGTGCCAACAAGAAGCAAGTGAGTTGCCCAAAACCACGGGGCGTTCTTGGGCCTTAGAAAAGCGATGAACCCAGCTGTCTGGTGTCCATGCCAGTCCGACCTTACACAACGCCGGCAACCCCAGCAATAACAAAAGCAACGACAGCTTCCTAAACAGCAGTAACAGACAGAATTTTACCTCAACAACTCCTGCGACTCGCGCGACTAATGGCAAATACAATTTTTATACACACAGAGACGACCTTACTGAAAGAGATCATGAACCCGGGGTTTATTCTTGCCCTCTGATGCCCCTCCTCAAAGCGACGTGTGATCGGTCGACCTTTTTTGAAGGGCAGCAAGACAATTTGCATTGCATTTTGTTTTACCGCCTATTCGCTCCGCCTTGCTATAAGACCGAGTTCGTCCAACGTGGCTGCGTTGGCTGGAGGAGGACGCCCTCGAGGTCCGGGAGGAATGGCGGCCGACCCTCAAAACCTTCCCGACCCGGTTGTCGATAGCACCATCCGGCAGCTCCTTGACCAGCAAGCCGAGATTCAAGCAAGGCTTGCCACCCTGCTTCCCAGGCATGGCCCCAACATCAAATTGGAGCTAGACATGCTCCGCCATAAGCTGCGGTGTTTGCAAGTCTACTCCGATCATCACCGTGAGTTACTAACCACTGAAATGTTCTTAAGCAAAGTCTAATCCTGATTCGAAATTTCTTTATAGATATATCTGCCAACATTCCTATAGTATCTGAGCTAGAGGAGGCTAGGTCGTTGCAGTATCGGTGCGAGTGCATCGAAACTGCTTGCCTAGAACAAGGTGAGCAGTCCTAGAACCACGTCCAAATTTCTAGAGTGTCCCTCCAAGTTAGATATTAATTCTTCTGCAGGTCATGATCTGTCAGATTCAGCGATGGTCGAGACTCTCAAACAGCCACTCTTTGAAGAGGCGCCCGCAGGCTACGCAGCTTGGCTCGATCGGAACCTGGCCAGTTATGACCCAGTTGTACGCGGGTGGAGGATTAGGGATAGTCTGTCACCGTCTTCTCGATCTGCATCTTCCTTCAAATGCTGGGATGAGCGGTGCATACACTACATATATGGCTTCTACAACAAGAACGACCGAGACAGTCATGTGCGAGAGCATAACTTCTATTTTCACCGGGACTCGGGCATGTCTGTTGGCAACACTCCACCTCTGTCGTTTCTTGAGTCCTCAGCATCCCGGCCTTGGGGGCTCGACGCTGGCAAACATTCGTTAGCCTTGCAGCTTCCAAAGCCTGCGGCTGGTGTTCAACTAGCACCACTTACAGGTACAGGTCCGTCGAGAGACCGCCGCGATACTCTGCAGTCCTACTCTATTATAAATGAGCATTCTGGGCCTGGAAGAGGCTCGGTTGATTCTGAAGTCGACCCCCTGCTTCCACCTCTAAAGCGCAGCCGGGTTGGACAATCTCGTCTTCAATCCATCGGTGAGCTAAGGTTACTTCCAGGCTCTGAGCCCTGTTTGCGCTGCATCGTGACAAAACAGCCAGTGAGACTATTTCTACCCTAGAGGCATCAGTTGAAGTTGCTGACGATAGGCAGTGCGACTCCAATGAGCCTTGTTATTACTGCACAGACCAGTCCATGAGTCCCAGTAGCGACTTTTGGAAGGACATCGGGTGCCACCGCGGAACCTTGGATGGATTTTCCGATATGATGCTTTCAGGTTAGTCATCTCGAATGCGCAAAGACCTGCTGGCATGGCCTGACATCAGTACAGCTCCCGTGTCTCCTAGACAAACTCAGACACCCATTACATCCCCGTTAACCCAACGGAGAAGTATGAATGAACATCTTGAAAACAGCTATCGCATATCTCCAGATATACTGCACGCTGTCAAGTCAAACCTCGACTTCGATGATAGTTTTTGGTGGACAGAGGAGCTTGCGAATCTTCCGTTGACAAATCCTACCCTTTCCAATTATTCCAGAGATGCAATTGAGCGGCCGCCACCGATCTTGTGCATACTGACAGCGAGCTGGAATGGCGGAGGAACTTCATACAACTTTCTTCACCTTTTGAAAACTAGTGGGCTGATCGCAGCTACAAGAGAAACCGAGGAGGCCCTATTTCCTGTCCTATATCGAGCAAAGCTGTTGCTGAGGGAAGTCATCTTCTGGGACCTTCAACAACCTGAGCCTTCAATTCGCTTAGATGGTGGACCACTACATCGGCCCTTATCCGCCGACGACATCGACCAGGAAGCACACTATCGCCTATTATACAACTGTATGACGCAGTTCCTCCAAGCATTTGAAGGGGCAGCAATGAGAAAAACCCCACAAGACGCGAAAGGCTGGCTTGCGGTCTTCATTTCATTATGTATATTCAGTGTTGTTCGGACAATCTTGGTTGATATTGCATCCTACCTACCAAGACATCATTCGGCACAGACGCCGACGACGTGGAGAGGGGCCAGCAGCGTACAATCGATGCACAGCATCTACAAGCTCCTGGTTGCTCTATTTACCACTTCAGGGCCTATGCTTTTGGACGAGCAAACCTCCAATTTAGACGAACGCGACAAGGTCGTGATCGATTCCTTGCAGAAGATCGTGCGCAAAGACATATGGGCGCAGAATGGCTTCTCTTCTTCGAAGGATTTTTTGATGCATCTTGGAGACGGTGATGCCGACAGCACAGCAACCTTCAATGGCTTTCTTAGGCAAAGATTCCCCACAAAGGCCGGCTTTTTCGTCCTTCCCCCTATGGTTAAATCTGGAGAAGAAACGAAGCGTCCTCTGCACGATCCTCGAGCATTGGGCGACCCTTGGGTACCGAATCCAGTTCCGTTGTCAGAACGGGACTCGTTCACGAGTGGGAGGGTTGAATACCTGACCTCCCCTCAAGGAACTGATGCTTTAGGTCGTCGACATACAGTCGGAGAGAGCCCAACTTTCCATCGGGGGGTTCTAAGGCCCTTAGAATCCCCGGTCTCGGGAGGCAGAGGACGTCCAAGTTATCAGCGGCCACCATTACGCCGAGTCTTTTGCATCAAGTGCAACGAATATCCCGAGGGTTTCAGGGGCGAGCACGAGCTACGGAGACATACGGATGCCAAACACGCCGCACTAGTCAGGCGTTGGGTTTGTACCGAGCCCGACAGTTACAGTTCGACACTTCCACAGCCGGTTATTCCACTATCCAAATGCAAGGCCTGTGTGACGCAAAAACGATACGGGGCCTATTATAATGCAGCAGCTCATCTTCGCAGGGCTCATTTCAATCCGCATAGGGGTGGGAAGGCCAGTGGAGATTGGCCCCCAATGACCATTTTGAAGGACTGGATGCGAGAAGTCAGGCAATCTGTGGACATTCATGACAATGACGATTCGAGTGGAGGCGAGGAGGCGGACTATAAACCACCACTAGAGTACTTCGCTTCGCTGCCGCCTCCACCGCCGCAGATACGCTCCCCGACGTTTGCACCATCCATGATAGTAGCAGCTCCACCATCAGCCCCTTTGTTGATAGCGCCTGCGGAACCGATAGCCTCTTCCCAGCTAAGCAGTCCTTCAAGCAAGACGCTTGACAATCGCACGCGTTGCCCTCACCCAGACTGCGGAAGAGTCTTTAAAGATCTTGCGGCTCACATGCTTACCCATCAAGAGGAACGGCCAGAAAAGTGCCCCATTGAGACTTGCGAGTATCATACTAAAGGGTTTGCCCGAAAGTATGACAAAAACCGGCATGCTTTGACACACTATAAGGGTACCATGATCTGCCCCTTCTGCCCTGGCGTTGGAACCGCGTATGAAAAAGCGTTCAATAGAGCGGATGTCTTTAAGAGGCACTTGACTTCGGTCCACAATGTGGAGCAAACACCTCCCAATAGCCGCAAGCTTATCATTAGCGGATCCGGTAACGTTCGTGGCGATGGTGCTCAGTGCTCAATCTGCCAAGGTTATTTCGGTACGGCTCAAGAGTTCTACGAACATCTGGATGACTGCGTTCTAAACGTGATTGTGCCCGCGTCGACAAAGACACCCAGGGATTCGTCGTTAATTACGTCGACGTTGTCTGGGTTGGAAGAGAGGGAGAGGCCAGGTGAGAGTGATCTCGTAAACGCAAAACAATCACCACCCCCCGGCGAAAAGATGGATATCCACCCATAGCGAAGGTTTGGTGTTGGATAGAAGAGTTAGTTTCATTTACATGTGATGTACAAGTTGGAATCGCCACCCCCCAAATACCCCCGAGCTTTATAGGTCTTCTATTATTGTTTTTAGCGTAGTATTTCATAACATGATACCAAAGAGGGCAAAGTGAGTCTTCTTGAGAATTGAAGTAGTACGGTTGCTCTTGACTGTACATTGCCAACGTGCTGCCCAGGCTGTTGTCATGATGCTGCCAATTCGACTGCGACAGGTAGTTCTTTTCTATCCATATTAGGCCGTGCTCTACGCCCGAAAGCCATCAATGTTACTTATCACGATTTGAGTTATGATATTTAAATACAGGTAGTAGACACCTCACGCGGCCTTTGTGCGTACTAAATCAAGTTCCCCTTATCCAACTCCTCTATCACCCATACAAAGCTACATGGCCTACGGGTCACTTACAAATTTGCCTCTATGACATGATTTATATCCCGTTCATATATACATTTGAACCTGGCCATGTCATGGATCCAACCCATCATGTTTCCCGTTCATCCTCCTTCGCCAGTCGTTGTCGCAGTCAAAAAACGAGAAATAAATGAAAAGAAAGGGTGAAGAGCAAGAGAAAGTGAGGAATACGCCACGGCAGCTCATACCAACAGTCTTTCAAGCCGCAATGCCGACGGAGATAAGTCCAGTGCCGATCTTGGGCTTCCTCGCGTATCCGCTCAGCAGGCGCCACCCCGCACCGCAGCTCCTCCCCTCCTCGACGATGGCCGCGACGCCCTCGACGCTCTTTCCGGCCTCTCTCATAGTCGCACCGTCCGTCACCGTGTCAGCGAGTCGCAACTCGCCGCTGACTTTCTCCATTTCACACCGCAACAGCCAGCGTTCCCAGCTCCAGCCGCCGACGATGCCCGTCACATTGGCGATGCCGTCCGTACTCCCTGTAACCATTGCTTCCATGGTTACTGTACGAACCTCTTCGCCGGCCGGACTGGCCCGGACAGGAAGTGAGGGCAAAGGCTTTCCATGCTGCTGGGAAGGGTGGCGCGCCCCCATGGGTAGGCATATCCAAGCACGCCGGACCTCATCAAAACCTGCGCGAGAGAGACGGCCCAGAAACATCTTCGTCGGGTTAGGGTCGTAACCCAGTGTCTTGAGGTCAAACCCGAACTCGACACTCTTTGCCAGGCCTAAAGGGCCGGCGTTCATTATGTCCGAGTCAAGGATGGAAAATTCGAGGTAGCCGCCTGGCTTGAGCACACGCAGACACTCCTTAAGGCAAGTCTCCCATTCGTCTTCGCCGTTCTCGCCAACAAACTTAAGAATACTGTGCAGCTCACGTGCCGATATGAGATCAAACTGGTCATCTTTGAAAGGAAGACGAGTGAGTCTCTCAACGGCGACTTGGCGATGGTTGGGCGGACCCCGAATATTAGAATTCGACAGTTGGCGGATGGCCTTGGTTGTGACGGTATACACCTTGGTATTCGGATACTGTAGCGCGCAATGCCACGCCCAATCGCAGGCTGACTGGCCTCCAAGATCGAGAATACGAGCCCTGTCTCTCGCGACGCCGTCACGAACAGGGGCCATGCGGGAGATGCGCGCGAGACGCTTAGAGACGGGGGCAGAGATGAGCTTGCCGCCATTAAGCATTCTGATGGCAGCGACATGCCATGTTGAAATTGCCATCTGGGACATGGCCTCATTTTCCTTCTCGCGTTTCAGTTTTTCCGGGTCGTCGATAAGAATGTCATCGCCACGGGCTACATTGGCGCTGAGACGCTTCTTGGCAGACTGAGGCACGACGCTCAACTGATATTTCCCCAGGAGCTGATTACGATGAAACTCGCGGAGGCATACACGCTGAGCTTGCAGAGCTTCGAATCGGGGGAGGCTATGGACGAAGACGTCTTGCTTGGTAGATCGAATGACATAGTCCTGGAAGGCACGGTAATATGCCGATTCCTGTCTGAGTAGCTTGGAAGGCAGACGGCACGGAATGTTAGTCTTGGCTACGAACTCGGAGAAGCGGACAGTCTTCTTCTTTGGTAGTGCCAGTGCGATCTCTGGCTCTGGCAAGTTATCAGCGTCTTCATTCATGACCTCAGGAATAGGATCGAGGTTGTTGCCATCGCCATCTCCAGTATCTTCGGCTTCAACCGGCTTGAGATAGGCGCGCTGGGCCAGTAGCCACATCTCAGTGCGATCGAGGTTAGAAAGAGCGACTTCCTGTTGTTTGCGAGCATACTCTGGATCATAGACAGTGACGATCTCCGTCGGCGCATCCTCAGCCTCAGGAGAGGTTGGTTCAGCCAATGTGACCGAGGAGGTCGAGGCAACCGTAGGTATAACTGGTCTAGCGGTTGGCATATCATCCTCATCTAGTTCCTCATTCTTGATCTCGACAACCTGCTCAACTATCATGGGTTGAGAAGGAAGAGAGTTGCGGTAGAACTGCTCGGCAGAGTCATTGGCGTCATCAGCAATAAATCTGACTGGCGCAATTGGTACTGGAGGAACAGAGGCGTCCATGTTCCAAGGGCAGCGGTAAAACTGCTCTGCCGTAGTAGACGTGGGGGGTACCAGATCTTCAGGAGATCTCGAAGGGATGTGCCACGTAGTCCTCGTCCTTGGAGAAAGGCCCGAGAAAAATCCACCAGGTGATGGTATGTCGAGCTTGGTGAGGTCGGCCAGAGACCGACGGTGGGTATTGGGGGTAAGTTCAGCCACCCGCGCTGGTCGAGGCCGGATATTCGTAATGATTCGCAGTGGTTGTTGGCGCATCTCAGATAACGGCTCTTGGGGAATCTCGATTACCTGTTCAGCGGGTTCATGTTCGTGCTCATGCAAGCTCTCGTGGTCTCCGGAGAGGGCGTCTAGAGTTGCCAGAGCCCCAGGTTGAAGCCGAACACCAGACCAATCCTCTTCGTCCTTGCCACCGCTTTCACTGCCAATCACTGGAGTTGGCGGCGCCGAAATTTGTGCTAATTGCTCGGAGCTCATACTTCCATCCAGTGAAGGTGGAGCAGAGATGGTAGGAACATCCTGGGCCTGCCGAGCCTGCATAAATGATAAAACCTGAGGGGACATTTCAACCCGAGTCGGCGGTGTTGGCGGCACTGGCGATGCAAGTGACTTCTTGAGGCCGGCAGACCAATCCTCCGAAGATGTATTTCGGCCGGCTGGGATGACCAGAGGTGGCAAGGCCCTGCGAGCGCCAGCTGCTGTCTGCTTAGCTGGCTCATTGCGAGCTGAGTTTCGTCTTCTGACGGACGATTTGCGTGAAGGCACACGTCGAAACGCAGGTTGCACGTCTTCATCGCTGATGTCATAAAGATCGTCAAACTCGGTCACGTCCGTCATTACGCTTGCTCGGTTGTTGTTCCAAGGGTTCGATGATGTGGAGGGAGAACTTCCCTCGTCGTTTGAAGTAGTGGACGGCGATGACGGTAAGATTGGGGCGGAAAGGAAATGGAATCCTCGTGGGGTGGGAAAATGATCGCTCAATGGCGACAGCCAGGCTTCAATCTTTAAATTCGAGGTTGCATCTCTAGATTCTCTGTTGTCGACGGCGTGTTGAACGACCTCAATCTCCTCATTCTCTTCCTCCATTATAGTATTAAGCGACCTTCCCAGCCTTCGAGCCTGCGAGGGCGAGGGGGGTCTGTATGTTGATTGTGGTAAATGAACGCTTTCAGCCATTTTCCCTATGCAGTCAGATATCCAGATATAGACTTGCGGATCAATGTGCTGCAACGGTATAAATATAGGCAGAATGCGACGTTCTGCAATAACAGTCCGTCGAGGGACGACCAGCGTCGCTGCGAAAATTAGGAGGAAGATATCTTGTAAACGACAGGCTGCTTCGATCAACGAAGCCCTCAAAAGTTTGTGATAGCAATTACACGGTGAAAAGATGAGAAGATGAGGAAAGAAAATGACGCCCGGCGGTTGGCCGGCAGCGAGTGATATAGTCTGGTGAACCCTTCCTCTTCGCAGTGGGAGGCGGCTAACATGGTTGGCCGCACAAGTGGGTTGCGAACTACCTCACATGCACGCACATGCACACGTATACAATGGGGGGATAGTGGAATGCCAAGTTATGACCAAGACGGACAGACACCAGGCACTTCTGGAGCAGCGGTGCCTTCATTGAGGAGCATCCCATGCAGCGCCTGCTAGAAAGGCAGCACTGGCCCGAATGGGCATATGCTGCCGGCGCATGGAGGGTGAGAAGGCGGTGATGGGAAGACAACGAGCTCATCTCGGTCCCAAAGTACTACTGCATCGAGCCACGAGTTAACCTTTGGCCCAATCAGCGAGTTCAGGACTGTATCTAATTTTGGACACAGAAATCGATCATGGGTTGGTGAGCAGTGACTGGCTGGCGCGCGCGAATTCGGGAGCCGGAAGGTGGGAGCCATCCTGATTGGGACCACAGACATGTTCAGCCACCGGCCAATGGCAACTTCAGGCGCTGGGTCGGCGCTTAGAAGCTACATCGATTGGAAGCGGGTCAATCGGTTAATCAACATGGACAAGTTGAACGACCTCTAAAGGGGCCTTGCGGAGAACAAACTATTGACTGGTGCATGTGGTTCATTGAGACCATCATGCAAGACTTGAATGAAATTGCGGTCATGACTTCTGAATTCAAGGTCCGTCTGAAGCAACAAACAAGTGAAGGCGAATTCAGGATTCCAGTGGTGCGATGAAAATGATGTTGAGCTCGATCGATTTTGGTGAGACGGAGTCCGATTAGTTAGCGGCTGCATGCTGACCAAAAATCGGGCAAAAGCGCGTCACCGAAGGTGAGCGTGCGCTACTATGCAGGTTGATGAATCAACTTGCAGGTTTGGGTCGTTGACTTGTACTTAGATGCCTGTGGAGATGTTCAGTCCCGACGACGGCAGGGTTGGTAGGAGGTGATACTTTGTGGCTGACGAACTTTAAGCCACACATATTACATAATGGACGTCGCTCTGGTGGTCTACTGTGGCAGTTCATGCATGCCCCGCCATCCATTCAACCCCGCAGTCCGTCCTTGCAAGAAAGACAGAGGCACGCGTTTATCTCCGTCCTCGACTCTTTTGCTTGAGACTTCTGCAAGCAATATTCTCTTTCAGCCCCGGCCTTTCCAAGCGTAATGGCCGACAATGACAAGTCAGAGACTTCAGGCGAGCCTCAAGGCCGCCACGTGACCTACTGCGGTGGTAAGTAATATTCCTATCACCCCAAGGCCATCAGAGGTGCGAATTCTGACATGCTTTACCCCACGTTTAGTCTGCACTCTTCCTCCAGAGGTACGGTTTGGGACGATCGCAATACTCCAGAATTCCAGTATGCTCACTCAAACCCTGCGATATAGTACTGCGAGTATGGAGGCACCGTGAAGAAGTGCCAGGACTGGCTTCAAAAGAAACACCCACTGATGTACCAGACGATCTGGTCAGCAGGTATGAGCACAGTGGCCATCTCTAATATCGACGCCATACTTACATGAGTTCCCACAGAGGCCCTTGAGGCGGCCACCTCATCCCTGTCCGTTGACGCTCAAAAGCGAGCTGCGAAAGATGCTCAGAAGAAGGCCGCCAAGGCTGAAGCAGCCGAGGCAAAACAAGCCGACAAAATCGCTAAGAGCACCGTTACGATTAAAAGAATCGAGCGGAACAAAAGGAAGTTTGTTACATCCGTGTCTGGTCTGGAATCTTTCGGGCTGGAGTTGAAGAAAGTCGCCAAAGAATTCGGTAAGAAGTTTGCTACCGGCTCATCCGTTACGAAGACTCCGAGTGGCAGCGAGGAAATTGTCGTGCAGGGCGACGTGAGCGACGAGATTGAGGAGTTTTTGCTGGAGAAATACAAGGAGATACCCGAGGACAATATCGAACTGGTGGACGACAAGAAGAAAAAATCGAGCTCATAATGGGCCACACCTTAGGATGGCGTACTGCATCAATTAATTATGCTGTCATGTCTTATGTTCGTCATTCCCTTACACCATATCAACCCAATACGAGTGATTATTCCCAGATACGCCATGCATACGTTCCCAATACCAATAGTCCTCAATTTAAATGGAACCTTGCCAGATGCATGAAAAAAAATCATGCCCTCTTCCTCAGTACTCTAGTTGACCCTGCTGTAGATGCTGGAGCTGATTTAGGTGCCGCTGGCTTTCTGGTAGTTGAGGCTCCAACACCCTTCCTGATTGTCCCCATGACAGTCCTTTTTGTTGTAGCAGCCGGTGCTGCTGCTGATGTCTTCTTGACGACCGTTCCCGTACTACCCTCGCTTGAGTCGCTCACTCGCTTACCCGTACGCGTAGCGGGCCGTGAAGGCGGCTTACTCGCAGTTGTTGTGTTAGCTCGCCTCGTTCTTGTAGGCACAGGCGCTGAGGAGTTCACGGGCGCTGAGGCATTTGAGCTGGCTGTTGAGGATGCCAATCCACGCGTAGGGGCCCCGCGGCCTGTCTTCTTTGCCATCTCTACCATGCTAGTCAATGCTGAACGAGCACTGTTATGTTGCTTTGCAGGCGATGAGACAGGTCGACCAATCTGGGATTTAGACGGCGATGATAGGGGCCGATCACGAATGAGGGATCGGGTATTAGATGAAGTTGGTGACAGAATTTGAGACGAGCTCAAGGCAGTCGTTGCTGGTCCTGCACGGTGTTTCTTCTTTGGGTTCAAAATTTGTTCGTTCTCTTTGTCTCCGCCGGCCATGGCATCACTGTAGCGCAAAGTCAGCTAGCATTACGGTACATCATGGGAGACCAATACCAACCTTAGCCGTTTGGCAGGTCGTGCTGGTGGTGCCAACTTGTGAGGGTTAGCCCGTGGGGGGAAATCTTTTTCAGGCACTGGAGGCGGTCGCGAGACCGACTCAAGACGCCTCTGTTGTTCAATGGCTCTAGCTACAAAGTCGGCCATGGTCATCTTGAGCATTGATCTGGGAACACGGTTGACGCGCATTTGAATGCGGGATCGAAGAGTTTGAGCCTGCTGGTTGTATTGTGCACGCAGCCTTCTGGCGCGGTCGGTGACTACATGCGCAGTTAGAGAGCGTGTTTTTTTTCTTTTCCTTTTACAATACACATATTTCTCGACTCACTCTCCAGTTGTAGGTTGTCGATTATTGCCTGCTTTTGCTCGATGGTGATTCCAGCCCTTGGCCTTTTGCTAGGACTGCTGCTCAACATGGTGGGCGTGCCCGTCTTGGTAGGCACTGTCTGTCTTTGAGACATCGTTGATTGATCAGTTTCGTCTGATGATCTTTTTTTCGATCGCGTCGGAGCCGTGTCGCTGCTAAAGTCTGAATGATTTTAGGCGCGGTCGCGGTTGGCAATAGATTAATGTGCCTAATCGCGACGGAATCGTGAGGATATCGAAGCTTCAAATGATGGGGACGGAAGCTCTGTTGTGAGTGGCTGACGCCGTAGAAAGTAAACAAACCCAACAAGGGACAAAGCCTTATGTAAGGCAGTCTTCACACCTACAATGCCGCAAAGTAACGATGACTCCCCTGTCGGAGTCCGGTACAGGGGCATATGTTCTGGAGTGATGACACTGTGAGAATTAGTAGGGCAACCTCTTCCAGTAGGGTCCTTCTCACCAACGATCAGCTGCACTCTTTGCTCAACATGATTATGAGATAGAAAGTCGTTGATTACTGAGACACTGCTTTGAAGTACCACATGAGAAACGAATAGTTAATTGGCAGAACGCGTCGGTCACTATTAGGCGGTCTGTATCTCAAGAAGTACATCGGGGGAAGGTTGCTTCGTGTTGCGGGCTGTCTAAATGTGGTAGCGGCTAGATTTCCACAGACTAAATAACCAATACAAGGTATTTCTGAGTAAGTCTGCCGCAAAGTTTCGGCACCTGCCATAGCAGCCACCTGAGTGCACCTTCCAGGTATCCACTACATGTACGCAACCAGCATCACCAGGCTGAACTGCCTTACGACAGAAGCTCTGCCACCCTACCTTACACCAAGCTCATCCACAGCCATCCGGAGCTCCTTCGGCCAACAACTATCGATCACGACTCTTGATACGAAATTTCTGACGCTTTTGAAATATCACGATCTGAATTATTCTTTCTTAAGCATATTCCTCTTTGTCTAATCGCTGGCGCTCTGCCATACCCGTCAAGATGGTCCTCGAAGCTGTGATGGTCGTTGTCGACAACAGCGAAAGCAGTCGCAACGGCGATTACCAGCCAACAAGGTTTGACGCCCAGGCTGATGCCGTCAATGTCATTTTCCAAACTATCACCAACGGCAACCCTGAGTCTTCGGTTGGCCTCATGAGTATGGGTGGCAAGGGCCCCGAGGTGCTGGTTACCCTTACGACAGATCAGGGCAAGATTCTTGACGGCCTGCACCGCACCAAGACCAAAATCAAGGGCTCGTCACACTTGGCGACGGGCATACAAGTCGCTGGCGTAAGTGCAGCTGAATTCCTATGTTTCCCCCTACTCTTCAAGCGCTTCCCCGCTGACGAACATACCCCTCAGCTTGCTCTCAAACACCGTCAGAATAAGTCCCAACGACAACGAATAATCGTCTTCGTCTGCTCGCCCATCGAGGAGGAAGAGAAAAAACTTGTTCAACTGGCGAAAAAGATGAAGAAGGGCAATGTGTCGGTCGACTTTGTGCTATTTGGCGACCTGGACGATGACGATACGCAGAAGAAGCTACAAGCATTCAACGAAAGCGTCAAGGGTGGTGAGGGTTCTCATCTTGTTGTTATTCCGCCCAGCAGCAAGCTTCTCAGCGACCAGCTCATTTCAAGCCCAATCCTACTGGGCGACGCCGCGGGCGGCAGCGGCGGTGGCGGCATGGAGAGCAGTGGCGGCAACTTTGGTGAGTTCGACTTCGACCCGGCCATGGACCCAGAGCTTGCTCTTGCACTTCGTATGAGTATGGAGGATGAGAAGGCTAGGCAGGAGAAGAAGGCACGCGAGGAGGCCGAGGCAGGGCAGAAGGGTTCACTCGAAGACATCAAGGAGGAGGGCGAGAATGCACCCCTCCTCAAGGATGGAGGCGAATCGAGCAAGAAGAACGACAAGAAAGACGACGACAGGATGGACACCTCCTAGTTTGGTTACTTCTTTCTGAAAGATGATTCGTTTGCTTGATCACTACTTGAGTATGTAAAATAGAATATTGGCTTGGTCCTAGAGGCATATGCTGCTCAATAGAAGGTCCTGGTACTCCTGCAAACGCCGTTACATTGAAATCCCCATCCTTTCAAGTACGAAAAGAAAAAGAAGCTGTATCCTCCATTATCTAACCAACATGTTGACGACGTGCAATCGCGTCCTACCGATTGTTGATCTCCCTAATATATGAGAGGAGCTTCCGCTCATACATCTCACATCGGATAGGCATCTCTAGTTGGTAGAAGGGATTCTTCATTACGTAGTCGCTGTAGAGGTCATATATCCGCCGTAGGATCACGTCGATGTTGGTCTGCGTCGTGTCGGTGAATAACAAGAACTTGGTGCCGGTCATGGTATTGAAACACTGCAGGCGAAAATTTTCTGTTTCCATAACTTCCAATCCTGATGGTGGCTCCGGGCGGGTTGGGATCCCTCCTGCTGCGTTTGCTGCCGCTGCGGCAGCGGCCTGCTGGTTCTTTAAGGGGTGGAGCCGGGTGGTGATGGCATGAACGCTGTGTTTGTGTGAGCCTCCTTGAAGGTGGAGGGAGATAGGCGGCATAGGCGTCTTTGCTCACCCATGAAACGTGCCCGCTAACACGAGGTAATCATTTGTGCTTAGCTGATTGAGGCCACCCTCGTGGAAGGTGCGATTGTAAATCAAACCTCCAGCCTTGTTGATGACGATGAGCGCAAAAACAGTCCTGTATTCAAATTAGCGAATGATAATATCAGATTAGCCATGTGAAGCACAAACATGATTTCTAGTCAAATCACCTCACATCCGATGACTTCTCGGTTTCGCTCCTTATTTTCAATGTTAATCCTCTCAATCAGATGCCAAATACTCCAACTGGCCTCAGGTTCGATTGGGGATACTTTACGGTGGATGAGGTGCAATGCTGGCCCCTCTGCCGTTTGCTTCACTATACACACGCCCCCAGTAAGTAGCACACACCCCTCGGTGCCTGCACTAGCCCCGAGGACCGGTGGACCTGTGTTTCTTCCCCGACAGAAACGACCTGAAGGCGAGGCAAGCACCAGGGTCTGCGGTTGCCGAACTTCCATCCACCGGATTCTCAGCCTCATCAACAACTGAATTCGAACACAAAGCACCATCGGTACATACAGCCGCTGCCTACTTTCCTGACCACGCTAAGTTTCCCGATAGCCCACGAGCACCCCGTTGCAATTTTTCGAAGCGCAACATTCGACCGACCCCAATCTGCTATTCATCGACTCTTTTCTTACTTTGAACCACACGCAACACGCAAAATCACAACATGTCGCATCACGCCCCCACGTCGCGCCCGAAGCCTCCACCGCCAGGTAGCGAGGAAGCTTCGACGATTCTCAATTTGGGAGAGTTCCAAAATGTCGATACACTTACCCTCTCCGAAGCGTCGCTGGTTATCAATGCGCTTGTAGCCAAGCGTAAGATGGACCGCAAAAACATCAACGAAACAGAGTGAGCTATGCGCTTTACCCTCGGACATAATCGATTTTCTTCAGGTTACGGATGGTAATACTGCGGGAGCGATCGCTAACTGTCTCTGCAGGATGTTGACCCAGACTCTTAACTACCTCGATGCTTTCTCTCGTTTCCGCCAAAAGGAAAACGTGGAGGCCGTTGAGCGACTGCTGAGTGCCCATAAACAATTGGCAAAGTTTGAGCGTGCACAAATAGGTAAGCTGCACGGCGCCCACCACCTGGTACTGACCAAAAGCTGACCGTAGAATGAGGCTCCCTCTGCTGCGAAACCGCCGAAGAGGCAAAGACCCTCATTCCGTCCCTCCAGGACAAGATCAGCGACGACGATCTTCAAATACTCTTGGATGAAATCAGCAAGCTTCAGAGTCGATGACGGGCTTGAAAAATAATCTTACCTATGTGTTCAGACTTGCATGGTCGTTGCAGAGCAATGAACAGCCATTATGTGAGAAGGAGGCGAATCAGCGAAAAAAGAAGCCTGAAGAGGAAACAACCGGAAAGGACCCTTGGTGCTTCAGAAATATACAAGAAAATGGGACGGGAACGAAAACGTTTCTGTAAAAGAAGGTTATATTGCATGTCTGGCGTAAATTGGAGGGGATTAGATTGCTTTAGTACGTATGTGTTGAATCTCAAAATACCCATCGAGCTTGTCAGAAGACGGCTACTAGTACACATCCACTCTCCCGCATCAACCACGTAGCACACTTGTTGTATTCTTTCCAGACGTGGCCATACTATGTACGCAGTACTACTAGAACCGGTATATTAGTAGGTCTACCTATCTCTACCCCTGTAGCTAGTCTCCTGGCTTGCTTGTCCTCCAACTGGTTCCTCAAACTTCCTCTCTGTGTCTCCCCTGGCAAGAACCGGTAAGATCAAGCGGACTGAAGTAATGGGGGAAAAGAGCAGACTCTGGGTATCATTAACGCCGGTAGCTGTCAAACATCCTCATCACTAGTTCACTAATTGTATAATAGCCCTCTCCCATGGACCATCATTGTCGAGTCTTCAGGCAGCTAGTGCCCGATTGCCTCAGTTTTGCATGTACTTCTTATCGCGTGGACGCCTTTGTGGACTTCAGTGTCCCAGTAAGATAACTCGGCGAGGTCTCAGCAACCGGGTACAGCGAGGCCGTGTTAGAACGGTAAGGCTTATATTTCTGAGCACCGCTGCGATTGCTATGAATCTCGACAACCCTAGGCAAACCAGGGGAAGCCAGCTCAGCAATAGCTGCCTGCTGCGGGCAGCCTTGAATTTCAGGGGTCGCTGTATTCGTACGTGAGATATACTCAGGGCTGGTAGTAGCGGATCTGGCCATGACAGCCGGCGGATATTTGACGTTGACAGATTCTCGTGACGACAGGCTACCAGGGATATTCATCGTTTTATGGTTAGAGCAACTGTCCCCAACCCGGTTGAAACGGCTTCGGGACTCTTCATATCGCCCTTGCCCTGTAGGTGATCAGCCTCCAATACACTTGACCCCTGGGAAATCGGCAAACTTACCCTCGAAAGGAGGAAACATGTCTTCAGGTCTGAAGGAATTGGCACTTGTCGACGGCGTATGCTCGTCTTCTTCCTTCACAGTGTTTCTAACTTCACCTGTGTCAATCGAATCTATGGATTCTCGAGATCTGAGTTTTCTTCTTTGTTTACCGCACATAAAATAAGCAACAATGACAGCCAGGACGACAGCAGCAACAGCGCCAATAATTCCACCCTTCACGGCAACAGAGAGCTCTGTATCTCCCTTGCCCGTCACCGACGCAGTAGCTGAAGTGATGGGGATCGAGGTCCGAGTGGTGATGGTACTGAAACTCAAAGATACGGCAGTACGAGATGGCATCGGCTTCGTGTCGGTATACCAAGCGCCTCCCGCGCCTCTCGTGGGTGTAGAATTGAAGTAGGTTGTTATAACAAGCCGAGATGGCTTCGTTGGTGAGGGCCGTGGTGAGTTGATAGTAGGGCTGGGCTTGTTCTCTGCCGACTTCTTGGTGGTTGAGGATGCCAAAACGGGCGGAGCGACAGCTGCAACGGTGGTAGCTTGATTGTTCCTGACATGAGCGCGAGGACAACCAGCAGAAAACTGGCAGGCTTCGACATCACAGCAACCTTTGAATAGGCTCCCGCAGTCGTAATATTTCCAGTCTGGAGGGCAGTTGAGGAGGGGCTCATTGCGCCTGACATGCAGTGTATCGACGAAAGAGATCCGCATTATGGGGTCTGTTGGTATTGTTGGGTACGTTGTTTATAGTCGGTGAGAGAAGACTGATTCAGCAGCGGCCCCAAGAACACTCTGTACCACCATTACAGCAGAACGGCAGCAAGGAAAACGAAAAGGAGCTTGTTGGCCTGGCTAACAGTGCGGCATGCGAGGTGTAAATGTGGAAAGGGTTTGCTCCAACTGTGGTTCAGAGAATTAATCCAGAAGATATATTTGTTGGTTTCTTTCTCAAAATGTTGTTCTCTGTCTTCCAAGAGAGAGAACAAGAAAGAAAGAAAATTAAAGAGGAGGCGAATTATGCTGGGAAGGCTCTTTCTTGTTTACGAACAGTGCTAAGTTGACGTTGTTTTCTGATTGAAGGGAAGGGACGATGGTATTACCTCCTTTATTCTTGCCTCACTTGAATTTCTGCCACTGACCTATCTTGTTTTTCTGTCTTTACCTTCGGCCTTGGCTTTCGCCCCCTTCTCCCCGGCTTGATTTTCTCACTAGTCTTTGTCACTTTCATAAGCCCATCTATATCACTAAATTCATCACACTGGCCATGATTTCACTCCCAATGGGCAGAAGCGGTAGCCAAGGTGGGACAGGTGATGGCGCCAAGTGAGAGAGGTCGGCGATTCCCAGCCGTAGTTTGAGTCTCATTCAGTTTCCGTCATAACTATAACGCTCTCTGAGCGCCAACTTGCGCTAGGTTGCAACCCGGTAGTCGGTGACATATATTTTGTTCAGGTCAAGCTGCGTTTGCACACCGGTCGATGCTTTTATGGATAGGGTCAGGCTATCTAGGATAACTACTACTTTGTGCTTCACGAGTCACGACGCGGGGGGCCGAGAGCGTGGACGGAAACGGACAGTTGGGCAACCAAAAGCAGCAGCAAACCCGTTGCATCTGGCTACATCTAGGAACCCCGCAGATGATAAAGCCTCCTGAAATCCAGACTCTTCCTTCTGTGACGCCACAGATCTTGGTTTGGCGATCTCAGCATCTCCAATGACCGAAGCTGTGGGATTGAATGTTCCAGTACTCAAGATAACCACCAACTCCTTATATTGATGCCCCAGCTATGGAGACCTATTGCACGCCATCAACACAGCGAGTGGCCACGCTGCTATGCGTGTGTGGGTATTGAGAAAAAAAAGAAACATGAGGAACAACTTTTAGCTTCGCCCGTCCCAGTTACATTTTACATCATCTACAATTTCTCCAACAAAAGCTTGCTGCCAAGATTGCCAATGGGCTTATCTGACTTTGCACCACCCTTTTTGCCCTTCTTAGCACCCTTCTCGCCGTTCTCGGCCTCTTTTAGGGCCTTTGCTTCCCGGTCAGCCTTCTGTTCGGTCGTCTCCTCGGTCGCAGCCTTCTGGAGGTCCTTCTTGCGGCTCTTCAGAGTCTTCTTCAGCTCAAACGCATGACTAAAATCTTCAGCCTCCAGCATGTTAAGAATTACAAAGGAACTCGGCCCAGTCGCCCACTCGAGGATGTAACCCTTGATGACTGGGTACAAGATGTCGGCGAACTTCAGCGGCGGATCAATAGGTTCGACCTTGCCGGTCTCTTTGTTAAACTTGCCACCAGCGATCAGCGTCTTGATCAAACGACCTCCATATGGTGTCCTAGAAACGTGTACCCGAGGTGCGACGCCATCCTCCTCCATGGGCTCCGCGGTGGGGTCGCCCTCCGCAACAGCAGCGATGGCCTTTGAGGCCTCCGTCTTATCACCTTCGGCAGAGAGCAGCACGTCAGCAACGAGCTGGCAACCAAAGGGATCTGCCACCAGAGTAGATGCTGAGGAGATGACGGCTTCAACAAGCGCGGGAGACATCGCAGCCACCAGCTCCTTTCTCCGCACTTCGGCATCCTTCTTACTAGTTGTCTGACGAATTTCATGAACCTCCTTGAGAATGGCGAGATCGTCGCTCATGCTCGCAGGGAAGAGTGCCCTAGACTGACCCTCAAGCAGATACAGAAGAGTCGCCCTGGCAAACGGGTTCGTCGTCGAGACGATGATATTCTCTGTTGCCCTCTCCTTGTCATCGCCAATCAACTCAGAAAAGACGGCTTTTTGTGTCATCTTCGTGTCGTCGATGACATCAAAAGCAGTCAAAATAACGATATGTGCGAACGGATCACCCGACATCAGGACGAAGTTGTCCTTGTAGGCCTTCAGCAGGTTCCTGCGGTCCTTGGACGAGCCGTGAGCCAATAACAACGCCACCAATCGAGAGCCAGAGCGGGTAAACGCCATGTTCTTCAGGAGGTCACCAGTCTCGTCATCCTTGATCATCTCCATGAACATTGTGAAGTCTTCGGTGCCAGGCTTAATGTTCAAAAAGTACTGCAGCATAGCGTCGTGCAGCATGGTGAAGCCTGTCATCTTCTTCTGAAGCAACGAGTTGATCATGTCGTTAAGGCTCTTTAGGATAGGGCTGCGCTTGCTGGGGTGGCTTTCTAGAATCTCGGACAAGTCCGAAGTCGGCTTCTCGTCCTTGTTGCGCTCGAGGATTGCAAATTCAGGGCCATACCACTCTCTCAGAAGAATGGCCTTCTGCTCCTTCGTCGCAACCTGTCGGTAGATATCATCCAGAATCCAGGAAGCCTCTGGGTGGTTGATAAGCTTCCGAACCTTGCCGTAAAACTCGGGAATAATAATGTTCTTGATCTCTGAGTCGGCCTGCACAACCAGCTTGGCAATAAGGAACTTGGCGTATCGGCTCTCGGCGAGTTGGGCATACGTTCCTTGAAGTTCCCGCGTGATCTGTTTCTTTTGCGCAACGGTTGAGTACTTGATTGCAGTCTGGACGGCTCGAGTGGCATCGTGCTTGAGAACAAAGTCTTTAATGCGTCCGGTGATAATGGTGAAGAGCTCATCAACCAGCTGCTTCCTCTCTTCAGACGGCACGTGGGACTTCCTCCTCAACCTCTCCCAGATTTTCTTGGTTCGTTGCAACTCGTCAGCAAGGGGCTTCGCAGCCTTACGCTCCTGGGCCAGCTTCTTCTGGATAGCGTGAGACTCTTTAGAATTTTGGCCTGTGCATTGTCGAGTTAGCATGTTGGGTCAGCCAGAGCAGCGGGAGATACTATGTTAGCTTACCTCTCTCGAAAGTTTTCCCCTTATCACCGCTACCACTTGTCTTCTCACCCTTTGCCTGAGCCTGCTTCGCCCTCTCACGAGGGTTCAGCTTAACTCCTCCGTCGTCAGAGTCTGAAGACTCTCCAACATCTTCTGCATCGTCTTCCGAACTTTCGACAGGTGCGGCCTTCTTCTCGAACTTGGCCTTTTTTGACTTGTTATCTGAAGCACTCTTGCCAGCGGGTGCATTCTTCCGCTTGCTGCCCACTTTGATACCGTTGGTAGCCATTGTGAAATCCCGGGTGTTGTGTTGTAGAGAGTGGGAATCGCAATATGTAAACTCTCTGTCTCGTGCACAAAAAGAGCACTCAGACGAAAGGCTGGCTAATGGAGACTTACAGCAGGCGCAAGATGCTAGGAAATCTGAAATTTTTATTTTATTTGCCGGGCGGTCAGAGCCGTGCTAATCCGTATCTGGTGGTCGACCCCACCATCCTGCATGTACGTACCTGTACTACGACAGCAACATCTTTCAACCATCAACTGCACTACAACGGCGACGTAGCAGCACACCTTCCGATACCAACCTCTAACGTTTACTAAATAGTAGACAGAGGCCAATATAGTAACCACTATGGGTCGCGAAGAACAAGTCGAAGAGCGCGAAGTGCTCGAGTCCATCTTCCCAGAGGAGATCACAGGTGCAATTACCCCACCATTACCATGCCATGCCGTGGTATGCCACCTCAAGCGGCACACAACTGACCATAGCTTCCAGACATTTCGGAGACCGAGTACAGAATATCAATTGTACTCGATGTGATTGGGGATGACGAACCGCCTACTATGCTTCTGCAAGTTCGCTATCCAGAGGCCTACCCTGATGAACCGCCCATGCTCGAACTGCAGTCCACTCCCAATGCTGCCCCGCACGAGTGGTTCAACGTCTCGCAAGACAAGGAGCGCCTCCTCAAAGGCCTGGATGAGACGATACAGGAGAACCTCGGAATGGCCATGGTATTCACACTCGTCACGACTCTGAAAGAGGCCGCTGAGGCTCTCATCGAGGAGCGCAAGCTGGCTAAGGAGAAGGAGCATGAGGAGGCCCTCCTCGCCGCAGAGCGAGAGGAGAACAAGAAGTTCCAGGGCACACCCGTGACACCGGAGACATTTCTCAAGTGGCGCGCTGATTTCCTTAAGGAGATGGAGGAGTTGCGACAGAAGGAGGAGGAGGAGCGCCTCGCGGAATTGAAGAAGGCAAAGATCAAGGAGCCCGTAAAATTGACAGGAAAGCAACTTTGGGAGCGTGGCCTGGCTGGTAAGGCTGATGCCGAGGATGATGAAGATGGTGGAGTGATTGAAGGTGTTGAAAAGCTCAAGGTTGAGGCGGCGTAGATAGCCGGCGTCTTGTGGACGGGAGGAGTGCATTACACGGGCGTTCTTGGTTTTATGATGTGGGATTTGAGAAATGATTGTGGCCTGAGAAGTAGACCTCGTCTATGTACCTCGACGAATAAACTCCTCCAGAGGAAGAGGAGACATGCCTCTAAGAACATCCTTTTTTGTTACCAAAACTCCAGACGCCATATTCACATCCACAAGATCCCTGCTTCCCAACGGCTGTGACCTTGTGTCTGTCGATTGGGACACATGAACACGTTTTATTCTTCCATGGTCTCGTCGCCATCGCTCTCGGCATCCTCCCATCCATCGTCATCCTCCTCATCCGCCGGAGGGTCGCCGAGTTCCTTGTTGATGGCCGCGAACAGCTCCTTGGAGTGTTCACCCAGGCGTTCATCCTCATACTCCTGAGCTGCGTACAGATTCATGCATCGCATCAGCCACCTCCGCGACGTGCTCCATGTCACCTTCCACTCATCCTGATCCTGACTCTCCAGCTTCTTGTTCTTGAATTTCTCGCCCAGAATAAAAAGCGCCCATCCGCCGAGGTACCATGCTTCAACGCTCTGGTCATCGTCCCCAACAAGTCTCTCCAGAACCTCGATGGCCTCCTGCTCCATCTCTACCTCGAGCAGCAAGCGCACCAAGCTGATGCGTGTAGCGAAGTCGGGCACATGAGGGTCAAGCGGCGGCAAGTTAATCCACAACTCCAAGCTCCTCGTCAACGCTGCCTTCGCCTCGTCCGTCTTCTCCTGCGATATACGCACGTTGGCGATAGTCTGCCATGTCTCAGCCAGATCGGGCGCAACAAGGCCTGCCTCTGTGATGAGCGCTTCGCACCTCTGCTCCGCATCAGCCTCCCATGACAGGTCCGTCATGTACACTTCAGCGACGGCACACAGGGTACCTCCTAGTTTCCTCTTCTTCTCCTCGAGCTGCGCCTCTTGCTCAGCATTGCGCTTCGGCAAGTCCACCAGTGCCTGGATCTGGCCCCTGAGAGAGGACGCTCCGCGTTCGAACCAGTTCACACTGTCCTGACCGCCCTCTTCACTCAACTGCGCAAGCCACAGGAACTTTTCTGGCCCGCCGCCTATGCGTTCATCGAGGGAGCCATCCTGATCGAGCTCGACGGCCTTCAGGAAGTGGGCTCTTGCATCGTCAATCTCGCCCATCTCGATGCTGATCTGGCCTAGGAGGTTGATAGCTGCCAACTCATAATCTCCTCCGGAACCGGTACCATCGAGCGCCTTCTTTGCTGCTGAGACCGCTTTTTCCAGTTCGCCCTCTTGCAGCTTGGTGACAGCCTCCGCGAGGTGGAGGGCCGGGTTGGCGGCCTTCTTTTCGGTTCTCTTTTTTGATTTTTTATTGGGGCGAGTTGGCGCCATTTTAATATCCGAACCTTCGAGTTGAAAGCAGTAAGAAATGAACTCAGGATCTTTGGTTTTCTTTTGGTATCAATATGGAAGACTTGAGTGAGGGATGAGAATGGGAGGTGAGTTGACTGGGCTTTCGCTGGTGGTGGGTTCAACCGCGCCTGTTAAAGAAAAAATCTTATCGCAAAAGCTTATCGATAAGATATGAGATAATGACGGGGTTGCTATACCGACAGCTCAGCACTCTCACCCCATCCTCGTTTCTAACATGCTGATCTCTCATTGTTTGCCTTTTCTTCTCAGGATTTGAATCGCAGATCAACCATACACTAACCATCATAACCTAAAATTAAGTGCATAGCATGCTACCGTTCAATGTTCATGGTCAGTTGACTCCTCGTAAGGGAAGATAATTAATATTCGTGACGAATTCTGAGTTTGTTATGGTTCAAAAGCATATAGGAGATATGACAAGGAAATCACTACTCTACATCACAGTATTGGAGGTTTTAAGCAGAACGGTTCATCAATGAGAATCGCTGCCTGATGTAGCTGAGCCCGCAGAGAGGACAAGGAGAGTTCGTATTCAAAGTAGATGCAAACCGATCCACTAACTTCGAGTATTGTAGATCCACCGACGGTCATGAGCATCCTTGATGGAGAGCACAGCACAATGGCAGGCCTTTCGTAATGCGTATCAGAGAAGACGTTAGCGATTAAACTATATAATAGAGACTAAATAACCTTTATAAAAAAGCTTCATGACTAGATATGAATCCTACCCAACCCCTGGGCCTGAACGACGAGAACTTCTCAAGTATAATAACAAGCCGCCCATCAGATACCAGCCTGGTCCAGTTTTTAAGACGCCGTCGCTAAAAGCACCCATATATGAACATGACAACCATACGCCATTCCCGTCCCAGGTTCCATTTACTCAGTAACCAGCGGTGCCGAGTGCTCCACTACAGTGGATCTATACATCGTTTGCATTAAAAAGCGACAGTAGTAAGTGACTGAAAATAGAGAATATGCGAAGATGAAGAAATGTGGTTCTCAAAGAGCCCGGCCTTGCGTTGAGGAACTTCTGCTTGGAGGACTTCGTTCATCGACAAGCTCGGCCGAAGTACCAAGCAAATCAACCTGTTGATCTGAACCGGGATCCACTCTGCTGATGCTGTGCTGTGCAACAACTCCATAGCTAGTTGGTCGCTCGGTGCTTGGCGTCCTGCGAATGTTAAAGTCTTCCATTGAGGATCCGTTAGATGATAGACGTTTTCGGTGAGATTCTGACCGCTCGAAAGGGAGGCGGCCTGGCGTTGCCGCTGCCTCACCACTAGGCAGGCCAGAAAGAGGTCCTGTCGGTGATGTCGGCGGTATCAAGTTAAACGAAGGAGTAGGCGAGTGGCCACGAGCCATGCACGAGTCCCTCTTCGAGCTCTTTCGAGGAATCTCAGGGATATCCGACTCTGTAGATTGCCGTCGATGTCTCTGAGATGGTTGCCGGCTTGCGGTTGACGCCACTCGACTCGGCAGTTTAAAGCTTCCCGGGCTCGCAATTCCGGGGAGGGTGGGCGGTGCGTCTGATACTTTCGGAATGCTAACTGTTTCGATCTCTGAGTCAGAGGACACAACCGACACTCCGTCATCGTTGAGCAGATTGTCAGTGTTATCATTTTCTTCCCCATTATCCGCAGGATTTCGTGTCGTCTTGTTCTTTGGCTCGTCGTCATCAGACTCTATTGGCCCATTCCTCAAAACACCCATTGCCACGGGGATTCCCTCCGGTGGGGGCTCCGCAACATACTCCGCATCGGCCGCCGCACGCATGGCTGGCGGCATCCTTGAACTTCGCACAACTTCGAACCCTTTACCCTTCTCCTTGGTCTTGCCACCAAAGAAGTTACGGAACCATCCAGCAGCAGAGGACATGGGACCAGTAGGATCAGCAGGGCCAGTTCCAAGCTTGCGGCCAACGCCCTCCGAGTTCAGAGCGGGGCCTCTGACACCATAGTAAAAGTCCACCTCTCTGGTCGAGTAATCAGCTCTGGGCGCTAAATTGATGGCCTGAGGGGCAGGGGTAGGCCCCCTTGACAACTGCGCCTCCAAATCTGCAGCATCCAAGTGTGCGCCCGCCTGGCTGTAACGACGTGAATCTGCAACAGAGGCCCTGTTTAGAGACGTGGATGAGCCGTTGATGGTATCCCCGCGGCGGCGCGGAGGGCGATAGTACGGATCAGCAGATTCGACGGTGACTGCTGCTGGTGGTCTGGTTGCTGCCGCAGGTGATGGTAGAAATGAAAAGGTGCTGACTTCACCGGGAGTCGTCGGAGTGAAATTGCTGCCGCTGTCAAGGTTGCGAGCATGTCCGGTGTAGGGATCAATGCTGTCAAGGGCAGAAGAGCTTCGGTGCTGACTTCTGAGGAGGAATCCGCTGCCTGCCGACTCACTCCTTAATCTTCCGCCTCTCATCACATAACCAGTTTTTGATGCTTCTTCTGCGTCAAGCATACCCGTGGTTGACAACTGGCTCGCTCGCGAAGGGCCGTTCTGGCGTCGAGAAGTACGTCGCTGCAGCTGACGCATTCCAAAAATCTTGGACAAGCCACCGCGGGTGAGGCCACGGGTGTCGTCGCCTCCAGCACCAAAGAGCCGCGCAGTGACCTCGATAATCGTCTGTATGGCATTTAGGAAAAAGCCAAGCACCAACACGCAAGCATGGATGAGTAAGATGGTATAACCGATCCAGCCCTTGGGGCCCTCTGTAACCCCCATCTGAGGCACGAACGCAACCATGAGCATAACAGTTGCGAATCGGAGAACAGAGAAGAGGGTATGGTAGGCATTCATTGACGTTGGAGACTGAAAAGGCCGGAACGCGTGTAGAGTCAAAACATGGATTACCTCACAAATAGCGAGAATGACAATTTGCGCAATGCCAGCCGGTTGCACGGCCCCAACGGCGATACCTCGAATGAAAGTAAGAATGACCGGTACAAGAGCAAAAGCGGCGGCCTCGTCCGAGTATGTGTTGTAAAGAGGCCCATAAAGAAGAACCGTTGGAAGGTCGTCGAACAACACTGCTCTTGGCCTGGTCCTGAAAATCAGATACAAAAGCCAGGCGGCGAAACATATCAGTATAATCAGAGTAATGACGGCTAGGGCGACTGCGAATTCGCGAGACTGGCCAGCAACGACTAGTTGAAAAGTCGACAGGGCGACGATAGGCAGCAAGAGATAGTTAAAAACGACACGCACGACGTTTCCAACTGAGAAGGGAATGTTCTTAGCGCGAAGATCCTCCTCCGACGTATTGCTGATGAGTCGGAACACCCAGCGGAAGAAAAAGCCGAGCTGAATTAGAACAAAAATAGCGGCAACAATAACGCACACCCAAACCATGGTGCCGGCCCAAATGTCTTCGACATCTGTCATGCCTACCAGCTGCGCATACCGATGGAGTCCATAAGTGCCATTGGTTACGTAGATCCCGTCCTGAACCGACTGCCAACCTGGCGACTTGCTTACAAAGCTTTCATTGAACATCAATGCTGACCAGCCTACTTGGCTAACAACAGGTTGGTAGAATCCGGGATAGTTGATGGATAAGCCACCTGTGAGAGCGACGAACTGGATATATTGCAGACAGTCACCAAATCCGGGCGTGACCAAGCGCAGCAAATCCGCATCCCGTCCATAGTTTGTCGTCCAGTGGAAGATGTCTGTCGAACCCCAGGGACTGAATACTGAAGCGAACATGGTTGCGAAGCCGACGAAAAGAAGCACAACCAGAGGCAGGTAGCGCAAGAGCGCAGCTAAGCTGCCGAGATCTGGGGTGATGGTTGCCGATATACAGCCAATCTGAGTTGCTTCTCTGTTGCCATACAGGACTAGAAATGTCGGTGCAAGCGACGAAAAGGCATAAGATGAGTTGAAATCCTGAGTTAAGTTTATTGAAGGTAGGTTTCCGTAAGGAGTCTCACTGAAGGTGGGTTAGCTCGGCTCAGATTGTACAGCAAGGAAGGGTATTCCTTACATCACGGAGGTATTGAAGACGGGTCCTAACGGGCAGGACCCATTTACAAGGCTATCATTGCAGAAAGCGCTTTTGTGGAAATAAGGTTGGTAACTCAGAACATTGACCTTGGTTTGAAGAGTTGTGAGGTTCGTCATGTCAGGCTTTTCGTGAATTTTGCCGTACGGCTTGCTGTCGTCGTGCCACGCGGGATCGTTTGAAGGGGGGACACCTCCATCAGGTGCTGCTGTATAAGAACCCGACACATTACCCCAGACGACGATGCGAAGGTTATGAGTTGGGTCTTTCGTATCAAAGCGGGCATCGACAAAGAGGGCATTCCATTGTAGCTGGGGCGGTTGGTATTTGATATTCGTGTAGCTATCGTCGAGGCAGTTGTCAAAGGGGACCAGGACGGCAGCGGCAGGTTGTATCAAAAGGGATGTGAGAATAACCAGCAGCATGCTGAAAAGGCTGGATGTGAAGATGGAGGATCGTGGGGAAAGTGACCGTAGTCTCGGACGACGGTCGACGTCCATGGTGAGTAGACTTGGAGACTGGGATCCTTGGGAAATCGAACGAGGGGTCAGTCTCGAAAACGAACGAGAAGGCTTCAAAGCTTGGAATGACAGCGAAAAGGCGTGTTTTCCATGTTCAGGGCGGGCAGAAGCTGCATGTCTTGGGGTACATTCAGGATCGGAGAGGTCTCGTGAGGAAGCTGTAGGTGGCATTCGCATGTTTCGGACCAGCGTATCCGTTGATGTGCGTCGTCGATGGGTGCTGCAGACGCTGGAGCTGGATACTGCTGGGTAGACGAGAAGCACACAGGGGAAAAGAAGGAGAAACACGAGGTCGTGTGCTAGAATCTCGGCATCTTGGGGGCCCTGTATCAGCTGCCTCGTCTCGTCTCGGTGCCTTCGGTTCCTTCGTCCGCCGTGGTGACCTTTGAATGTCGATTTTTGTTTCTTGATCGGTTCGTGGGGCTTAGGTTATCTGGAGCGTGGGCGAGAGTGGACTTGTTGAAACGGCGGAGAAACGGCGTGTGGTGAGGATGAAGGGGGAAGATTGAGGAGGGGAAGACAGGAATGTTAGAGCGGGAGAGTGTCTGACTGAGCAAAGAGGCGTACGGGTGTGTGTGTGGTGGTGGTGCAGGGCGCAAATGCAAGTGCAGCTAGGAAGGACGGGATGTTGTTGCGCAGGCAGGTAGGGGAAAGGGAATATGCTATGTACATCAGCAAAAAGTGCACTCCTTCCCTGTCGTGGTTACCTTACGTAGTCCCTCTTCCCTGCATGGTTGCCCATGTCCAATGTACAAGGGCGGATCAATGGCCCAGCGCAGCACAGCAACGGAGCCACTTGAGAGGCTTCCTATTTACGTAGTACGGAGTACTATTGCACAGAAACTTTGCAACGGGGAACATAAGCACACCAGGCTCCCGAGTGGCTGAGTGCCTCTTTCGTCCCTTGTCCATGCCGTCCCGTTCCACGGGCTCCTCATACGTCCAGGACTCCCTCCTCGGTGCAGGCAGCCCAGGACTGGGTGCTGATCAGTGCGCTGGCTCGTTGCTGGGTGCAGCCCAGTATTGCGCAGAGTGGTCGTGAACTCTGCGGCCTCATTTGATTCGGCGGTGTGGTGCAGTGCCTCATTTCAGGGCACGCACCTCAACTCAGGCAAAGCATCTTGCGGACATTTTGACAAATGTTGCACAGCCGACAGGCACTATCTCTTTACCTAGTAGCGCGGGTAGAGCAGGTAGGCAAGCACTTTGTTAAGGAATCTTCAGGGAATTGATTAGAGATGGCTTGGTGCTGATGCTTACTGGACTGCCATAATAAAAAAAAGAAAGAAAGAAAGAAAAAAAAAAAGGTTGTATCCAGCGTACTTTGACAAGCTGCTGGCATAATAACATAGCAACAGGTTTTGCAGGTGGACAGGCCTGGTCTCGTTTGGTTGCCTTCGTTTCCGTCACTCCTCCCCAGCAATCCATTTCCCGCCATTACTGACCAGAAAAGCCACGAAGCCGAGGGGTCCCCGGCCGAGTCCAAAGTTGCCGGTTGGCTACCCTTGGGCGTCCCCAGTCAGATTTGCAGTCTCCACTCAGTAAGGCGCAGCCGAGCCCCCTCGTCGCCTGTCTGGCCCATTTCAACTTAGGTCATGCCAGGCCGGGACCAAAAACTTCTGAGAAGTCAAGGGTTCGTCAATCCGTCAGCCGTCAGGTCAGTTTACTACTGCTGCTTCCTATCCGTCTTGCCGCAGTTTCGTCTACCAGATAATTCACTCTGGACCCTTCTTCGGGCTTCGGTGAAGGCCCAACTAGGCACGGGTGCAGGGTTTTGCCAGCTCGAATGATCGCCACTCACGGTCCAGCTGTCAATAGTAGACTGGCTGCTGAGACACGCGCGACAACAAAGCGGAGCCAGGGAAGAGAGAATAAAATATGGAAAACGGAACAAAAAAAGGTTTCTGAAATTGGCTGCGCTCCAGGTGGCTAGCGCCCAGCCTGAAACCCCAGACCTAGCACCCTATGACGTGCGGCTGGAAGGTGCCCGTATTCCGCATCGCCCGGATATTAGTACTCGCTTTTCAAACTGCAGTAAACGGGCAGAGGTGCCGTGCCTTACCTCACCAGCTGGGGATGTGAGACACTTTGTCTCTGACCCAAGATAACGCCTAATGCCATTGCATGGCACTTGCATCTGTGCCGGCAGCGTCTCACTTGGCCAACGCGCCAAGCTCGAAATTTCCTTAGCAAAGGTACTGCCTTTCACGATCTTGCCATGGTCCAGCCGCTGATGATTGCCCGATCGCGCACAGTCCTAGACATTTACACTTCCAAGTCCATCGGCGGCTGACAGAACTGCATTCTTAAGGTAATGCCGCGCCCGCGTAAAAGATTGCAAAATGAGAACATTTCCTGGCTTCCAAGCAGCCGATGTGTCGGGTTTCGTTACGATTATCATGTCTTCGTACCGTCTATCTACACGATGGTCTTATCGTTGACGATGCCTGCTGTTCGTTCTTTTTCAAATGCACCAGAGGAGGTATGCCAAACGCGCTACCAATCGTCCACAGCTCCCCCTACTAATGCTGCATCTTCCTGGCTTTACTTCACCTCTCCCGTAGTTTCCAAAGTATGGATTTATATCTTCATCTACGTCCGACAACCACTCGTCAGTATGAGACATGTAGCATGAACTATCTCTTATCAGTATGGGTGACAGAAATTTCCAATGGCAATGTTCTCCCTCTACCATATGGCCGCCCAGTGATGCGCACCGGCTGTCTCGTCAATTTGGACGGAGATGAAGACGGGCACGCATGGACCAACCTGCCAGGACCGCTACTAGACCCTACATAGTACAATGGCAGGGAAAGCTATAACTTCAGATGAACCCTTGGCCGCCATCACCATAAAATGATGTTAAAAGGACTCAATCGATTCAATATCTGTGTCTCTGTAAGCATTGTTAAGGTTGGCAGCACCAACATGGACAATGGCATCACCAACGACCAACAGCGGCTCAGAAGCGATCGTTGCAATATGAAAGCACCACATCGAGATCGCCTCCGTCTCATTGAACTTCTCGGGTACCAAGGAACCAGGCAGCACGCATCGCAGACTGATCGCCCAGACCCCGGCAACGTGTGAGAGGCCCAAACCCAGAACCAAGACTTTCTGCAGCATCATAGCTGGACCCAATGCGACTGCGGATCCGGCTGAACCATTCCATGATTCTTACAAAGGCACAGAAACCCGGTCAGTCTGTGAAAAAGGACGGAGAGGGGAAGCCGCTAGTGGCCAGCATTCAATTGTGATTGACGGGTTCTCTATGCATATCGCCATTCTGCTATACACCAATATAGACAAATTGGTTGCTTTCATCCACACACAACGGTCCAGAAACCAAGGTGCTACCGCTGTGTTCTTTGCTCACCGCCGCATTTCATTACACTGGATTGTCCTTTCCGCGCACCATTGCAACCGGCCGACTTTGTCATCTTCATCCTCCATCCACAGCTTCAGATTGAAGATATTGCCCAGCTATGGTCGCATGCTGCTCACCTAACTACATCCGCCGTCAGGGTAAGGTAGCAAGAAGAAGCTGTACGCCAAGCTTTACCTGCAGTACATTCATATACTGCTCATCATCCCACACCAGCGCGACCTCGCTCACCAGCTTACCCAATTACGCTGCGGCTCCCTCCTACATCCGCAATGAGAGACAAATAGGCTGAGACTCCTTCACGTCTTCAATACGAACTCCGGCACGAGCCAGTATCCATCTCAGCTCGTGTTTTCTCACTGGTCCGCTATTTTCAGCGTCAAATGGGACTTCAATGGGGGCTGACCACAAGGCCACAATTCTCCCCGCCCATGCAAGATATTCCTGGGAATGCATTGTTGACTTCGTATAGACGCACACACGCACATACATAACTCTGAACAAACGACATCACACCCAATCCCGCCCCAACCGGTACTGTCACGTCCCCACCTCCCCCGTCGTCCTTCGTCATTCTGAACGACCAGGATGACAGGCCAGTATGGATGGTATTGCTGGCTTCGTATCTGCCTTGCAGGAGCAATACCATCCCTTGACCTGATAACCCATCTCCGTGCATACTCCCCCACAGACTGAGATAGCAGTATAGGAATAAGGTGTATTCGGGAACAACCTGTCCAAGCGTAGTTAATACAGAACCGACTGCAGAGTAATGTAAACGTACCCCAAGCTAGTCCTTGGAAGACATCATCTGAAATACCAACTCTGGAGAAGGCTTTAACTGGCCCATGCCGCCTCATCCTAGTTAACTCCAAACGCATGTACTAAAACACTAAAGCACTCGACTCTAGGCGACATAGCTTTCAATAACTTGAAATGACACAATACACCGCCAATGATCCTATCTAGTCTGCATGAAGTTCTGCTATCTTGGATCTCACTTCGTTTCCGTCCCTCAATATTCTGACGACCAGCCCACGCCCATCCGCATAAGTGAGACAAGAAACGAGTACATCAAAGAGGTAGTCCTGATCGAATACGCACCGTTGCGGACAAGCAGCGCCTTCACAATCGCAGATATTGATTTTGGAAGAAGCAAAAATTGGCAGCCATCAACAGCTCGCTGCTCAGGGGAAGGGGGGCTGGGCATGTAAGTCAAAAATTCTCGACTGCTGCAACCTTGGTTGAAGGGCCATGCAAGCTCGCGCGGGAATACGATGCGCCCTCTTGGACCCCACTCACTGCCATGCTGAGGACTGGCTGCGTCATGAGGCGCCGCCCTCCGGCCAGTCCTCCTCCCCTTGACAGAAATCCGTCCTCAGCAGATATTGCTCTTGATCGACCAGGCATCAGACTTTGATTTCCAGCAGGTTGATCAGGAGACGGCCAGATGTAAGTAATTGGAGAATGCGAAGGAAATCCTCGGGATACGAGGTTCAACTTGGCATAACGCGGACGGTGTGCACACGTATGACTTGGCATCGACCGCTGATGTTACCAATACAAGCAGCAACTCGTCAGCTGTAGCAGAATGCAGTGACACTGTTTCCTACTGGGTAGCTAGCCTCACCACCGGCAACGGGAGGCGCCCGTTGTCCTGAAGCCACGAAATTTGCAGATCCTGCCCGTCTCCTCGTCTCAGGTATGCGGGCAATAGGATGTTTGGTCAATTATATCACGAATTTGACGCACACTGAACCATCCATTTCAGCCCCATTGCCTGCATTTTGAACCTATCACGTGTCCCAAGTATAATTTGTTCCCCTATCTAATCTTCCGGGCCTCTACTACGTATGGTAGTACTGCGTCTCGGTTCTTTCAAGTACCCTAGTTCTGAGGATCGTTTCACTGGTAAACGCTACGAGGGCTGGAGCTCAAGCTGCGAGTGGTGCTGCTTGGGTTGGGACTAAAGCGGGTACTTGTGCGTATTTGTCCACCAAGTTGTGAGGAAACTGTATTAGCATTATCATAGTCTGGTGAGATGTCTCGGGGAAAATCGTTGCGCCGAATGGTAAACGCTCCCATAGCCGTTGGTATTTCCCTCCCTATCGCCGCGATAGCTAGTTTAATTAGTTCCAAGTTGTTAATCAGGGACAGCAGACATTACTGGATATGCCAACATTCACACAACTTAACATCCACGCAATCCCCGGCCATCTCTTCCTCCGAGATTCTGTTGACCAGAGGTGTTCCAAGATCTTGAGGGGGTACAATTCGATTGACCATTCAATAGAAAAGGAGAATCTAAATATTGGAAGTTAATAGTAATCATCATTTGGAGTGAGCCCCTGAACGTGCCATTTGTTGGAATCTCAAAGCTAACTCCGCTCATTCCTCTCAGACTTTTCCATTACAACATAGTATGCACTGTCGCCGTGTTCGACAAGCCATACGCGTCCCATGACATTCATCAACAAGAAATGCTCACTTCATCCATGAGTAATTCGCCAATATTAATTTCGAAGTCCAATTCCACGTCGTACTCTTTAGACACCCATTTTCTTACGACCTCATACAGTTTGTTGTTAATGCAACTCATTTCGGCTGGCTCCAGGTCAAATGCCGACTCTAACAATCCCTTCATGACATAAATATCGCAACGAGCAGCTTCCGTTGCTTGCTGCCTTATGTTTATGACATCAATCGTGACCGAATGTAAGAATTGTGTGTGACTTTCATTGGCTGGACTCTCAAGTGGCAATACTTCGGACCTCATTCTCTTGTGAATCCTGTTCTTAGATCTGGATCTGGAGGCAAACCGTTTTTTTAGATACGCACGCGGTGAGAAATCAGGGGCTGCAATGGACGATCTCCGGATTATTGACTTGCCCTGTTCCTCAACCAGGTCCTCTTTTCTTGGATGACTGACATCTTCGGGCCAAGATCGGAGGGCGTTCAACCTGTCAAGGGCCTTGTTGATATCCTTGTCTGTCGGGCTAGGACTGACATGACCACGCTGACTTCCTTTCCATAGTATATTGACGAAGTCATCATCCAATCGGACATCGTTTCCCTTCATTATCGAATGAGAATCAATCCCCGAATCCTGAATTCCTAAGGATTCTAGTTTCTTGGTTGAATTGTAACTAGGTTTGTTTTGCGTCTGTCTTTCTGGCTTGTGGTTATCGTCCCCTGATTCTGCAAGTGTAGCCTGATCAAGCCTTCTGTAACCTCGTTTACCTACTCGACCACGAGTAGGTACGCGAGAGCGCATTTTTGGTGGGCTAGAGGAAGGCGGGGGCGTGCCAAAGGCATTCTCTTGGACAAATTTGGTAAAGAGGCGCGGGTTGGAATTGTCAATGCCCTGGCTGATAACTGGATCTTTTTCTGCGTCAGCTGGCAGGCCATCAAATACATGTTGTGCTTCGAATCGTTGGAATTGGCTTTCATCTATTGGGATTCCAGGCATATTCTGATGTCTCAGAGCGCTCCAGATACAATGAGGAGTAATTGAATGTTCGAAGATGGAAGATTCGAGGTCACCTGTCTCATGTACGCCCTCCCTTTCCGCTATGGGTGCCTGAAAGCAATTAGACCGTTGAAAAAGAGAGTTGCCTTGATCTTCATGAACCAGATTGATTAAACTGCTGCCTTCTTTATCCATGAGATCTACAGTGTCGAGGGCATGGATCTGCTTGCGGGAAACGAGACCTGCAGAGTTGTGTTTGTTTTCACTAAAAATCAAGTTTTCACTTTGGTTGTTATCTTGTTCGCCGCCTTTTCTCGTTACTGACTTAGCCAAAGTCCATGGGTTCGGGTTCTGGAGCCGAGTCTGCTTAGCTCTTTGTGTGCTTAAAAACTCAACTATGTTTGAGGGGGTTGGGTCCAAAAGAATGGCCTGCGTGAAACCTTCAGGGCTTTGAGTTTTGCTTCTGGTCATGTCAACCTCCCAGCCCATTCGGAGGGGAAACTGAGTAGACTGGGGAGATTCTTGTGAAACGGCGATCTCTAGTTGGGATGGGTGTGACCCTTCACCGTTCACTCGATCCATATCCTCATTGCCCTGTGATACTGTGCCGTCTGGTTCCCCGGCTGCATCTACAGCAGCTGTGATATGACTTTTGTTAGGAGGTGAGCTTGGGAATTGCTGGTCGATGAGAGTCAGTGAAGGCCCTGCTGACAATCCAACCTCAATATGGTCATCTCCTGATCCTAACCCTCGTATCAGCAGAGACATCTGTTTCTCTCCCCCATCTGATACGAGGCCTGGGAAACTATTGACGGTAGGGAGCTGTTCGGCTTGGCCATTATGGCTGTCTTTACATGTAACGCGACCCGGTTCATAGGAAGGCTGATATATCTCCTTGCACATGTTTTCGAATAAAGTCAGTAGTTTTGACTCGTTGGCAAAGAGAACCTCGTCTTTATTTGTCGCAATATTGGGGTCGTAACTGCCAATGACACATTGGATATCGACTCGGATGAACGGAGCTTTAAGTGCCTTCGATGAAGCTCCAGTATGAAGGCTGTTGCTTATGTGGTCTTTGTAGATTTTTGTCAGTTTCTTCATGGTACCTCTGGTGGTAGTCATTGGGCGGGAGTCGACCGAGATGAAGTAGCCCTTTCCAGCTATCATCGCGGGGTTAGCATTTGGCCTCGGAAGGAAAGCTTCTATACGGAGAATTGAGGCCGGTGTATTTGATTTTCTCGGATTCGTTCCAGCCTCGTAGCAATCGCCATTGTATGTCTTCTAGACACACTGGGAAACAAGCTCATTACCAAACACTTGCAAAACTGCTTCCCTGACATTGGCACCCCTGCTGGGAGCATAGGACCAGGAAAGTATTCTGTTCTTTAAAATCTTTAAAGAGAGTCTGATGCGAGGTCTTGTGAGAGCATACGTGTGCAGTAGCTCTTTAATCTGTACGTGAAATTTGGTGCTGTCCTTGATGGTCTGCTGCCTGCGAACTGGAAGTCCACTGAAGATATCCCTCGCATCCACGGTCGTTCCGACTGGAGCCGACACGGCCTTCTGAACAATAATACCACCTTCATGGGGGTTGAGTACTAGAAGCTTTGCAACGTCGTCTTTGGCCGTTCTTGTGGTAATAGTAAGTCTAGAAAGGATGTTCGTGCTTGCTAGAGCATCACCGCGAAAGCCCAGCGTCTGCCCGCCTTTGCATTGTAGTTCCTTGAAGGTTCGGAGCTTGCTGGTATGGAAACGGCGCCCTAGAGCATTATAGTCTTCGGGGTTAATGCCATGGCCGTCGTCACGGACTTGGATTCTGTCAACTGCATTGGCTGATACGGTGATTTCGATAGCGTTTGCACCAGCGTCAATGGCATTGTCAACAAGCTCCTTGACAAGGGAGACAGGAGTCACTATCAGAACGGAAGATCCTAGAAGACGAGCAGTTGCATCAGGTAGTTGAGAAATGGGCATGGTGTACAGGAAGGGTGGGCTAGGCAGATGAAAGGAAGTGCATGGATAACGAGGGCAGCTCCGAGGGGCTTTGGGCTCAAGAGAGTTGGAGAAATCGATGAAAATACCGACGAGATGTTCTAAATACACAGCGTCATTTCAGAAATTGATGGAGGAGGTCTTTCTTCGTCGAAGCTGTAGAAAACATGAAAAGAAAGAAAGGCAAGAGCGGGAGGGAGGAATTATGTTCGTCGACAGGTCGTACATGCCAGTGGCAGCAACAACTCGGGACCAGCTGTGTCCAGTTGGTAAGTTCCATATCGAACTCCAAGTACAGCTGGAACCTGCAGGGTTCACAGCAACGCAAGGGACCGTAAAAGCCCCGCAGCTGCTTTTGCCAGGCACGCAACACTTCAAACCACATGCCCCGCATCGCAAGGTCCCATCTCGCTTCCAAGCACCAGACGTAGCTCCCAGCTCCCACCCCTCCCTTTCGCAACCTCCACCCCGCCAAAGGAGCTACCTTGTTTTCTCCCTCTTAACCACGCACACGATCGGTACACTCAAACCATCACCACCAGACTGAACCCCCTCGGATACCCCTTTCTCGAATCACTGTTCAAAATGTCCGGTATTAAGGGTCCTACCCCGCAAGAGCACGACGGCAGGGCTTTGCGCATCGGCATCGTCCACGCCCGCTGGAACGCGACCATCATTGAGCCACTCGTCAAGGGCGCCAAAGAGAAGCTTCTTGGCTGTGGCGTCAAGGAGTCCAACATTGTTGTTCAGTCTGTTCCGGGATCGTGGGAGCTTCCCTTTGCTGTGCAGAGGTAAGTCAATAAGCATGCAAGCTCCTCCTGCCACCTCCATGGTCACTCGCCTTTTGCGCCAACACTGCTCGCTGGAGAACACGTCGATACACTGTTTTGAGTTTTGAGAAAGAACACCCTATGCTAACGTACCTTCGCCCAAAGACTCTTCTCTGCCTCCCAAGTCCAATCCGCCCAAGCCGGTTCCGGCAGCTCCGCCGGCGACCTTCTTGGCTCCTCGACCACGGACCTGACGTCCCTCCCTACCGAGTCCTCAGGCGGCCCCTTCGATGCCATTATTGCCGTCGGCGTGCTCATCAAGGGCGAGACCATGCACTTTGAGTATATCGCCGACGCCGTTTCCCACGGCCTGATGCGCGTCCAGTTGGACACCGGAGTCCCTGTCATTTTCGGCGTTCTCACTGTCCTTAACGATGAGCAGGCCCAGGCCCGCGCAGGGATCACCTCCGGAGGTCACAACCACGGCGAGGATTGGGGCTTGGCTGCTGTTGAGCTCGGCGTCAAGCGCAAGGCTTGGGCTGTTGGTAAGATTGAGTAAACTTTGGACCATACCTCGGGATTCGAATAAGATTTACATGTAAGATCGATGCCAGCCTGAAACAGGATAAAAAGAACAAAAATGAATATAAAAATACATTAAAAAGCACTAACCATGAAAAGTGGTTGATTGGAAGAAGCTCCTTGTCCAGAACGAGAAATTTGTACCTTTGGCTCTGGGTTGAATGACAATAATATGGCACATGATTAAACCAAGTCGAAACTATAGGCATAAATTAGGCGCGAAATTTGAAACCAAAACACTGCTGAGCGCAAACGAATCCGTCTTTCTTTTCTTCTCCAACATTAGTAGATTATTGCACCAAGACCTGTCTATCATGAATCTGAGCAATCAACAATCCAAGCCATTCCTTCTTCTCCTCCACACCCGCAACGACGCCGAAAACAATGATATCCTAAAGTATACACAGTTTGAGGGGGTGTATTCTCAGAGGCTCACACCCCTAAGAACAGGCAAAACAACCAAACACACTGCAGATGGGTTGTGTATGGCGTGATTGCGTTTCATATGTCCAGTCTTCTTGTTTTCCATGCTTCCATGAACCCCATCCGCCTTCCTCCTTTTTCTCGTTCGTTTTCCTGTAGCTCACGTTCTTCATTTGTCAGCTTACGAAATCAGAGCTCCAATCTCGCTACCGATACTCTTCTTCGTTTTCCACAAAGATCGTTTCTTCTCCTTCTTGGCCTTCATCGCGGCCCATCCCTCCTCGTCATCGTCGTCCGAATTGTTTCCCGAGTTCTTCTGGACCGTGGTCTTGTTCTCCTGCTGCATGACCTTAGGAGGCTCTTCCCATCCCATGGCACTTGACATGACCGACATGCGTCGGCCAGTGTCTAGGGGCTGAGAAGCGTGCGTCACTGGTCTGTAACGCCCTGGTAAGCCGATGTTGCTGCGCTCCGAGGGTGCGATCGAGGGGGCATACCCGGCACCTTGGGCGTGAATGCTTGGTGTGTACCCCGCGCCGCCGCCGCCAAGGCCACCGTGAATGGAAGGGGTGTAGCCACCTCCAGGCTGGATCCACGAGGCCGAGCTAGGCTGAACCATGCTCATGGTTCTTGAACGCGGGTCAAGTCGGGGAGGCTCCAACATTGAGTCGCCAAAGAAAGATTGTCGCTGGCTGTCGTGGATCGACGGCGTTGCGATGTGGCTCAACGGCCGGGGCATGCCGTTGTTCATATTCTGGTTCGGCGTCGCCATCATTTGCATGAACTGCATTTGCATCTGCATGAACTGTTGCATCTGCTGGGTCATCTGAATCTGCGCCTGGTCTCCTGGTGTGAGCATCATCTGGGGGATCTGAGGAGGCATCTGCGGCATCTGTGGCATCTGATGCATCTGTGGCATACCACCCATACCACCCATACCCATCTGGCCCATACCACCGTTCATACCATTCATACCGTTATTCATTCCACCATTCATGCCATTCAATCCATTCATGTTGCTATACATCATCTGAGGCGGGATTCCTGCATTGGGGTCAACTGGGGCACCGGTAAATGGATTGACGTTCTGTGCTTCGATGTTGGGACTGCCTCGTCGCATTGCTCGGGAGCGCTCCTCGCTGGCAATGACACCCACGAGGCCTCCCATGGGAACAGCTGGCGCAACACCCGGTGCTGGCGAACCACCACCGAACGTGAGTGACTCGCGAGGAGGTGCGTTGATGAGGCCGGCACCCAAGAAGGGGTCTTGCGGCAGCTTTCGTGCAAAGGCAGGGAGATGCCCGCCGCTTGTTCCCCTCGGGCCAGTGCCTTCACCCATACTGGACCCTGGACGCTGAGGTTGTGATTGGACAGATGATCGCAGGTCGGGGTTCGACGCCATGTTCATCAGTCTGTTGGGCGGCTTGTTCTTGTTGGGAAAACCGTGTGCGGCCAGAATAGCAAGCGGCACTTCTTCATCCTCCTCTTCAGACCCCTCAGACCGGCCAGTGAGTGGGCCAGGGGGTACGGCGAGGTTGGGCGTGCTAAGAGACATGGATAGACTAGGACGAGGGGCATGTTCGGATGGAAGGTTTGGCTGCTCGCCTGTTACCTTCATCATCTGTTGTCGGTAAACAGCCATGTGTGCCTCCTGCTTCCTCCTCTGCTTGGCAGCGAGCTTCGCCTTCTCAACGTCATCCTCATCATCTTCGTATTGGTCTTCGTCATCATCTCGACTTCCATTTGACGCCTTTGCTGTCTCGCTGGCACTGTCTCGGCGTTCTTTGTCTTTACGGTATTTCTCGAACTCGGCGGGAGTCATGACTTTGTTTCGAGGCGGACTGGAGTTGCTGTTCGATGTGGAATGGTTGGAAGGCTTCGATGGTGGTGGCCGAGCAGAGGTGTTGTCGAACATGTTCTCCTCCTCTTTTTTGCTGTCTGTTGCGTCCCATCCTGTCGAGAATGTGTCCTCGTTTCTGCGGAACCTGCCTGGCGGAGACGGGTTGCTGGGTTGACTCGAATGACCAAGGAACCGGCTGGCGGCCAGCGAGTCCTTGAGAAGGTTGGCATCTTCGTCCTCGATGATGTCGGACGGCACATTATTACGGAATGCCAACGGCGAGCCATGACGTGGAACTGGGGGCGGCACTGATGTACGATCAGTGTTGTTGGTAGGGGAACCGGGACCGGGTTGAAACAAATTGTCATGAAGTAGGTTGTCGTTGGAGTGCTGGCTGCTCCACGAGTAGGGCGAGGATTCGACTTTGATGGACTTGTCAATTTTGATGGGGGAGGGTTGAGGTTGGTTGACTCGATTAGTAGTCAGGGAGCGAGGTCCCAAGTTGGACTTGTCGTTACCGGGAAGCGTCATTTGGCTGGCTCTTTTATCAAATCCTGACCCCTTAAACATGTTACCAAAGTCACTCCCAAAGTTCAGAGCGAAGTCCTCCTCGCTGAGCTTGGGAGGAGTCGCTGTGCTGGCCGTGGAAGCTGTTAGGCCTCTCGGTCTGCGACTGGAATCGTCCTCCAGTGCCTGGGTAGGCAGGGGCGGTAGAGGAAGAGGATGATCGTCAACAGAAGAGACGGAGGCTTGGTTCTTCTTCTGACCGCCAAAGGAAAATGTCCTGCCAGCTTTGCTAAGGAATCCACCGGAACTATGCTTAGGAGGCGGCACGTCGGTGTGAGATTTCTTAATCGAATTTCTCCATTCTTCCTGAGGCCCTTGGGCGCCGAGGTCAGCCGAAGACGGTGTGGTCGAGACGTTGCTGTGGCGCGAAGAAGTATCCGTCGAAGTTGTTTTCGTGGTATTAGACGACCCACTTCCCCTTAAGCTGAGTCAGTCGACGTTAGACACAATCCTTGCCTTGGCCCTGAAATGAATTGCAGACAAGGGGGGGAATTAGAGAGAGGACCACCAGCTAGCAGCGAGATTCACCGCTGAGTCCGAGACATGCCGCTATTGAATGCATGCCAGCCAAGGATTTTTTTTCTCTCTCTTTCTCCTTCCTTTTGCTTGCTTCGCCTCTGTACTACTCTCTTTTTCATTTTCCAGGCCTTGTTGCTTCTCCCAGGGCCAAGAATGCATGTATGAAAATGGAATGAGTCAAGGAGATCGGCTGGATGCACATACCGGTTGTTCTTCACATCGGCAAACATGTTGTCCTCCGTAGAAAGATCCGTGTAATTATGCTTGGGTGGAATCGCCGTCGTTGCAGCCTTCAGCAGCCTGTGTCCGCCGTCGAAAGACTTGTTGCCACCAACTTCGGTCCGCTCCAACACGCGGAAGGAGGATTGCTGTTGTTGATCACCCATGGCTACTGCGCCATTTTGGAAATCCTCCGAGGTGACGGTGGATCGCCTCCTGCCGAAAGCGACCGAAAATCTAGGCATATGGAGCGACGACAATTCGATGATCCCCAACGGGATTTAAACGGTGCGCATCTACACGCTGTAGTCGAGAGAGGGAGGAAACCGTGAAAATTAAACCCTGGGGGGGTTTGCCCTTGGCCTCGGGTCGGGACCGCTAAGAAAAATTACGATACGAGGCGGGTCAGCCGATGTGGGATGACGACAGTAGAGCTGAGATTCGGGACGGCTATGCTGTGGCTCGTGTCAGTGGGCGCCGCGTACAGTGATACAAAGGCGTAGTAAGCAGAGCGATGCTGCGAGGGCGGAAGAGTTCAAGTGTCCACTGCAAGTGCGAAGTGCAATGTGGTTCAACTCTGGCTGTGTCTCGGGTGTAATGTGCGTGCCTGGGTGAAGTAGGGTATGTGAATTGGCTATGCGCCATCCACGGGCGTGGGAACAGGAATGAGGGTATTCCAGTAAAGTAGCCGCCAACAGGTACAACGGAACACCAGGCCCAGTAAAGATTATTCTCCCGTGTGCGCACCTCGATGTGATGTCGCAAATCGGAAGGGGGAAACCTCCAGGTATGTATAGGTATTGGTGTGATGCGCTGACGGCTGAGGGCTGTGGAATGAAGAATGATGATAGGAATGGGTCAATGGCTTACCGAAGGGAGTTTGTTCAACCTGGCCACAAGTTGAGATGAATCAAGTATGCTGAGCGGAGAGAGACGAGAAGTGACGTGACGGGATATTAGTCTATACTGCGAAGAGCGGATGCCAGGGCGTGAAATCAGAAGCCGTATGATCTCATTCAAACTTTTTTCCCAGACGTAAAAGATGCAACAAGGCGAGCTGGGCCCAGACCAGAGGACTGCAAGGCCGCAAGGACTAGTAGGTGAGCGGGCTGGCGGACTGGGGGCTGTGGGATGAAAATGGGGGGGTATTAGGATATGGAGAACGAAACGATGAACAAAAATAATATCAAATCGTGGGACGGATAGACACGAACAGATATGCAGCAAATGATGACAGGCAACAACGAGGGTCGACGAAGCAGACGACGGGAGGTTGGAGCGAGTGAGTGGGAATGTGGAAAGGAGGAGGCGATCCGATCAGTAAGTAGGCAAGGCAAGGAAGGCAAGGTAGACGGCAAGGTCAGCTAAGGCAGGCCGAGCAGCAGGGGATGTCAGGAAAAGAACGGAGGGCCGGGGGGAGTGTGAAGGAGAAGCCTTCTCACTCGCCTCTCGTCTCTGACTCTCGGCGACCTCTCCTCTCTCGCTGGTCCGGTTCTATGGTCTGTTCAGACTTGAGGCCAGGCCTGGTTGGTCTGGCGTGCTTCTCTGTTTTCTCGACGCACTTCCCTGGCCCCAACACCCAGTAGCAGGGCCTATTTTTATTAGGTGAGTGGAGAGACCAAGCAATAGTTGCTGGGAAGGGTGGGCTTAACGCAGAGAGCTTCATGCGAATTCATCCCAGTCCACCGTCCTGTCTATGGCCAGCGGTTCTCAGAGTCTCTTCGGAGTCCACACACCGTGGCCCAGCTGGCCCGTTGACAACATGCTACTGCTGCCCTGTGTGTTGTGGTGCCCTCTGCTTGAAATTTCTTGGGTCAGGGGCATAGGGCAGGGATCCAGGGGAAGGAGGAGGGGGCGTGTGAGGAGAAAACGGGTGGAGGTATCCGTGATTTTGACAAGATGGCGGCGAAAACGCATGGAATGGCCCAAAGACCACCCGCACCACCACAACGCCGCAGTCCGGTAGTGGTGATATAGTGATTCGCTGACGGGCTCTGGTCCGGGGCAACGTAAAAGCCGATCGGTTGATAATGAGAGTTGAGGCAACGCCTTGCCATCAAACGTCGAATTGTCCATGGCGCAAAGAAACAGCTTGCTTTTTGCTCCCATGTTCTCCTCCTCCGGCACAGCGTTGCCCAGCGCCCTTAGGGGTTCTCGCTACTGTCTCTAGCCTGGAAAATCGGTGTGTTGGGTGACATTTTGGGGGATGAAACCTTTTGAAAGAGATACTCATTTGGCTTAGCCTTGTTCAATGGCGCCGGTTCAATCAACCATTTCCCCTTTACCTTACCTTACCAACACCCCTTTCGGCAGCAAGGCCTATCGCTAATTACCTGTTGCTCACAAGCTTAGCGATTTAATTCTGCTCCCATGCGGAGTAGCGTATGTGGTGGCATTGGCTACTTTCACTATGTTGTCCGCCGTCAAGGTCCCCGTTACCGTGGCAGTACCCCTCTTCATCAGCTGCAGTTTGCGTCTGCATCTGCGTCTACATCTGTGGTCCCGCCATTTCATTGCTCTACCCAGCCTCCCACCCTGCCCGCCTTCGATTTACGGGTCTGTACGCAGAGCGAGCTCCGATATCATCTGAACTCCATGACCTGAAGCCTGCAGAGAACATCGGCAAGCTTTGACATACCCTATAAACAACATCCGAAAGCCAGAACGGCTCTAAACTTTGAGAGCAAGCTGTTCAGGCGACCAATCTTGCAGGTGTAGACATGGTCAACGCTGCGTAGGGAGTGGCATCCTTGTCAGTCAATGAGGGAAGCCTGGACCTCGCTCCGGCGGCTACATCGGTAGCAAGAACGGTCGTCTTTCAATTGTTAAATTGGACCTCGGAGCCAGCCGCTGCATTCAACAAGTTTGCAGTCGCTGAAGGACGGTCAAGACTACCACTCCTCTGGGCTACTGAGGACCGCGACAACCAGTGGCAGCCACATCTGTTGAGCCATGTCGTGTCTTATATTTTTTTTTTTCCTTCGGCGGGACGCGCGCCGTGCCCGTGGCTACAGAGACGTGTTAACGGATGGCTGGTTGCATGTTGTCGCCTGGCGACCCTGACTCCGGATCACAACCGCTCTTGAGGCTTGTCGCAGGTGCTCCTGCCGTGGAATGCAGCCATCCCATCATGTTCACTTGCTGAGGGCCGAAACTCGTAGCTTTGCATCCTCTGAGACGACAGGTGGTCTTTGGTTGGATCCCTCCTGTCAAACCCATCACGGTGTTAGCCTGCCAAGAGTTATTGCGAGAGGTACCTAGGCCGGCACGGGGAAACTAGCAGTGATGTCAGAGACAGTAGAAAAGACAGGTTGTTGGAGGGAATATCAGAACGATGAGGACTGGGGCGCTTGTCTTTTCTGGCTACGATGAAAGGTCTAAATGGTTGGGTGTGATTAGACCTGTGCTCGGCCGTTTCCAGTGTTCACGGAGGCTTGGGGTCTGGGGCGCCGGCTTAATAACAAGCCCAAGAATCCGTCGCTCACATCCCCAGGACAATGCCGATTGAACGGCGGGAGGTTTAGTAGGGCCGAGCGAAGTGTCTGTCCCGTGGCCCATGCATCACTTCATATTTTGGGGGATGTCGACCGAAGCCGCCTGGACCAGAACAGACCTGCTTGCTTCTTCTAATGTTTCCTGACTGCAATTTTGATGATCTCGATTTTGGTGCAGGACATCGTAGCCCGGTCTGCATACCACACGGAAGGTAGAATACCACAAGTTGGGCTACTGTTGACACAGAGGTGGAGATGGGGCCCCGTTCGTCGGCAGCCACAGGCGTGATGCATCTTCAAAGACGAAATGGACCTTAGAGACGAGCACCGAGGCCGTGTGGGCGACGAGTCGAATGCCGATTCGTTGTATTGCAGATGTGGGAGGTCAACGCAGCGAGGGTGTGGATGGAGAGAAGCGAGTCACCTCACTCAAGGCTGGAGGCTCGGGGTGGAGGGGGCTGGGATGAGTATCCGCCCACTGGTGATGTACCTGGAGCAAGGAGTCTTGCTGGGGACATGCGCTTGCCCAGGTTCCTCGTAACTAGTGGAACAGAGTCAGAAACCAAATGATAATAACCCCCGCAATCACGCAAAAGGTTGGAAAGAGAAAGGGAGGGGGGATGTATTGTTCCGGCATTCAACATGCCTTTGCCGTGGATGATGTCGCGGACCAAATGCTTCGTTGATGAGATCAGAGATACGGATACCTTGGTTGGATCGGCAAATGTAAAGATACTACGTGATCGAGAGAGGGCTTTGGCGCGACGCTACTCCTCGTAGCCCCAGAAGCGCTCCTCAAAAACAATCCTGGAAGCTTGAATAGTGGCTCCTTTGAAAGTCTTCCTGTGTTTGTGCTTGGTGGACTAGTGGACCAAGCTGCCTCATACCTGTGACATGGACTGGCTGCGACTATAACCATTGTCCGAAATGTGCTGGATAGACAGAGCTTCAGGATTTTAAGATGAAGATGAATCATAGTTTTTCTTCCCGTGTACTCCGTCTGCTCGGCGTGGAAGGTCCCTGTTGATGATAGAACTGTCCTTGGAAGGAACGGAACAGCATGTGGGAAGGAACGTCCCGACGGTCAATCCTTCCCCGTTCTCCATCTAGATCGACTCCAAAGCTCCAAAGCAGGGTAAAGACTTGATTACTTAATGCATTGAACGACGCTAACATACTGTACCTGGAACGGGACAACGCACGACTCTCCACCAACTTCCAGGGAAGTCGTTGTCAATCATTGTCGAGTTTCTATTTTCTGTACACAGGACCTCGTATTGCGCTTTTACGCCATCTTCCATCCAACCCTAAAAACCTGCAAGAAGCAAGGAGATTTGCGTCGTCTTTCTGTCTGACAGGAAGCCAAGCCCGACGCGTTGACGAACTGCCGGCATCTAAATCCTGTCTCGGTGTGTCGGAGTTGCAGTCTTCCCACAACAAAAAATTAAGGTAATGTAAGTACACAAACGAGTCCCCAACAAGGGTTTGTCAAGGTAGGAAGCGAGGGGAAGGGGGGAAAGAGAGAGAGAGAGAAAAGTGGCATGGCCTGACATGGCTTCCCCCATGGCAATATCGCGGGCGTATGCAGTGAAGACAGGCAGTATGTCGGGTATATCCTGTTGCACGACATATCCATCCCATCGCAGGCGGTACGGGCAAGGGCCGGCATTCACGTGCTGCAGTTGTCCACGGTAGCCTGCTGCATTGGGTTGCCTGCAGACAGGGCAGGGCCGGATGGACTGGAAAAGAGACGCGCCCTGGACTTCCCCAAATACAACCAAGTCAATCGATCGGAGAATGAGTGACACGGCCAATATCTCACACGGACACGTGCAATGTAATCTGATCCTCAATTGCTGCCATTCATCGTGCTATGACCCGTCTTTCGCAAATATTTGGAACCGTGACCAAGGAAGAGAGAAGAGAAGACGGGATATCATATACCGCCCCTCGTCATTATCAAACAGACAGCGGTCCATATTTCAGGCTGCGCTGCAACATCAAATCCAGGGCAGGCCAGCTTGATGCTCGAAAGGGAAATTTCATATCGCCTTGGGTACCCGTGTTGGTTTTGGTCCGCCTTGGTCGCGTCGGCCGGCTTGCCGCCCCACCTTTGCCTGTCAACCCAGTAAATACTCTGGCAGCTGTCCTGTCCAATAGACAGTCAAGATCATGTTCTGTTGCTCGCCGTCGAGAAATGTCGAGAAGGCTAGACCTCTCGCCTTTGGACTTTGGTGTCCCAATGCGCACATAGTCGCAGGGCCAGAAACTACGGATCTGGCGGTTGTGTGCGAATGGTTGGTGGATAGACGGCAGCCCCCCTTGCGATGCGATGGGTAGCGCGTCCGGTGCCTGAGCCCAAAAGACTACGGTGTGTGTGTGGGTGCTGTGTGGTAGAATATTGAGGTAACACCCCAACCCCTGCAGACGCGAACCATCGATAGATGATTGAAGAAAGCTTGGTTGGTGAATTACTGAATGATGCAGCGCAGCCTGTCTCCTGAGGCTAAAGGACACAATGCCATATTCGATATCTGCAGGCGACAAGTACATTCACAATCTCAATCACATACAAAGTAGAAACAATGCCCAAAGAGGGTAGGCTCATGTCTCTTGGATGTCACCTTTAAATTTGATTTATCCCCAGTTGCACTCCGCTCTTCATGTACACTATGAGCCCTCAGACCTTAACCTCGTGTCAGCACATTATCCCTATACGGCATGAGTGGGAACAATTGTTCCTCCCCTAAAAGTCTGGAGCTCTTGGTATGGTGCTCGAATTGATCGCATTGGCTAGGCTGAATGTGTAATGGGGTCTGGACTTGGGACTTTGGGACTTTGGGCAATTCGGTCCCGTCCGCCATTAGTGTTATGGGCCACAAACGGGGCGGCTCCATCAGCTTTTTTTTTTTTTTTTTCACTCCCTCGATTTTTTATTCTTCCGTGTCACCGTGCCAATTCTTCCTTTGGTCTCTCGTCGCTCCTGTAGTGCTCCGTTGTCCGCTTGTTAGTGACAGGTGTAACTACTCTTGGATGAGAGAGACCCGCCCCGGTCTCTCTCTCCTTTTTTTTTTTTTTTTTTTTTTTCAATCGCGTGACGACGCGAAGACTACGAGTTGTTCGGAAGTCGAGCCACCGTGGAAGTATATTTGGCTTGCTGCCCTACCTACCTCCATTGCACCGTTACTGTGTTGGCTTGGCGCTGAGGACACTTCCTCGTCCAGGGCTGACCAGCTACGACTGAGGCTCGTACATGTACAGTGATTTTGACGCCCATGACGACGATGGAATAACAACCGCACCAATAATGTCTCTCTGTTCTTCAGACCATCACCAGACAACATATACAACCCCAGTGTGCGTAAAGGTTTCGCATGTAAACCGTCATTCCAAGAGAGCCTGGCGATATTGGGACTGGTGCTCCTGTCTTTTCATTTCATCGGCTAGCGTTTACTGGAGCTGCCGTTATCGGTAGCTTGCAGGGAAATGGCAATTCAGCAGCAGAACGTGCCTTGCGGTGTAATCGCACAGATTTCTCTTTCTGCAGACAGCCATGTATGCAAGCAGCTTTTACCAGAACCGAAACCCGGAGCTGGCTAACCTTGGATTGTCACGGTTGGCTATTGTTCCTGAGAAACACCACCCTTCTCCTTAACTGTTTAGAATATCTCCCTGTTCAATACTGCCTCCTTCTCTCCGGTGGAGCGCGACGCTTAAGTTTGTACGACAGCGCGCAACAACACAGAGTGGTGGAACTATCCGAGAGATGGAACCCAAGAAGTCGAAAAAGTGATGCCCAACCATGTCTATCAAGTATCTCAAACTAGTAATCGGTTACCGTTACATCTGCCCTTTGCCCAAGCCATATAAGACGTGAGTCTCTGTGGCTTCAAGTGTCTCTTTCTTTACTCTGGGCGACTTTGTGTGAAACCTTGCCATTTATGCCAACGGTAAGCAAGTTCGTCGTGTAACAATTTCGTACTCGTGAAGCAACACCATTCTCAGGTAATCCTCGACTAAGCACAGGACAAGTTTGTAGACTAAGGGATGCAAATGTCGTTTTAAACTGGGAGATATTAGGGGTGAACGCAGGCGGGATTATCATAGAGTATCAATCCTGCCCATGTACCCTTATTCACTGACTGTTCATCTTGTGAGCTAGTTGTACGGTTGCCCGATTCGTTCGGGATGGCCATCATCAGTACCATTATATTCGCTGTCCATGCGTCTTCTAACCAAACAACCCACTTGTTCTTTTCTATTTCGTTGGCCACGGTTTATCAGCTACCCTTGGGCCAAAACTCGTCCGTTACACTCGTAATGAGCCGTCATGAGTGAGACGAGTGATTGACTGATTCTCTCAAAACCCTAACGTTACGCCAACACCGCGAGGTTCTCTCTACGTTTTCCACGATGTTTGCACTCGTAGTATATGTAACACTTTGCCTGGCATATGTGGAGTGTATGGAGACATCATACTCCCCCTTTGGCAACTTGATAACAATAGTCTCAGACCCATGATCACCATGTTATTACTCGAACTGGCAGTAGCCAGCTAGAGTTCATGTATGCAAGTCAGAGGCCGGCGAACGCCTAACTTGGAGCGCTTCAAGAGCAGTTTAACGCCATCAAACATCAAATCGTCCTCTGAGCCACAAGTTAAGTCTCGAAAGCGCATAAATAAAAGCCACAAAGAGCACCCGCAAAATAAGAAGAGGATCTGGGCCGACAACGACCACAACAGCCAATCACCATTACACACTAGATATAAGCCTAGTATCCGATGATAGCTAGATCAGCTAGGTTAGCATGCTCATGTTTGGTCGGCTCAATATTCGCCATCACAAACATGCCTGGCTAAAAACCAATCAAAGGTCGAGGATACGGTGGACAAAAATGAGGAAAGAAAAATTATGATTAAGCAAACCGAATCCTTCTGGTTCTGTTAGCGAGCGGAAGCCGGGTGAGGGGTCCGGCGGATGACGAAATCGCCAAAACTTGCACCAAATGAATGCGGCTCTGCCATGTGCTGCAGGTTTGCAGCCGCAGCAGGGGGCCACATAAACAATTCTCGAAAGGCAAGAAAGAGCCAATAGCAAGTGCCGGGCAGCCAAAATGGAGGACGTCAAGCAACGGGTTGACGGGTTGGAGGTTACAGTTGTTCACGATATCAAGATTGGCTGCACTGCCAAACAAACAGCCTATTAATCTCCAATGGCTCTTTTATGTTGCCATCGATGCCATGGGACGCTATGCTGTTGTAGTACATTCCATAACTTCTCTGTACTGCTACGCTACGCTTGGAATTGAGACAGCGATTGACAGTTGAGACGAAATTGGTCCTGATTGCCGATTCAAAGGACGTGCTGCGCCCCCTTTCAAAAGTCTCGCAAAGGGGAAAACGGAAAGAAAAAGAGAAGTGAAAGTAAACAGTTGCTGTTTGATCTCATCTTGGCTCGATTAGAGCTTCCTTTTTCCTCGGTTGAGTGTATCTGAAAGTCGGACAACTTAGTCAGTTCGGCTTCCACATTCAGGCAGAGATGCATTGGCAGTTTTAAACACCTGGCGAGTGTTCGGCAGCGATCAGATTAGGGACCGTTCTCGCTGTAAAGTACTACTTTAGCCGAATCCCTGAAGGCCAAGAGCATGTGGGTGCAAGGTGAGTTATGCGGTGAGGTCATAAAACCCGGCAGCTCAAAGGTCAATCCTTGTCCGGCCATAGCACCCACGGACACATGGGCCCAATGGTGCACTCTTATAGGATTACAAGGCACATCACGCCAGTCCAGCCGCTCTTAGCCCAAGTTACTGATTTCTACTAAGATGTGCAGTATGCAGACCATTCCTGAGAGGTGAGATGGGGGACACATACACACACACAGGCTGACCAGTGGACATTGCGTAGAGCCGACACCGGCTCAAAAGGCAAGTTAGAGCGAGACTAAACAACCCCTGACAATGGCGAGAGGGGTCTTGACTGGGGGAGTTTCTGGAGCTTCAGCTGGAACGGGAACTGGGACTAAAACCTTCATTGTTGGGGAGGAAACCCCAGCCAACTTCATCATCTACCCTGGAGCACTGCTGTGCTGTGCTGTGCTGTGCTGCCGTTTTAGTGGGATGTGCAAAGCATCGCTAGCTCCTCTTTCACTGTTTCTACCGCAGACAGGACCTCTAATCCTTGGCTCATCCGCAGCTTAAAACGCCAGTAGCCACTCCTCCGATACAACATTAGTCGGGTCTGCCAGCGCCCGTGGCGTCGCGCTCCCCAAGCGCAACATCCCGTCGAATCACGGTTGGGAAGCTCCAGACGAGGTGAGCTCTCAGTCCCTGTCCACCCAATGTCATTGCATGCTCCTGTGGCCCTCAGCCCCATCTTCGCGGCACCTTACCTGTCGGTCTGGTCTCCTCAGACCCTCCGGGCCCATCTTCACCATCGCGGCGCGCCTCCCGACGAGATTATCAATCTCATCTATTATCTTGGCTTCTCCCTCGCCGAGCGCCGGTTAGAATTTCTCTTTTCCCCCTCCCGCCCTCTTCTCCCTTCTCAATTCTTCCTCCTCATACCCACCTAATTTCCCTATTCAATTCGTCATTCTTACCCAATTGCTGTCGACGTCACTAAGATGAGCTCGCCGCAGCAACCTCATGGCTCGGCTAGCCCTCGAGTAGGCTCGTTCAAGCGCCCGTCTGTCCTCAATCCTGACAACGATCCGTATCTCCTTTCTACCAAAGGCAACGGTGCCTTGGTAAATCTAATCAGAGACCGCTCCAACGCCACAATGCGAGACTCGCTCAAGAGCCCCAGCTACCATCAGTTGGGCCATGAAGATGACGATCACGAGAACACGTCCCTACTGGGCTTCTTGCATAGGGACTCAGACGACGACCACCGCCGCTCCGCAGCCGAAGAGCGCCGACTGAGCGAGATCATCTTTGGCCCTCACATGAGGAGCATGCGCCTTATCGGCAACAGCAACCCGCGCTATCAATGGGAACGCTACTGGAAGACCGAGGCCGAGCTTCAGGCCATGTCGAAGCCTATGTGAGTGTGCGCGATGATGCGTCATGCCGGCGCCCATGCACCGCCCAATCCTACCTCTCTCGTCTTGGCCGGTCACCGATTCATGGAAGAATGAAGACATAGAGGAATTCCGACACTGACGTGACTTTCAATTGCTAAAGACGCGAATACTACAAGAGAAACAACGATCTAATTCGTATGTATCTTTACATCGACCAACTCTTGGACTCTTCGGTGCCCCACGACCTGCTCAACGAATACCACCAAGCGTTGGACGCCTCAGCCTACCGTCCTGTCGAAGTTGACGTGCCCCAAACCATCACCGAAGAGTCGCCAGCTCCTACCTCCCCTCCTTCACGCGGCGGCCTCGGCTACGGCAGCACTGCTTCTGTCCCAAACAGCAGCACAGAGCACAGCAGTTCGGCAAACAGCATCCAGCAAAAGGTAAAACGTACGCCCAAGGATATTTTTCGGCCCACCGAGGCGACCCCACTTCTCACACTCAACGGCCACGACGAGGAGGAAGGTTTAACCGACGACGACCAACCCAAGCCCGAAATCCCTTGGCTCGAGGACAGCGACATTGACAGCAGCGACCCTGTTGTCACCTTCGCCATTTGGGTCAACTTCATCGCCAATGCTTTCCTGTTGCTAGGAAAGATCATCGTCGTCTTCTCCGTGCCTTCTGTCTCTGTCCTTGCGAGTTTGGTCGACGCTGTTCTAGACTTCCTCAGTACAGCAATCGTATGGACGACCACCAGACTCATTGCTGCCAGTCAAAATGATCAGCATTCCTATCCAGTGGGTAGGCGACGGTAAGGCCTCGCAGTATTTTTTCCTATAGCTTACTCCCCTCTTTACCTCCGTGTTGCATTTCTGTGCAATATGCTGACTCGCGACAGTCTCGAGCCTCTTGGCGTTCTGGTCTTCTCCATCGTAATGGTCACATCCTTCTGCCAGGTCGCTCTCGAAGCCATTCAGCGCTTGCTATCGCCTGAACATGATATTATCCAACTGTATGTTCCATCCGCTGTTAATTATCTCTATTTTCTGCTCCGCCACCATGCCGTCTCTAACACTCGGGGAATAACAGAGGCATTCCGGCCATCGCCATCATGGTCGGAACCGTTGTCATCAAGGGCCTGTGCTGGCTATGGTGCCGTGTCATTAAGAACTCGAGTGTTCGAGCCTTGTAAGTTGTTTTGGCGCACCATCCTTTGCCGCAGCATCCTTCATCTTATCGCCTCCTGATCGGCATTGCATCGAACTGCGGTCGTTAACAAAATGTACAGGGCGGACGATGCCATGACCGATGTCATCTTTAACACTGGCTCAATTCTCTTCCCTATTGTCGGATTTTACGCTAAGATCTGGTGGCTGGATGCACTCGGCGGTCTGTTGCTGTCTGTGGTTGTCATTGTCAACTGGAGCCAGACCTCGATGCATCATGTCCGAAACCTGACGGGCTTCTCGGCAACATCGGATGAGAGAAATCTCCGTACGCAACCCTCCCCCCCTTTCCTTTTTTTTTTGTTTTTTTGTGTGTGGTTGTTCTTCATCTCTTTTAGCTTGTTCACTGCCCCTTGCCCTGTCCCCATAGCTCTCTGGTCTCCATCCACCCCTACTGTTTCGTCTCTCCACAGTTGCTATACTTAGAACCTGTTGCACCACACCCATGCCATAACTTTCACTTTTTCTGTTTCGACTTTCTTTTAGACGTTTCCCCATGGAGTCTCTTCATTCCGGCACCTGAAGCTCGGGTTTAGGAGCACTACTTGCTGATCATGCTTGAAATACCACATTCCCAAGGAGGTTGACCTTGTGGGCTGGGGCTGACGTTGAGACCAAAATAGTGCTTTACCTCACCATGCGCTTCGCCACGTCTATTAGGCAGATTCAAAACCTGCGGGCCTACCACGCGGGCGACAAGCTCTTTGTCGAGGTTGATATCGTGCTCTCGGCTAATACGCCACTCAAAGACAGCCACGACCTCAGTGAAGTGCTGACATACTTCCTCGAGTCGGTGCCCATCGTCGACCGCGCCTTCGTGCACGTGGACTATGCGACTTACAATGTCGATACGCACATCAACCAATAATATTAGTCACAAACTTGCGGTGACTTGTAATGGCAATTGGTTCCTGCCACTACTATAGTTATTCGGTAGTTGTCACGAGCATAGGTATGACAATTGTTTTATTTGCAAAGGGCAAAACAAAAAACAGTAGATCATAATGGGGACGAGATAGAGATTTGATGGCGGCAGCAGCACGCACGGGAGTGGGAAAAGGAGAAACAATAATTATGGAAGAGAGTGGGGCAATGACGGGACAAAGAAAGAAAAGACAAAAAGGCAGCATTTCGGGTGGATCTTGCATATTCTCCAGCGAATAGAGTCACATGAGTTTTGACTCAAGGGTTTGGGTAACAGTGGTTTCTTGTATTGTCGGGGGATCGATTTCGTGGCAAGGTCTCGTTGTTTAATTCTTTTCACTGTTTCTCGAAGAATGATCCCCCACTAGATGCCTGTTTCACAAGCATGAATCAGGGGAAGAGGGACGCGAGCGAAAACCACAGAAGTTATCCCCTCTGGGAAAAGGGAGGGTATTTATTACAAGCGTGGAGTTTTTGTCTGGCACGTTCTGTGCGTATGCTGATAACTGGTATAACAAGCGGCGCTAAATGTACAAAAGCAGTGTAGGATCGAAGGATGTTATAGAAATCCGCCAACCAAAAGTGCGGGAGTATACTAGTATCAGAACATGCAACGGACAACAAGAGGCGAAAGCAACAGGTCTAGGCTTGGTCTGTTTAGCTGGCTGGCAGCTTGCACAAACAAAAACCAAAGAAAAGCGGGAGAAAAAAACATGTCCCTTGAACGCTCCCTTCTCGATTTAGTACGGGATACCGTTGGTCAAGAGCTGGAACTGGTCATAGACGCCAGTCGAGTAGCTGTTGGCGCTTCTCCGAATCAAATCTTTGACAAAGTCAGCCGCCTCGCGCTCGCTACGCTCCAGCACAAAACGCTCCTTAAAATGCTGTACGCTCTCAGGCTTGAAGCATGGCAGGCCTGAATCCATCATCAGGAGCACGATCTGGCTGAGCTTCTCGCAGTGCTGTCGAGATGCGAGGAAGGCCTTGACGCAGAGCTCCTCGAACCACTTGAAGGCCTGGTGGTGCGGGCTGCCGCCCATAACCGCCAGCATCTCCGTTGTCAGCTTGAATGGCGCGCGCTCGAATTTAATACCTCCAGGTGCAATATCGAAGCAGAAACCAAAATCAATGTGCAAGATGTGGCCCGCATCATCGATCATGATGTTTCCGTTGTGTCTGTCCTTGAACTGTAGAAGGAACGAAATGATGGAGTAGGCTGCCATACTCTTGACAAAGTTGCTGCGGGCTTGCTGGAAGCGCAACGAGTCTTCGTTGCCGTACTTGGAAATGAAGTAGTCGTAAAGGCCGTTGACTGCCTCGCGTCCGAGCATGTCTCGAGACACGGAGTTCGGCAGAACATCGATGACACCGCAGCCAGGAGCTGTCGCCGTGACGCGATAAGGGTAGACGTAAACGTCCAGGCCGACGTTGTGGAAAATGCCTCGGAAAGCGGCAATCATCTGCAGTGCAAGAACATCCTGTCTGCAGTCATCACCAACCTTGAAAATGGCTGACTGCCACACCTCAATTGTATTCTCTTGGGGCTGCGGATCCTTCTTATGTGCCTCTTCCAGCATCTCGTTCGCTTCTTCCAAGCCGCCTTTAGCCTTCTTGATGCGGAAAGTTGCCATGTATGGCGCCTTGGCATGGCTCTGAAGAGGTTTGCCCGACTTTCGGTCGATACCAATGACTACGCCATCGGGGTTGCTTGGAAGATATACGCCGACCTCGACTTTGATCTTGCGTAGTTCTTCCTCAATCTTCTGCGCCTTTTCAGGCTTTGGTCTGCCGACATAGGGTTTCAACTTGCCCGATATACCAGTGACCTCGTCAAAGAAGGCAAACTCGCGCTCGTAGAAGACCTTGTCGACGTCAGAGAAGCTTGAGATCATTTTCTCCATGACCTTGTCAAGCGTAGGTTTGATGGCGTCAGGCTGGAACTTGATTAGCGTCATACTTGTCTATACATCTTTGCAGAACCTACAATTGTCGCGTCGTCATCTTTGTACGCGTTGGCCTTCATATTCCAAATGATCTGATGGGCGAATAACTGCGAAAATTGCGCCGTCTCCAAAATGTACCGTTCAACGTAACCCAGTGCGTCATACCGCAGGGTCTGGACGATTTGCGGAACGTAAAAAAAGGTAACATCGCTAGAATGACTCTCCAAAGCCCTCATTGCATATTGGATCAAGAATGGGTGATTCCGATAGGCAGGGAGAAAGTAAGTCACAGCCGTGATGGGATTGACAGGCGACCAGAACAGTAGGTACTACAACGGTCAGCGTCGTATTGTAATGGCACACTAGGATGAAAAACTTACTTTTAGTTGGAAGCTGACGTCGTTTGGTAGAGACCCGCCCAAAAGGATTGGCAAGGCCTCAGGCTCAGCAATGGCTTTCTGGGGGAAATTGATCAAAAGCCATCTTATATCACGTTGAATGCGAGGGTAAGGGAATCGAGTGACTAGTTCAATGGCAATGGACGGATCTTCGGCCCACGCAACCCTTATGAGAGGACTGAGAGCAGCCTACAAAGGTCAGTATAGGATCTTGAACGGCAGTGCCGAATACATACCTCAATCGCCGTCTTGTTATTAGAACCTGATGCCTTCGTGGATTCACCAAGTGGGTGCACCCACACCGATAATCGGGTTAACTCGCTCTCCAAAAGCAATATCAGCAGCTGTTCCTTGGCCTGTAGAGATTTGATGCTGTCAACGGCATGGCCACCGATGAAAGCAACATTCTTCAGGGCAGCCACAATATCAGTGAGAAGACGGAGTTCTGTCTTGAGCTGGAGGATATTGCTACCAAAAGACCACCTTGGCGCAAACCTGAACCAGCTGAGTGCAGCCGACAGAATCTTTTCCTTAAGCCTCCACTGTGCAATGGCACCAATGGTGGTACAGACATGCAAGACATTGAGTCCAAACAACACAATTTGGAATCTCAGTTCTCGTGCCATCGGATGAGGCGTTGATGTCCGCACGGCATCTAGCGTGGCATCGAGGATACGCAGGAATATCCTCTGTACATCAGGGCTGCCTAAGCGGGTTGCATTAAAGTGACTTCCGAAGAACTGCAACAAACGCATATGCGGAGACAACAGGTTGTGAACCTGCTGCTTACGCTTGGCCAAGGCTTCGAGGTCACTTGGTGCAAATTCTTCCTTGAGAAAGAAAGGGTCTGGATGCCTAGGGCATTGTTAGTTCTGTATTCAGAAGTCCGAAAGAAGGTAGACTTACGACATCGACTGGCTGAAAAGTCCAAGCCTCTGCTGAATGGTCGCTTCCCATTGCTGGGCAATCTCTGTGAGAAGTCTCGGCTCGAGGCGCGGGTTTTCATTAATAACTCCCAGCCAAAGGGAAACACCAAGCTTAATTGACTGTTTCGTAAACATAGCGAAAGGAATGCTGACAAGATAATGTGCTACCGCAGACTCATCGCGGCCACTGCGGCAGAGCAAGGCCGCAGCTCGGCGCAGGATGTCACGAACCTCGTTGAGTGCAGTCGTTTTCTTGCTTTTAATACGTGCCTCCACATGAGCCAGTGCGGTAGAAGCATTAGCACTTTCGCTGGCAGGCGAGACTGATGATTGCAAGAAGGAAGCCCTCCGATTCAAATGCATGAAGCTCACCAGCTCGGTACCACGGTCCGGCAGCGTCTCGCCATATCGATACTCTTGGCGAGTTGTGTATTGCGCAACGAAATCGGAACCAGTATTGATGCTGCAATCTCCAACACGGTCGAGAGATTGCAGTCTTTGGTCTGTTGATGGCATGAGGGAGCCAAGTTCGATAGCAAAAGAGCGGCCTAGTGAGATATGACCGTATGTCCCTTCATCGTCAAATTCTGACAGATATGTTTGCAAGAGACCCTTGATGTCAAGAGGAGCAAGGCCAATTACGCTGGATACCCACTGCTTTGCCTTACGGTTAAGGACATCCAAAGTATGTCGCCGAAAGTTGTAGTCGTCTGAGAGCTCAACGGACACATCTCCAAGGCTAGAAGTGAACTTTGATCGTGGAGCATAGAGGTCTGTCTCGGCTTCCAGACAACTTGACCACATCAACGAGAGGAGCTCCAAAAGAGCAAACAGGGAGGACCTGTGGCACAGAGCTGAGGGAACTTGGTTAATGATACGGTCGGCACAGGTAAAGGCAGCTTGCTGAACACGCTCGATCCGGTGGCAGCAACCACAAAAGATGGCCACGAGTTGGCTGGCTGCGTACTGAGCTGAGAAAGTAGCATCAGTGCCCCCAAGAGTCTTTCTCAAATACTTGTCGACCACAGCAGCAGCAATACCCTCCATAGTGCTGCTAACTTCTCCTCTGCGCATGCTAGGCTCCAAAAAGTATGAAAGGGCCTTGGTGCAGTCGCCAGCATCGGCGCGTAGGCTCTCGACCAAGTAGGCCGCTTGTAAGAAGATGACCTTCCGATAGCTCAGCCCTTTGATCTCTGTAGTTTTGTTAGGGATCAACTCAGTAAGTTGCCTCTTCTGCACTGTCTCCCTCTCGTTGCTCATGCCGCGGCGCAAGACGGTGTTAAGCTCGATATCACTCTCAATCTGCTCCCCGCGTTGTTCCGCGACCAATGGGGGTGAGTGGACGGCCATAATCCGCAATTCGTTCAGATACTTCTTGCCCATATCAGTTTGAGTTGTGAATCCATGAACAACGATGTTGAACCACGCATCTCTTATCATAGAGTGCGACTCGTCGTCCGTGATGGAGTTAAAGGCTAGGTCGTTGGTAGATATCAGCACAGCCAGAGGGTGCAAGAACTCTGCAATCTCTCGAGCGGCCAGCTGCACATCGGCATCCTTGGTGTGGTTAGATTGATGAGCATCACCCATGGAAATGATGCTCTCAAGCAAATGCTCCCAGTAAATGTCGTACAGCGGCGAATCCTTGAAAAGGTTTGCCGAGATATAAGTTCGGGCTTTCATCACCTACCCAGGGTCAGCAAATTACATTCAGAAGGCTCGCAGCAAAAAGCTTACAGCAGTAAGTAGGAAGTCTTTATGCTCCACGACTCCAATATGACACATTCTGGAGAACACCTTCAGTAACGACCGAAACTCGAGCTGTCCACCCTTCAGCGCAAGAGCGGCAGCTCCACTAATGATCTGAGCATCAACGTTGTTGTTGACCTTGTCAATCTTTTGCAGCAACATGGATTGCGCTAAGGCGGTGATTTTCTCGTCGTTACAAGCAGTGGCAATGCCACAGATTGCCTGGACTACATTTCCGTAGACCATGGCAGTTTCTTCCTCACCAGTGAAGGCAAGAGAAATGCTGCTTCCTGTTGATTGGCGGTTGGGATATATGGTGTTGGGAACATCCAAACCAAGGTCACCGTTGGTACCATTGGCCATGGATCTATCAGAACCAGGACTCAAAACATTACCGAGCGTATACAGAGTAGTGATGACAGCATCATGAGAGAGCATCTGTAAAACAAAGGCCAGGCTCTTCGATGCAACAGCAACAGTACGGGCGTGGGGCGCACTTTGGACGATGAACCGAGGTAGAAGCCGGCTTGCAGTTGCGGCGTAGCTGGGGGAGATCTTGCAAACCAAGGCAATGGACCTCAATACGTTCGCCGCCAAGGCTTCGTCTGCCATTTGAAGAGGATCTGCCAGGGTTTCTTCTAACCACCCGATGAGAACATCGATGTCAGCAACTTCCTCGTTGATAAGCGCGCAGTTGAGGTAGCTGATGAGAGTCGCTGACTTGACCGCAAAAGCAAGTCTCTGCTGCCAAGAAGACCCAAGTTGGAGGTAATCAGCAGTTGCCTCCAAGTAGTTCATTTGTTCTACGGCGATGGCAGTGTACATGTCAAGAGACCGATAGTCAGCGTCAGGGCTTCGCGGAGAGCCTGGCCTGTACGCTCCATCTCCCGACATGAGCAAGTCGAGGATGTGGGTGCCACGTAGGAGAGAGGCTTCAGTGACTAGCAGTGAAGTGCCGGCAACTAATAGCCACATATAACTCCTTTGGAGAAGAATCGCCCCGAGAGGCCGTCCAGCAGCAGAGTAGTGCCGAAGGTACCTCTTCCATTCTCTCGCATGGCGGTCTGAGGATTGCGAGTTCCGGATGGTCGAGAAAGCCGTCTCGACAGCGGTCAAGAACGGTTGCGACAGAATGTCCCTGAAGCGAGTGATCAGGGAGTATCTGCCCCCAGCTCTCCAAAAATCCGCTTGCGCCGAGGCTGCGTCGAGGAAGCCCAGAAGTGACACGGCGATCGTGGCTGTACTAATGGCATCCTCTAGATTTGGGTCCTCATCGTCGCCGCCGGGAGGTACAACACGATCCGCCACATGGTCACAGGCATTAACAAATGCCCAAATATTGTCCGAGACAACCTCATGCAAGTCGTCATAGTGGGAGCCGAGAGAAAGTAGCGCGGCCGTTACGTGGAACGCGAGCGCTTCAGTCGGAGAAGGCTCGACGTTTCGGAAGAAAGGCGACGGCACGAAGACCTGAGTATGCGCCTCAAGGATGTAGGGAATCAACTGGTGAGCAAGTCTCTGAGCACTCTGGCTCGTCTGGATTGCTGGAGCGGCTTTACACAGCGATAACAGGACCTCAAATTCGCGAATCGTCTACACGTTAAGGGGCTCGTCAGTTGCGGGTCGCGTCAGGATAGGATCAGTGTTAGGAAAAGACAAAGGAGCAGTACCATAGGCTGTCTCCCGAGAGACGTCGAAACCTGTTTGGCAGAGTAGCCATTGACTCCCCTCCCAACAGCTTGAGTCGCCTTGCACAGTCGGTCAAGATCAGAACGATCGAAGGACGTTTTGGAGCTGGCAGCAGACAGAGACGCGATCTTCTCGAGCGCCCGCTGCCGAATGTCGCGGGTCATGTTTAAAGCCTAAGGGTCTTTGACCCTAAAATGAGTGTGTTTAGTCGAGTCCTCGACGTGGTTGGTGATATTGTTAATTATTGAAGCATTTCGCAGTAGGAACGTGTAGGCAATTACAACTCTGACTTCCAGCTGCGCAGTGACGATGGTCGCTCCTACGTACCTCCCCAAATTTCCCGTTCATCTCAAAGCCACTAACATCCCTGCACGTACCTCCCCAATCTGGCGGGCACATCATCAGCTGCCAGCTCACCTTACCTCTACCGTCTTAGTCATCAACCCAGTTAGCTACCCCTGCCATTCCCACCTGGCAAGGCTGCCAGCTTGACGCGTGCTTCAGAACCGAGACCGCCCTCAACCATCATCGTCGTAGCCTTGGTCTCCATCACAGCAACGACGTCCCCGCACCAACCAACGAACGAACGACTTCGAGAAGAGCTTCCAACGAACGAGATACCTTTACGAACAATAACGACCAGTACTCATTTCCTTTCACGATAATACCGTTACGATGGCTGCCATGTTCAGCCAAAATCCCCTTATGAACGGGCCCAACTACTCATTCTCCGAGGCACCCAAGAAGGCTGCTGGCGAGTTCAGAGAGCACCGCTTCAACCCGTAAAGAGCTCTTACATTGCCTATGTCTTTTATAACCATAGATAGAGATGATGGGCTGACCGGATTTTACATAGGTACACGGACAATGGCGGCTCGACCCTTGCCATTGCTGGCGCCGACTTCGCCATTATGGCTGGCGATACCCGTAGCACCTCCGGCTATAGCATCAACTCTAGATACACCCCGAAGGTCTTCAAGATTGGCGGTACGACCTCGACACAAGATGATGCCACCATTCTACTCTCTGTGGTTGGTTTCGCTGCCGATGGCGAGGCCCTCAAGGACCGTCTCGATACTATCTGCAAGATCTACCGTTACCGCCACGGCAAGCCCATGAGTGTTACGGCCTGCGCGAAGCGCCTCTCTACTATCCTCTACCAGAAGCGTTTCTTCCCCTACTACGTCTACGCTATTCTCGGTGGCCTCGACGAGGATGGCACGGGTGCTGTCTTTTCATACGACCCTGTCGGCAGCTACGAGAGGGAACAGAGCCGTGCCGGTGGTGCTGCTGCCAGTTTGATTACCCCCTTCCTCGATAACCAGGTCAACTTCAAGAACCAGTATGTTCCTGGCAGCGGCGTGGGCCACGACCTTCAGGAGCGTCCTCGTGTTCCCCTGGAGCGCAAGGAAGCCGAGATCCTAGTCAAGGATGCGTTTGACGGAGCTGTTGAGAGACACATTGAGGTGGGTGACCATCTGCAGATGATGATTATCACCAAGAACGGTATTGAGGAGGCTCTACTGCCTCTGAAGAAGGATTAAGATTGTTTGGGCGGTCTCAAAATCGGAGGCATTGTACATTACGAGGCATGGAGCAATTTCAATGAGGCACCGGTTCAGCTGACCCAATATTAACCATGGTCAATTCTTCTGGTACTGTTGAAAATTTGACAAGTGGTTCTGGCTTTCGTGATGATTTTGACAGTCCCCCCGGATACCACATTAAGCTTGTCGCCATGATACTGCGAATGACAGCCTTCCATCCACATGGACATGCAGATACATGAGGAAAGACGCTCGCTTTTGGACCGATTTCGGGTTGCACAGCAAGTTTACTGGGAACCCCTTTATCGCCGCGTATGTTAAACATGTAACCCTACAACTTTTGTAAAAAGGTAGTGACGAGTACGAATACGGAAGATTGGGGCATAAACCGCTGGCTTTTGTTTTTGGAAAGTCGACTTCAATCGTCCTGTTGACATGTGTTTAGCGAGCTCGACTCAGAAGTATGGTAACGAGCCCGGCATATCTGCAGCCGCCGGATCTTCCATGCCGCATCTGCCCTATCCAGGTAACCTGCTCGCTCTTAGGGGACGAGCCACACCCGCTCCTTCCTCCCGCAGATACTCAGATATGAATACACGCGCTAAGAGACGCAGGAAAGGCCGGCAGTCTGGAATCCCGAGTCTCATTGGAGGCGGGCCCCCGGTTCCTCTTAGATTACGGGCTGTCCCGAGCAAGCGAGGCTGTCTAGTAATGGGCGAATGGGGTATGTCCGACTGCGTTCTCGGCGTCCACGGTCGACGTTGCCTGACAAATTTCTCTTGGCACGGCGCGTTCGGTCCCGGAGTTTAAGGAAATGCACGAACAAACGTACACAGAAGTGCCGAGATGCTTACCACTTTGCCACAAGACAATAGTCTCGCCAAAAGCTCAAATATCGCAGGGCCCGCGTGAGAACGGCAGCGATAACCCCTTTGAGACGTATACGGTACATGATGGGGCTGGGGTCGGGAAACCCATTGGCGGAGCTCCCTCTCGGTTCCGTTCAAATGAGGATTTGACTCTAAGGGTTATTGGCAGTAGCACGAGGAGGTTGATTGGGAAATTATCTGATGGCAACACCATCATGTCACATCAGGGAGGGCTTATCGCCATACGCATTGCATTATCCTGTCCTTGCCACAACCGCACGACGCCAGGTCCACGGACTGTAGCCTACCTTACACCAGGCACCCGGATCAGAGAAGGGCTGGTGACAACCAACTAACGTCCACTTAGACATGTTAGTTTGTAAGCTAGCGTGAGCTTGTTCCACGCAAGATGTGACGCCCGCGGTAAACCGGTGAGCTCCGAGAATGTGGTATTTGTCGAAACATTGTCTCTAGACCCTCAATAACCTACTGCCTTCTGGCAGTCATTGGAACAGGTGGCTCTTTTCTTTCTTTCCTTTTTTGCCACCTCATGCCGGCGAGCAGACGGACATAGGATGCCCTGACGAGCTGACCCCCTCCTTGGAAGGCTTGGCGGGTACGGAGCGACTATGGGTGACGCTAATGCTCCCGAGTTTGATCATTGCGATGGCATTAACCCCCCTGCACACCCGAGATTTTGCTTCTTGCATCTTATCCCATTAGTTGTGCATGCTGACTACGTTATCATCCGTTCCGCCTGTGGTCTCTCATTTGTATATCACGGACGAATACTTGCACGTCGAACGGGAAATTAGGACGAGTTGTCCCATGATCCTGCCACTTGAGTGCCCTAGGTACAAATGGCCGCCTACCACAACATGGCATGCCAGTTGACGGGCCAGCATGGATAGCTGAGACGGCATAGACATCGTTGTTCGTCAGAAGTTTCGTAGGTAGCCTCCATACAGCTCGGTGGTTTCGCCCCCAGTAGTAGAGGCTTACGTATGCCCCGGTTTCGAACTTTGTAAGAGTTCATATATAGAAACAAAGATTGGATCATTGAGAAATCACCGTCAGACGTGCATAAGATTTGCAGAGAATCACTGCGAGTTGCGGTTAGACGTGGCTGAGGGAAACATCTCATGTGGCTTTTTATCATGACAAGGGTAGGCGATGTAAATTAAAATGGCAATAGGTATCTGTATCTGGGAGTGTGTGATTACGTGCTGGAGAGATTGAATGTCTTTCAGATGTCGTCTGAAGTCGCCCCCGACAGTGATTGAAAGTGATTGGCTCTCCGGGGAAGAGCATACGCCGAGCTCGAACACACGATTACCCAGCGGGGTTACGGTACAGAATGCCCTTTGATGCCGACCGACTCTTGGATGTGTCGCCACCGACAGGTCCTGCCGGTAGGATGGGTACGGAGTTGTCAAACGGGATGCCAGACGCTTAGTATGCGCTGATTCTTGAGACGGTTTTTTGCAGCATGCCAAACCGACATTAAAAGTCAGTGAAGTGCAGTTGCACTAGGCAAAAAATAGGTTAATTTGCGAAGAACGACAAGCAGACCTTCGAGGTGAGCCCGCTTGCTAGCGCTGTCTTTCAACACATACTAGTACATAAAGTTCGGTGTTCATCATTGGGCTCCAGAGTTTTGCTGGTGAAGACGTGGGGGACTTGCTACGAATCAACAATGACTTAGAAAGGGCCGAAGGTCAGAATCCTTTCGTCGGGTAACTTCCGATGACCATGATCGTGATCTAACGTCTCAACGGCTGTGCAAGTGCGAGTGATTTCGTTAGCGTACTCAGGTAAAAAGCATGTTTATCTCGATGTGTGGCAGGCCATGCAGTTGTGCACTTACTACCTTTTGGAGATATTCGTAAGCGTAGTCTGCGGTCCAACATGTAAGTCCACACTGCATGTTTGAGGCTGCAGAAGCCGACTTGACTATCCAAAGAAGAGGGGGGGGGGGGGGGGGGGGGGTTTATGGGAAGGAGTCAATACAGGGGCAACGACAACCAGGTGCTGCACTTTTTGTGCCATGGAGCCCATGCAGAAAGGATGGCATATGGGTTGATGTTCAGCATGTGCTGTCAATTCCTTAGCCCCCATTGCGGTCTCGAAAAAAATCCTGGCGGGGTTTGGGTGGTTACGTGAGTGTGCCTTTGCTGTGGGCTGGCTGAGGCGACATGGGGCTTCACTGGTTTCTGGCCATGATCTCACCTCCAACTCATCATGATGCGGAAGCTGTGGACGAAATGCAGGTAGTGACGAGGCTTGAAGGATACGTGCACACTGAAACGAAGATCTCAGTGCGCAAGGGTTAATGATCAGCGCCGGTCACGCTGCTTGAAAGCCTTGGAAGATGTGGCGAATTGTCCGACCGACAAGCAGCAACCATGGGTGGGGCGGGTGCCAGGAGTCTTGCCTGCTGATGACAATTTTTCGTCGGCTTCCTTTTTCTCATTCCGTTCTGTGGTTTCTCATGGTTTCGGCAAGCAATTGAAAACGGGCATTGCAACTGGTGATTGGAGCTGAGCCAGATCTGTCAAAACTGCAGCCCGGCCAAGTGATGCAGGCGGCACCAAGTGGTGTTTGGTCCGGAGAAAAAGTTCCGGTGTAAGCGTACCTGGGAGATAGGCCGGAGCTAGAGTTGACGCTGAGCAGGTAAGGGTCCTGCCTCATCGAAAGAAAGCTGTCAAGCACAGGGCTCCATCCTTGAGTGGTTTGGAGCACGTCTCCGATTTTAGGAAGGAAAAAAAAAAAAACAGATTCAGTAACGTTGGGCCTATGGAGCAGGTCTCCTGAGCTTAAGATGCTTTGCCACAAAGGCTCGATACGGAGGGTTGAGGAGAAGGTAGAAACGGAAGAAAAAACAAGGCCATTGCAGGTTGGGATTCGTCAATTGGCCACGGAACAGGTACTTAGTTTGGAGGTGTGGGAAAGGTTTGTGTGCACTAGGTGAGGGGCGGCCCTTCCGTGGGAAGACAGGGGTTGGAGATTTGGAGTGGATGTTTGGGCGGGAAAAAAATCGAAAAGTTTGGAGAATCCCATGTTGAGGCACTCGTCAGAAAGCTGGTACTGTCGGGAGGGGGTCCAATGTGACCAAGCAACCTAGGTCATGGCTGCAAAGATTTCGGAAGGAGGAGAGGGGAGCAGGTACAAGATCGGTACGGCAATGGGTACATTCCCTGGCTAGTCGGTGTGACTTTTAGACTATGTCTCTCTAGTACATTGTCTCTGTCCACCCGCATAGAGGCCGGGATAGTTTTGAGGAAAACAAGGGGAGAGGCATAGCAGAACAGCCTGGAAATAGCAGAGCAGAACAGGGCAAAAGCCAAGACGCCAGACAAGGCGGAGAAAGCGCCGGCCCCCAATTAGGGCAACGGGAGGCTAGCGACCCTGACATCTTGGCAAGTTTGGCAAACCAAGACCGGGAGAATGGCGGTTCATTCCGGAGTTGCTCACACCAAGAAGACAAGTCTTCAAGACTCGGCGTTGTTGTGGCTAGTCACTTAGTGTGCCAACAGTCGGTAAATGGCTTGACACCAAGAAATACTCACCCCTTCAGGTGTTCCAGTGGTGATTTCTTGGAGCGTGGGGCGGAGGTGGGGTACCAACCAGGCTTTCCCACTGTGGGTATACTAGAATCGATACACATACGCAGACGGTGTCCGCCCGGTGGGCGTGTTGTCGGCCTCCCGTTCCAGGGGCACCGTGGGAACCCGTGGAGACTGACATTGAGCAGGGTGGATCCGCACGGGCCCGCATCAGTGGAGCGGGGGCCTGGGCGCGATTCAGAGATATCAACTGGCTAGCGGAAATGGCACCGCACCAGCGAATGCACTGCATTCCATCTTTCTCAACCGATATCAATCCTTCGCCAGTTTACTCGCTTCGTTCCTCATCTGCCTTCTCTCCTAGCCTCCTCCTTTCAGCCACCTAGTTCCGTTCTGCCCTTATCGACATGCAGCGCGGCCCATAATTTCTTACCTGTTTGTCATCACCCTCCTCTGGTTCGTGGTGATCGCGAACGATGGTTCCATGGACTTTTGTTTCTCGCTTCATACCAGCTTAGTGTCCTGTCCGATAGATCGTTTCCGTCAATTGCCAGCTTTTCAAAGTACATCTTGACGATGGTTGTGGGAATCTGGCACACGGCCGACTTTCTAATCAGCTCTAGGCTCTGGTGAAAAAGTCAGACAACTCGCAATTGGACGTAAGCGTCAGCCATTTGTCTTCCAAGAATCGCACCTACAAATTTCCCTTAGAGACAGCTGATGGGTAAGGGGAGAACGGTCTAAATCGCCAGTCTCCCCCACACCACGACAGCGCTGCCACCTCTGAGGTGCATGCTATGCGGCTAATACGTTGGGCCTGTTTTGATCATTTCGGTCTACCGTTTAGGGTAAGCTAAGCCTCCTCTCTGATCCAAGCTACAAACATCGGACAGAATTGTCTCTCTACAGGCTCTCGTGCATCTAGGAATGCACACTGGTTCTTATGGTAGAGCTTGCCATAATGAAAACGTCCCAGTCGCAATAATATGCCTATAACCTTAAAATGCACTCATTCCAGATTGCCATTGGCATATGGCTCATCTCTCGAACCCTCTACAACTTTGCTATAAACACCTACGTCCGACAATTAAGCCCCATTGCTGTAGCTGACAAGTACGACCCTGGCCCCGCTGTTATACGGCGTAGACAATACCTACTATGAACTATTCTATGGGCTGTCTGATACGACGGAGGGGTCATGGTGATTCCCACTACAGCTCACGGAGTTCTTTAATTTCTGGACATAAAGCCGTCGAAGCTGGCATGTGCACACACGTCATGACTTCGAAGGGGCGCTAATGAGCAGAGGCGGCAGCAAATGGCAAGCTCCAACAGATACTATGTGGGTATCTCAAGGCGTTGGACCAAATTGACGTCGGTGACGGAGAGATGACATTGGCGGGAAGAAACAAAAACGAGAGACACGGAACGTTCCCACATGCCTCTTGCGGAAAAGCAGGGTTATTAAAAAATAAAATAAAAAGGTGGTACAGGCCCTCGCGTGCCCTTTGCGGATACACTCATCACCTGCGCTCTATGAGAATCTCCATCATTCCATTCATTGGCTTCTGAAGCGCATAGCCGCCCCCGGATTATCAAACCTGTGTGCAAGTCAGTTCGAGGCCAGACCAGGCCAGGCCAGCTTGGGCCAGTTGCCGGGGGGTTCGAGGGTTCGAAGAAAACGGGCGGAAGGTGATTTTTTGTGCCACCATGGGTAACCCAATGCTTCCTTTTTCACCCTGTATGGTTATGATTAGGTCTCGGCGTCCCATGTCACAACAAGTGTGAGTCCATCCGAAGAGCCCGATTGGGGAAGGCGATGACGAGCAGGCGACGATCCGTTGAAGGGCCTATTGTTCCCTGTTGAGTTTGCAGGGAAGGCGAGTCCATCAACAGACTCTGCGGGTTGCACACCCTTGCAGTGTACCTGTCGCAAGAAAGAGCGTATGTACAATTCGATACTACCAAATCATCCATCGGATAATGGGGAGAGACCAATGGAAGAACACAGCGAACATGGACACAAATTGTAAGGTAGGGAGAGCACGAGAGGTAGGGAATAGACACAGCATGGGCACTAACATTACCCCGACTCCTCCTCCCCATGTACAAGTTATGTACCCAAGGTAGTACCTTGAGTGTACGTACTGGGAGGCGAATCTTAGTGAGTGGGAAGGCCCAAGACCGATGTGGCTGGGTGGCCGGATCCATTGGTGTCGACCTCATTTGCCTTGCACTTGTATCTCTGTTTCGTCTATCCAGCTCATATCTCCCTGTTGCACTGAATCTAGTTCTATGTCGCTGTCTTTACTTCTTCTCTTCCCCATCTCTTTCATTCGGGGACAAATACACGGTATTTGTATCCCTACAGAAGAACCAACCAAAGGCACCTTGCCTACCTTAGTTTGTGGCCCGGTCAAGTGGGAGGGCCACACGACCACAACTGTGTGTCCCTTGCACATCTGAGAGCGGCAGCCAAGAACCGAAGAAAAAAATCCCATCTTTCTTCATCCAATTTACTGCTCCTCGTTCCAGAACAGGCACCTGGCCATGCACATCAGTTCGTTCCCACAATCAGGGATATTCCCTTACCCGCAACTTTCAATCCGCCTCTTCTACCATCACCCCTCCTGGCTCTTCTCTTGACCCCGTTCCACATGGGCCACATCAGGCTGACTACAGTATCTGTCTGCTAAGCTTGCTGTGAAGCTCTTTCCTCCTGCGGCCTCCGCGTCTGCGTCTGTTTCCAAACTTACACCTAGTTATCCTTAGATTCACCCCTCCTTGAACGCCACTTAATCCACTGCCTAGCCCGGCCGTTCCCATTTCGTCTTGCAGTCCTGTCTCGCCTCGTCTCGTCTACTTCTCTTCCAACAGCTCAGAGTGGTGTGGTACTGCCATCTCGGTCTCTTCCTGGTGGTCTGGGGCGACGTGGCTACAGATACACTGCGGCAAAAGGTTCTGCGTGCCTACCTTACATCCAAGGACGCTACACAAAGTCACCCAATTGCCAGGTTCTTCACACCCGCCCCCGACTCCTCGCCTGGCAAAAGCTCACCGAACCCAATAACCCGGGGGCTGCCCTGTGTCATCCACCCTACTTTCGCCATTCGGCACTCCCACATTCTCAAAAACGATTCTCTTGGCTCATCGGAGAGCCCTATTGCCGCTCTTCCATAGCCCCAATATTGCTAAGCAGCTAAGTTAGCTGGACTTTCCAGCTCCTCGCATTCTGCCTAGCCAGATTCTCCAAGCTTAGGTTTTGGCCACCTTCCTGTCGACAACTCGTCATCATCCTTGTGTTACCCTTCGTTGTATTCTCCAGCTTGTTAGGCCTCGTGGAAGCTCTTGTCTTTCCTCTTTCATAAATATCATTGGGTGCTTGAGGTCAAGCAAGTCTTTGTGTTGCCTCCATCACTCGGACTATGGCAGCAGGTGTCTAACGGTCACGCCAGTAAACTCTTCGCTTAATGCTTACTTGCCCTACATCAGCCGTTTCTCAACCAGCACGGTCTGTATCACCGGTTTACTTTAAACTTTACTTCTTCCTCTACCGTTGCTGGCGGCACACTTTGCGTATACTGACCATTGTACGTTCAACAGCCTATACAACTCGTCAATTTCCCACTAAAGAGCTTTGACGCGCCTTACTCCGGGGCATTGATTTCATATTTGGCGAAGTCTGGATCACTTAGCTCAGTATTGCTCCAAAGACCCAGGAGAACAACCCCTGCCTCGGCGCCCCGAAGTTCAGGTAAGAGACAGCCCTCGTTTAGTGGCAATTGCACCACCTAGAAAGCCGCACCTCTCCACACGATGTGCATACTGCTCCCCTAACTTAGCCCCTCGCGTCTTGTTGCTTCATCCCGTCTTCTTGTCGGCAACTCTCCCTTTACCCCAGTACTCAAAGCTACGCCGTCCCCCCCCCTGTTTCGGGCCCTTCTCTGCATCGGTATTGGCCGCCCACACGAGCTGATCGCCTTCCAGGAATTTCATTGAGCCACACTTCACACACTCTTCATCTAAGCAGGGTTTGCTGCCACATATACCCTGGAGCGCTTGGAAGTGTGACTTTGCAGACATAAACCCCCCTTTCCGTCAAAGGCTGTGCAAACTAGCCACATTGGCCACAACGTGGGCATTCGCTCATCTTCCGCAAATAGCCCAATCTCTCTGTGGCGCCTAGGATCACACACCCGTCATACCCTCTCCGTAAGTCTCTTACCGGGCTCGCCCTAGCCAAAGCCATCGACCTAGTACCCGGAGGCTTGGGTTAGTGCTTTGCGGCTGGTATAAACTACGGACAGACCTGCTTCTGGCGCCGTTGGCACCGTTCGTGGTTTTTGCCGAGCTTGCTAACTCGGGGCAAGACAGTTTGTGGGCGGCACTAACTCCGGCTTCAAGTTGCACACATCATATTTACAAATGGGAGATGTTCAAACCCCATCCAGCGCCAACGAGTATCCAATCGTGGACTCTCACCAAGGCTTGAACGCTGCAGGTGCTTCGCCGTATCTGCTTGACGAAAAGCCAAGAATGGAGGCTCAAAGTGCTTCTGTGCCGCAGCATCACCAGCAACACTACGGCCCCCCGCAGCATGCCTTCTCGTCCCAACTCGACATGACACAGCAAGCTGTGCCTGGCCGCACTGGAGCGTTCAACATGAATGGTATGACGAACGCGCTACCGCAAGCAGCTATGAGACATGGACCATATGTGCCGGGTGGCCAACCTCAACACCAGCAGCAGACACAGCAGCAGCGATTCAATCCTGCAACGTCTTCGCCATCGATGATGCCTCAGATGCCTCAGATGGCTCCTCAGTTCCCCGGCCAAGCAGCGATGCCCATGGGCAACCCCCACTACTACATGCCTCAACACCCTCAAATGCATCATTATTATGCCAGTCAGCTTTCTCCGACTCAGCAACAGGCTCGTCCGACAATGGGTTTCTACCCGAACCAAATGGTTATGAACCATCCTCAGAACAGCCATATGCCTCAGGGATATTACTATGCCCCGTCTGGCCACTATCCTTCTCAGAACCAAGTCATACCGAACCCGATGGTCTCAGCGCAGTACCTAGCAACAGCGAACACTACACACAACGACCCGAGAATCGTACCGGCTGTAAATGGCATCGATCAACCAGGCACACATCATAATTACAAGTCTACTGGTCAGTTCAACCCGTACGTGTGTCGAAACTCACACGGACTAACTTCAATAGATGTTGGAGAGGGTAGGTCTGGTATCGTTCGAGGCCCACCGCGAAAGCCACGGCAGAGTGGTAAGTACATTCCTATATGATTCTGCTGCAAAAGCATGTAACTAATCCAACATAGGCCATGCAATATGGATTGGAAACCTGCCACCCCAAACTGACCTGATGAGTCTGGTGCATCACGTCTGCAAGGAGGCGAATGGACTTGAATCTCTTTTCCTCATTTCGAAGAGCAACTGCGCTTTCGCAAACTTCAGAGACGAGCAAACATGTGTTACAGCCCAGCAAAAATTACACGACTCGAAATTCCAATCGGTTCGCCTTGTCAGTCGACTTCGCAAGAGCACAGTTGAAGGCGTGACTGGGGTGACGGCACCTACTGGCCCCGCGGCATCATCAGGTTCACAAACTCCGCACGAGACTTCTTCCCAGCCTCCTGTTTCGGACGGCACCACGGAAGTCACAGTTCCAGAGACAAATGAAGTCAAGTTGGCTACACCATCGGAACCAACGTCTCAGAAGGACAAGTTTTTTATATTGAAGAGCTTGACAGTGGAGGACCTGGAACTAAGTGTCAGGACTGGAATATGGGCAACCCAGTCCCATAATGAAGAGACCCTTAATGCTGCATTTAAGGTAAGCATAATGTTGGGCAGCTTGGTTGCTACGCAGTAACTAATCCCGCGACAGGCTGTCGACAACGTCTATCTAGTTTTTTCAGCGAACAAGTCGGGCGAATATTTTGGGTACGCGAGGATGACGTCGCCCATTAACGAGGATCCGGCCGCTGCAATCGAGTTTGCCCCCAAGGCACAATCTGCAAATGATGTCGACCTCCCAAAGGCGATCCCAACCGAAGCCACGGAATATGCGCCCAAGGGCAGGATCATTGACGATTCAGCTAGGGGAACCATTTTCTGGGAGGCCGAACGTGAAGATGGAGAGAGCGGAGATGAAGAGGAGGAACAGAGCGATGTGAGCAGTAGGAAAAGCGGAAATCAGGAGGGAGAGGGGACGACGAAGGCCTGGGGAAAGCCCTTCAAGCTCGAGTGGCTGTCGACCGCACGACTACCCTTCTACCGAACTCGTGGACTGAGGAACCCTTGGAACTCGAACCGAGAAGTCAAGATTGCGAGAGACGGCACGGAGTTGGAACCTTCTGTGGGGCGGAGATTGATTGGGCTCTTTAATCGAGTGCAGAGCCCCCCAAACTCTGGAGCAGTACCAGCTGCTATACGGCCGGGTATGGCGATGATTGCAGGATATCCCCCCATGAGGCCTCAATTCCAGCAGTGAATTTACTGCCCTGGTCGCATCAGATCAAGTTTGCCGAGCTGGATGTATGGTTTCGACGGGCCATGCTTTAGCCATAAGGCTATGCTCGCCTCCGACTTTTACTGTTGATGAGGGTTTGGACGTGTTGCTTCTAAGTTGAGCGCATTATGTGCAGGCCATGGGGAGCGCTAAGACGGATGGTTGGCTATCTGGTAATGGTCATGACTGTACCTAATCTGACTGTCTAATTTCCGAGAACGAGTGCATTGTATATTCGTCATCGTGCCAGTTGCAAAACTTAGTATAAATGCTTGAATGAGTTGGTCACCCCTGAGACACGTTGGCGTAGGCAAATGGGTCAACAGAGAAATCTGCTGGTTCGGGACCCTCATTTCCGTTTTTGACCTTCTTCGTCTGCCTAACCCTGGCGATGAGAGATCTCCAGTATAAAAAAAGAATGGGGTGTGAGTTGTGGTCCTAAGACGTGTAGTCGATCGACTGTGGCACTAGCGAAGTGGCGACATCCACACTGTGGCTTGACCCCGAGCTCGGGAAGGGATAGACCTGGTATCAGAGACAAGAACTGAATGGCGAAACCTTAATTGACAAATGTTGGTGCCGGCACAACCCTCTGAGTACAGTGGAATATTTTCATGAGTTGTGGTCATACAAATTTGATCATCGCTGATCAAGTTGCGTTGTCTGTTGCAGCTCATGCGCAATGCCTTATAGTTGTTTGCTATTACATTACACATTTGGGCTGTCTTTCTGCACGTTCCCACAAAGCTCATGGGGCCGCGGAGTACTGTTGCATTGCGATTGACATATGGTATGGCGTGCATGTGACCAAATATTTCGAACCATTTCCAGCCCCTGGGCCCCGGGGAGCGGGCAGTTTGGGAAACATCCTAATCGTTGTTGTGCATTGGCCCATTGTTCCCAGGTAGTGTAGCGCTGAGCTTCTGCACACTCACTGACAGTCCCCTGGAGTCCGGATACGCATGTGTTTTTGGTATGCTGGCTTTGATTCGAAAATTCGTATACAACAGCTCTCTCGCTCAAGGTCAGGCCGTCCGAAATATTGGAAATTTCCAAAATCATAAATGAACCGGCTTGATGACGGGGATGCTAAGGAAAGTGCACCCAGGCCTCTATTGCTGAGGAACTTGTCGTGCCGCCATGATGGTGGACAAAACGGAAGGCAATAGGTAGCTTAGTTGAATGGGCAAGTCTAGGCCCTTCGCCCCGGGAAGTGGCAGGGGTGCTTTAGAAACAGGGTTATGATTGGCTAGTCGTAGATAGGCCACTATCTGACCCCCTGTTCTGCGCCGAAACTCTAAAGTTAGACGAGAAAGCCAGGGAATATTCTACCAGAATCAGTTTCCAGAGGGGCTGCTACTGTAGGGCCACAACAAAATGTTCGATGATTTTAAGAAATTCGAACAAAAGCTTGCCAAAGATGTTGATTGATGCATGCTGTCATTCTTAAGGACCTTTAGGATGATACACAGTAATAGCGGGTTTTCAGTTTTAGGTTTTGGTATTTGATGCTCTGTCGTGGCCTATGATTGAACAAAATGCACTGGAAGGTTCCACTCGCCTCCAAGAGTGAACATCGAAGCAGCTCGAACCATCGTGAAGCCACTGCCAGATGCTTATCCACCCTATAGAATGTAGAATCAGGTTTCATGTGCATTCGCGATCCTTCCGTGATGTCCGAAATCCTTCTTATGGAGACCGCCGATGATGACATTGTACGTCTAGCGATGATTTCGGAATGCTTTCGAAGCCACGATGAAGCCTGCCTCAATTGTATAAATCGACGGTCTTGATCCTCTCCCAAGGCCAACTTTTTCTTCATCAGAACAAACAAGAACAACACAAACAACACAACTAAATACGCTACGAACATACTCACAATCTAAGTCAACAGCACTTAGAATTCCAAACATTCTGCAAGCAACTTCATTAGTTCACAAACCACACAACACTATCACAATGGCTTTCTTCCCTCGCAACTTGTACAACTCCGACGCGTCCTTCACCCCTCTCTTCCGCCTGTTGGAGGACTTTGACAACTATTCCCGCCAGGGCGGCCAGAACGGCACTTCCCGCGGAACCCACCGCAACCACGTCCCGACCTTCCAGCCTAAGTTTGATGTCCGCGAGGTCGAGGATGCCTACGAGCTCCACGGTGAGCTCCCGGGCATGAAAAAGGAGGACGTCTCTATTGAGTTCACCGACCCTCACACCCTGCACATTCGCGGCCGCGTTGAGCGCTCCTACACTTCCGGTACTCCTCCCGCTGGTCTCCTACAGCAGGGTACCGAGTCAAGCGGTGCTATCACTGACGGGAAAGAGCACTCTCGCCCCAGTCACAAGGCTACTGTCGAGGATGGCGACGACAACGAAACCAACTCGACCACTCAGCCCACTCCTGCCAACGCTTCTTCCGAGGTGGAGAAGAGTTCTAAGAAGGAGGAGCAGCAGCAGCAACAGCAAGGTCCCGTCGACAATGCCAAGTACTGGGTCTCTGAGCGCAGTATTGGCGAGTTCAGCCGAGTCTTCAACTTCCCCGGCCAGATCTCGCAGGAGTCCGTCTCTGCCAGCTTCAAGGACGGCATCCTGACCATTCGGGTACCCAAGGCTCCCAAGCACGAGACTCGCCGCATCCAGGTCAACTAAACGCATTCTTCACCATGACAACTTTTAATCAACCTTGAACTTCGTGTACAACAGCAACAATTGGCGATGAGAATGGTGGATAGGAATTGTGATTTTCAGCGACTGAGCTTGCATTAATGATTCGACTGCATAGCTGGGTGTTTCGGTCCTTACGCATTGCAACGACTAAACTGCCAGTGCCTTTGGAAAGAACCCAGTTCTTTTCATTGGCTTTGTAATTAGCCCTCTTTCACATGAATCAAAAACAATAAAAAAAAAACACAAAAACCGTTGCTCAAGGCCCTCTTGATCTATCTGTGAAATGATCTGAAATAGTATCGATTTGCACACAATATGCAAGTTTATGAGATGAGAGGTGACATCGAACACTTCTGTGACTGAAACATAGATATACACAAAAGCGAGGAGTATTTCTTGCCTTATAAGCAAGATTTTTGCAACCAGTAAGGGCTGGCTATCTTAGTGCAACGCTAGGCCAGGCCTCCAGCGGGGCAGACTGGCTTCTTAATTGACTCACGTGACTTGGCGTATTTTTGGATTGGTCATTGCCACTTCCCTGACGCGTCTTAAAGTCCGCGCTCGCCCGCAGTCAACAACCCCCCACTGGCTTGCGTTACCAACTCCCACCATTGATTTCGCCGGGTGCCTTTTTGCGTACCAATTTCAATCAAGAGTATCAAACCTCTCAAGTTCAGCATAATGACGGAGGTCGACGGATATGAGGAGAGCCACAACGGCGATGAGAGCGGAATGACCGGGCCCGGCGCGCCCACACCACTTACCGCTCTAGAGGTACGTTGCTTGTGACCCTTTTTGCGCAGGAATTTGTATGCTGAGGTACGCTTTGAACAGGGAGTCGCTGGCTTAACAAAGCGGGATATCCAGCTTGTTGTTGATGGCGGCTACAACACAGTAGAATCGGTCGCGTATACCCCGCGTCGAGTACTGGAGCAGATCAAGGGTATCTCCGAGCAGAAAGCCTCAAAAATCCTTGCTGAAGGTAGGAAACCCTGATACACCTTATGAGGATGCTTGTTTAACAGTTATTAGCCTCCAAACTCGTACCAATGGGCTTTACGACCGCCACTGAGATGCACCAACGGCGAAGCGAGCTCATCTCTATCACGACAGGCTCCAAGCAGCTAGACACACTTCTTGCTGGTGGTATTGAGACCGGATCAGTGACCGAGCTGTTTGGAGAGTTTCGTACTGGAAAGAGCCAGATTTGCCACACACTAGCCGTTACCTGTCAACTTCCTTTTGACATGGGTGGCGGTGAGGGCAAATGCATGTACATTGACACCGAAGGCACATTCCGACCGGTTCGTCTGCTTGCCGTCGCCAACAGGTTTGGCCTTTCTGGCGAGGAGGTGCTGGACAACGTTGCTTACGCTCGCGCCTACAACTCAGATCACCAACTGCAGCTTCTCCAGCAAGCCGCCGCGATGATGTGTGAGACACGGTTTTCGCTGCTCATCGTTGATAGTGCGACAGCCCTATACAGAACCGACTTTCTTGGTCGTGGGGAACTATCATCTAGACAAACTCACCTTGCAAAATTCATGCGCACTCTGCAGAGGCTTGCTGACGAGTTTGGTATTGCTGTTGTTATTACAAATCAGGTTGTTGCGCAGGTTGACGGTGGACCGAGTGCCATGTTCAACCCTGACCCGAAGAAACCTATCGGCGGTAACATTATTGCACACGCCAGCACGACAAGAATCAGCTTGAGAAAAGGCCGTGGAGAGACCCGGGTTGCCAAGATTTATGACAGTCCCTGCTTACCAGAGAGTGACTGTCTATTCGCGATCAACGAGGATGGCATTGGAGATCCAAGCCCAAAGGACTTGGAGAAGGACTAAATGGACTCTTGATTCGATGTATTGGTATGGAACAGCGACTACGGTGTCACGCGCTTATGAGTGAACTTTAATGGCCTTCAAATTGGGCAAGACATGGCATGCATTGCTGCTGGCGTTGGGTGGCAGATACTTTAAGGAGTTATAGCAATTCTCCTGTGATTTACTAGCAAACAAGGTTATGCTGCTAGAAAGAAATGAAATATTAAAAAAAAAAAAAAAAGGACGCAATGCAAAGGGTCTCAAGTGGCAATATGCCATTCTGGGTTTAATCTGTAAATAAATTAAAAATGCTTTTTTTTCTTCCCCGGAGACGTGTTTGATCCTAGAAATAAGAGCACCTACTCTGAAGCCTAATACCATAGAGCGGTGGGACGTACTGTGTTCGTAGAACGAAACACTGTTAAATGATACTGTAAACAGCTGGTTGCTGTTTTGGGATTAGCCCCACCAGCGCGTTTGGAGCCTGTCAAGAAATTCCAAGTTCTTGAATCGCGACGAGCATTCGTAGCAGCAGCAGATTGTTTAATGCGCCGAGCCCGACCTGCGACTCCTGCGGCCTCTTCCCTTTTCACTCCGGCGTTAGAGGTCTTGATGCACTAGGGCGGTGCAACACAAGATGGATTCTGCAGACACTCAATACCTCTACCGAGAGACTCGTCTCAATCTCGAACCGTCCTCCGCCTCGTCGATTGTCAACATCCGTGTCCCCTCATTGACGTCGAATGGCAGGGCCACCGCCCGCAGACTCGCCAACGGGAACGACGATAAGAACGTCAGCGAGGACGAGGTTGCCTTCAGACTTAAGAATCTAGCGCCGGCATCTTCGGTCTACCACAGAAAATGGCACGATGCACCGCGTAGCTTCCTTTGGAGGCTGCTGGAGGATGGCTTGGTATTGAGCCTCCGCGTTGTCGACACCTGTCGCCAGGAGAAGGCATCTGATGCACCTTTGGTACTAAACTTTAGATTTTCGGTTCCGATTCAGCCCTCATGCATCGCCTTCTCTGATCCTCGGGAGCACGATGCGCTTTCCATGTTCGTTCTCGACGAGTCCAACTATCTCTATACCTTCACGCTGCGACCGGACTTCTTTAGAAAGCGCTCCGCGATCGAAGCCGGACCAGGCGATGCTTGCAAGGTCTACCAGCCAAAAGTTTTCGGCCTCAAGCACCCACACCGCATGGTCGCGGCGAGCACCGACCAGGTTGTTATTTCGCTCCACGATGGTGGCCTGGTGAGGTTAGATCGGAACAGGGCTCACGACTGTATGTTATAAACTCTACTGCAAAGAGACATGTTTTCATACTGACTTATCGCAGCCTCCAGCAACCCCTGGAAAGAGACAATTTACAACTCGCAAGGTTGGGCACAGGGAATCCGCAGTTTCCTTCCTTTTAAGCAAAACCACTCTATTCGGTATCGTAACATTTCAATGGATGCGAGCGCAGCGACATCGATACAGGTGACGGATTTAGGCTTGGATGAGGCTGCCTTCCTCTTCACTGTTTGTCTCGATCACCGTATGCGCATCTGGAACCTACGCACCGGTCAAATCCTCTTTACTGGCGACATCTTGAATTCCGACCGTAACCCTCAAGAGATGGGTAAATGGCAGATTGAACCTGCTCAATCGAACCTATTGCAGCTTGTTGGTGAAGGTGCTGGAAAGAGGATGTGTGCCACTTACTCGCCAATCGGTGCCGGAGAGTTTAAGTTCTGGAACATCAAAGCTCACGACAACGAAACCATCTATGTCGAAGATGCTTTCCCCGACACACACCTTGTCCCGTCCTCACCGTCCTTGTCAGACGTTTGGACTCTGGCTGATTTCGTTTTGTCTAGCCCCTCGGATGGTGGTGTGCAGTTGTGGACACTGTGGAAGAACAACATGACTTACCGAGTCCAAGAACTCGAACTTGACATGGATAATGTTGCTGGGTCATGGGAGAATGAGTGGAATTCTGTTCATATTGATACGTCTTATCCTACAGCACAAATATCTGGCCCCTCCGACCCAACAGATACGACCGAGAAATGGTTGGAGTTGATCCTGGCACCTGGCCGCTTCACAAAATCTACACTTGAGACGGCTCTCTCTATCTACGAGAAAGGACTGGGTACTCCAAAAGATGGCGGCTCAAAGGGCCAGAAGGGTCTGGCGGAATCTATCTGCTCTGTTCTTGCCTCGACGGCATCCCTAGACCGCAACTCTACAGGAAGCATGGATTATGAGCAATTCCGTGCCAGCAGTGAGATTCAGTGGCGGAGATTCTATCGTCTGCTTATTGAACTGGATAAACAGCGTGGTGAGGCCGTTGCTCTAATTCTGGACTCAGATGCGGAGATGACTTGGGTGGTCTGCGCGGATGCTGTTTCCGCCATTCGAGAATGTAGTCAACTTGAACGGCTGTACTACAACCTCTCGCGACCGGATGAGGGATCCGAGAAAACTGCAACACTTGTTTCTACGGGAATCAACTTTGTTGACGCGATCTCTGATGGCATCTTGCAGGTCTGTAACGCTGCCCTGCGGCCCGAAATTTTTGAAGAAACGCCAAGGACAGATTACGAACGAATTCAGTACATGTTCGACACTACCGCCATGTGGCGTAGTGTCAGCGAAGAAGATTGCGCTCAGGTCATTGAGAGCCTCGGACAGAGCTACAATGGCGTGACGATGGACTTGTACGATAGTCTTGCTGCCTTGGTCGCTGCTAGCGCAGACTCTGGAAGCCGTAAAGCTCGGCTGCCCCTGACTGACTTCGGAAGAAAATTGGTCGCGAAAACTGTCCAGGAAACAATCGAGCTTCAGTGGAAGGTTGTCTTCAGTCAGCTCCTGCTGTTGGTCCATATGGAGTTTGACTGGGAGCAAGAGGAAGATATGCTTTCCAAACGGTTTGACATTGGCGCTGTATTCCGGCAATTCCTTGAGTCACTTCGCAGAATAGAGCTGCTTCGGTGGCTTTCTAAGACTGAGATCACAGTTCCTGTTGGGAACAAGCACGAGCGCAATGGATCCTTCTCTGGCTCGCCGAACTCGTTGAAGCGAACCGGAGAGGAGACCCAAACTATTACTGCCTTGGAGGGTAACGTAGGACATCTCCTTGGCTTCGTCGACAGCAGGGACGAGCCTTTGGCCGCTAGCATCACGAGCATTGTCACTGATCTCTGCGCCCCAAATAGTGACATTGAAGTGTCACCTACCCTTATCCAATGCTCTCTGATCAGGAGAGAACGAGCCGACCTGGCTCTGGAGCTCACCCCGTTCTGCAGTCAAACACCGTTCGCCATCTACATCCAGGGCCGTGTCTTCCTTGCTCTAAAGGACTTTGCTTCGGCTGCAATTCACTTCCGCAAAGCGGCGATTGGCATGAGTAAGTCGTTGCATTATCTTCCTTTGCATTTGTCCCATCTCATTCTAACATATAGTCTAGGTGTCCGTGATGTGGACGTTGACCGCCACAGCAGCGGCCTCCTTGACGATACGGAGTGGAATCTGCTCAACAAAGGTCCGGCCCGCTACCATTGCCACATTGTGGCTCTGTTCGAGAAAGCCAAGGCATACTCCTACGTGATTGAATTCGCCGGCTTGGCCATCCAATACTCCCACGCAAGCTCTGAGGCTGCTCTGGTGAGGAGCGAGATGCTCAGTCGCCAATTCAACGCAGCCACAGTCCTTTCGCGTTTTGATGTTGCCCATGCAAGCCTGCTAGCCATGAAGGACAAGGCGATGCAGCATTCGTCTCTGCGCAAGCTAGTAGACAAGATGTGCGAGACTTACCACAACAGCGAGCTCATGTCACTTCCCTTCCCCGGGCTGCAAGACTCTATTGATGAGATCCTGGCCCAGAGATGCAAGTCAACGATGGATGTCCTCAATGGCATTCCTTACCACCAAATACTCTACTCTTGGAGAATCAAGCATAGCGACTACCGTGGTGCCGCCACAATTCTTCTCGATCGTATTCACAAGCTGCGATATGCTGGGGAAGGTGACAAGCTCATCGGCGAGGATGTTTTGGACACGCCAATCACGAAGCAATATCTACTGCTTATCAACGCTCTAAGCTGCGTCGATCCTAAGCAGGCTTGGATCTTTTCGGAGGAGCTGCGTCCTCCCAACTTGAGGGATACGAACTGCCAAGGGAAGCGCAAGGTCGTCACCTTGTCAGACCTGCGCAAGCAGTACCAAGACGAGCTAGACAGAATCGCCGCCATCCAGAACAATCAGTTTGGATTCGAGGCGGACGACGGTATGGACATTTTGTAAATGGATGAAATGGAACGCAGATACAAAAGGGGTCCCGGGAAGAGAAAGAGAGCATGTACAAGTAATCACAAAAGATTCCGGATAAGATGACACCGGATACGCCAGATACCTCACGAATTGCATGGATTGGTCTTTGATTCTTTCGGTGGAGGAAGAATAATTTCTTTTTTTTTTTCGTATCAGTCAGACCCAGCTTTCTTTACCCCAAACGCCGTGACATATGCTAAAAGTGCGCGACGACCGCCGAATACCCATCATAACTACAACTTTGCAACAGAGCGCCAGCCACTTCAACAACTTCATTACTACACCTGGGTTGGTTGCTGCATCAGCTTGGGGTTTTCGGGGGCAGCCGCCATGATCATGTTCGGGCTCTGAGCGGCATCAGGTGCTTGGCGGTACAGGATGATCTCTGACTGCTTGAAATATCTCCGGGCATCTAGTTTTTATCGTCAGCACAATCTTGCTTTCAGGACCTATGGGGCATATGCGCCTCACCTTCGTCAATGAGTACCAAACTAAGGTAGTACCTTGTAGAGAACTTCTTGTTAACATCCCGGAAGGTAGGGGTCAGGTCGAAGCCGCCCAGGAAGAGCCGGATGGGAATGGTCTCTCCTCTGGAAGGGGAACCATCCATAATCTGCATGTTATTGTCAGCATCCTACTCAAGAAAAGGGACCAACTATTGGAATGCCTACCTCGAAGCGCACCAACGTCTCGCTTTCGTTGTATTGGTTCGGTGCGGCGCCCGTCGTCTCCCTCCGGATGATGGATAGTTCCATGTGTTTGATCTTTAGACGGACGAGCAAAAAGTATATGCGACCGACGATAACGTCCTTAAGGTGGTACTTGCTCTTGGAGTACTCAAACTCAATGTGCAGGCAGTCTTCAATACCGACATCCATCTTAATGGAAGAGTTCATCTCGGGAGGTATGCGGTACGAGTAGACCCAGATGTCCTTCTCGCGGATGACGTCGGCCATGCGGCGCGAGACGGTGACACGGACGAAGTAGCGAAGCTTGACATTGATTCCATTGTAAGACTCGTACTGCTTCTCGACGTTTTTGAAATTGAAGTCGAAAGTCTGCGGGTGTTGCAGCTCACCCGGCGCTGCGAGTTCCTGCACGAGGGAGAGAAATTCGTAATGGTTTCCACGGTCGAAGAACATCTCTGGAGACAAGAGTGTTAGTTGACCATGAACAGATCATAACAGAGAAGCGCGCATGTGCTACGCTATGATTGAGGGAGATAGTAGCTGACCTATTGTGCCAATGAATTGGACCTTGATGCCTGTATGCTCTAGACGCTTGCCATCCTTGGGTCTAATAGTCACGGCGCCCTTGACGGACTCGCCATCCATGTAAAGCGGCGCTTTCTCGCGCCTATTCTTATCGAGCTTCACATCGACCATGGACCGCTCATCAGCGTCCTCTAGCACGATGTCAATATCGACGGGGGTTGAGAAGAAGTACGACATCTTGACCTCGGTGGATGGCCCGGATCCCGCGCGATTACTCCGCTCGGAACTGAATGCGGCAGTAGTAATTCTGTGTGCTTGAAATTATGAATCCAGGCTCTTGCACGTACGAGTTTCGTGGACGGCGTAAGTGGGCGATTGGAGTTGATTGGGTTTCGGAAAGCTGTCGTGGCTGACGTACATTCGGCTTCAATGCTGCGACTGCTGCTGCTCCTCATGCGCCGACCCAGCTATCGGTCGAGGTGGGTGGGCATTGGGGAGCTGTCGTGCACGGACCGTCAAGTTGATCGCAAGAGACACGTGACTGGACCGAACAGCCAACTGTCAGCAGTGAGGCTTGTGCCGGGAGTGTGGCTCATGCTCGCCGATGTTGCCCCGCCCCGAGAGACGGGGCCCAGCCCCTCCGCCCTATTTTTGTTCATGCACGGGCCATCCGGAATTGGAGACGCTCACGTGCACGCGAGCCCTACCGTCCACCAAAACTTTTCCTACCCACAGAATCGAGGACAATTTTCTTGAAAGTTTGAGATCGGACTTCGACCCTCAACGCCCAACGATAGCCTCACAGACCAGTCGCCAATCGCCCAGTCGACAACCCCCCCGACGTCAAGATGAAGTACATTCACTCCCAGGAGAGCCTTGAAATCCCTCAGGATGGTATGTGAAAGCCGTCGTCGTCGTTGTCATTGACGATTGCACGAAACCCGAAGAAGAATGGAAAGCCACACAAAATACAACCGTTGAACTCCCCGGTCATCATTTGTCCACGACGATACGGCCCTGCGAGCTCCGCCGGATCTGAAATTTGGGATACAAAATACTCTCCTGCCTCTGCCTTCCTGGCGTCTCTTCATTGTCGACAATGCTCTCCCTTGCGCCTGGGCATACGACAGTGATGGATGGCAAAGGGATTGGCGGAGACGGAAAGGGCATTTGGGTTGAAAAGTTTTAGACTGTGGATGAGCTCGAAAGGAGCAGTAGTGGCAGGCAATTGAATGCATGCTGACTTGGATTCTCCAACAGTCAAGATTCACATCAAGTCCCGCGTCGTCACCGTCGAGGGCCCCCGTGGTAAGTTCCAAACACTCTTTACAAAACATCGCGGCTGGTCGCAACTCCATTGTTGCAGCTGTCAACGCCCACATTGCTTCGATTCCTTTGCGGACCTGCGGCGGGGTCGATTCCTTACAAGTCAATTGGGCTGACCAACGAAATAGGCAAGCTCGTGAAGGACCTTAGCCACTTGGCTGTCAACTTCTCCCAGCCCAAGAAGGGTACCGTCAACATTGAGATCCACCACGGCTCAAGAAAGAACGTTGCCACCCTCCGCACCGTCCGTACCCTGATCAACAACCTGATCATCGGTGTCACCAAGGGCTTCAAGTACAAGATGCGCTACGTCTACGCCCATTTCCCCATCAACGTCAACGTTGAGAAGAACTCTGAGTCTGGCCTGTACGAGGTCGAGATCCGGTACGTTCTGCACTATGTGGATCACTTGGTCAAAATACTAACGCTCTGCCTAGCAACTTCATCGGTGAGAAGCTCGTCCGCCGCGTTGTCATGCGCGCCGGTGTCGATGTCGAGGTCTCCAAGGCCCAGAAGGATGAGCTTGTCCTCTCTGGCAACTCCCTTGAGTCCGTCTCCCAGTCTGCTGCCGACATCCAGCAGATCTGCAAGGTCCGCAACAAGGATATCCGTAAGGTATGTTGCGAGTCGCAAAAGCTTTCCCCTTCCTGGTAATGTGACTGACACATGCACAGTTCCTTGACGGTATGTACGTCTCCGAGAAGGGCAACATTGTCGAGGACCAGTAAATGCGACATCAACACATATTGTGATGGTTTAGTGTTTTCGAGGCTTTTCGTCTCTGCGGGAAATCAAAATACTACTGGGTTCTGGTCTGGGTTCTTACGACAGGAGTGGCCGGGGTTCAATCATTTGCAGGCACAGCATAGCACCTGAAAAATAGGTGTCTGTGTGTAGCGCAGGGTTATACCAACAAAAAAGCAAGAAGACGCACCAGCTCGCTTCTGAGCGGTTTACTCAAATAACCCTCTTGTCTATGTCTATCTGCATGAAACGGAAATGGCGTTAACGGTGAAATGATACCTCACGCAACATATTTCAAGATCTCGCTTGCCCTGTTCCATGTGTTCCATGACAATGAGAGGGATACGCTTTTAACATGTACGGTTTTTGCCAGCTTAGACCGCGTATTTTGTTGTTGGCAGAACCTTAGGTGAATCCATTGTTGCGTCACAGGTCAGCTAACATCCAGGATGCTTCCATGAGTCTCAGCCGCTCATCTGAACTCCTTTCCAGACTGGTCATCGAAACAAATTCCATAGCCTGAGTTAGGTAGGGGTACCAGAGTCAATTCAATAATTATTGTAATCATGTTCTCATTCACTGCGGTGACTTGAAGAAAGCTCAATTAGCTAGCTCCGTTATAAATTTCGTCTACAACATTCAAATCGTTCTGACATCGTACATGCTATGCAGGGTGTTGTGATGAAGAGAGCACACCAAGGAAATGTCGGAAACGCTCAAAGGAAATGAGATCCTCCACGTCCAAAGACGACCTCCTCCAGACCCAACCGCTATTATCTATAGTCTCGTTGCTTCATCCTCCCATTTTTCATTGCAATCGTCCCAATCTTGCTTCCATCTCCTCGACGTCTTCCTTCGTTAAAGGTTTCGTCTCTCATGTCTTGTTGTTGTTGTTCTTGTTGTTGTATGTTTCTCCGGGGTGTCGCACACAACAGCCCGGACACAGATTATGATTCGTCCCGTCCAAAACGCCCTTTGGGAAAAACAATATGGGGGAAAAAAAAGAGAAAAAAAAGGACAATACCAATTTATGTACGTTCGAAGCATATTCGGGGTTTCAAAAGCCTTATAGACGAGGCAATCGAGATCATATGCGGCCTAAAAATCGGGGAAGAACTCTGTGCGCTACCTTCGTGAGTGACGTGTGGTGTGGGTGCCACGCGTATGGCCCGTTCGGTGGGTTCTTCCTCCAGAGCTAGAACTGCCTAGGTAGGAGGTCAGATCTGATCGTGTCCGAGAATCCCATGAAGACTCACTGGGGCTTGTCCCCGTGTACGAATAGTACGAATCAGTGTACGTTGTCCGCGGCTTACGCGGCGGCTTGTCCTTCTTCAGATTCAAAAGCGCCAGCAGGGTTGCGGCGGCAGCACCCAGCCCCAACCACTTGGCACCTTCCTTCTTCTCTTCCTTGCGGTGAGCAGCTGAGGCAGGACGGCCGCCACCAAACCAGCCGCCGTGAGACGGACGGTGAGAGTGTGCGGAAGGCATGCGGCTACCATGGCGCGAGTATCTCTCCTCAACTACTTCGACACGTTCGCGGCTTCGCTCCTTCTTCTTCTTGCCACCAAAGATGAGACCCCATAGACCACGCGCGATACAGCAGAAGCAGAGCAGCATGAGCAAGCCCAGACCGGCAAGAGTGCCAATAACAATTCCTGCAATGGCACCGCCGCTCAAACCGCCACCGGTCCCCTCATCAACGGGCACCGCTGTTCCGGTGGATGTCGCCGACGCGGCTGTACCAGTAGGTCTAGTAGTAGTAGTAGTTACTCGGTAGGGAGGTGAAAACTGTGTCGTAATAGGAACACCGTTGGAGGAGATTGTCGTGGGTACCCAGCCCTTCTGGGCGCATTGCCCTTCGTAGGCGCAATACTGGTCGGAGGCACAGCAAATGCTGCCGCATGCCGACTCTCCGGCGTTCTTTGGTTTGCATGGAACTCCAGCACCTCCTCCAGCACCTCCACCTGACCCCTTTGTGGTTTCAGGCCAGTTGGTAGTGATGGTACTGGTGAAGGTATTTGTCTCTGTCCAGGTTGTGGTGTAAATGCCATAACCGCCACCTCCGTTGATGGTGCTACAGCCAGCAATGTTGTTCACAGTGTAGCATTGCTCACCTGATCCACAGCAGTACTGTGAATCGACACCGCATCGCTGGACGCAATCGCGTCGCATGAACTTATCGCCGAGTTCATAGAACAGGTTGTTGGCAACGTTTTGCAGAGGATAAGGGTGTGCGAAAACTGTGGTAGGCAGTGAGGCCAGAAGAAGAAGGCGGGTGACCAGAGGGGCCGCAGCCGAATGCTTAATTCGGCTCATGCTGGCAAAAGAGCAATAGGACGAGGCGCCGCAAGGCCGGGGGCCAGGAATGTAAGGAGCCGAAAAATCGGCAGAGTGCGACTGAGAAGAAACCCTTCGCCCACAGTTGTCGGTGATTGTTGGCCCAGCGAGCTGTGCTGCGATATTTTGTCTTGCTTCAGAGACTTGAAAACTTGTAGGAAATTGATTAGATGTGTAAAATGATGCAGCGAGGCAATGAGATATTAATTTCTCATTGAAGAGGAGGGTCAAGGGCGTGAAGAATGAGTGAGCTGGCCGGCCTAGTCTGTTAGTGTGCAGACGTAGAGTGTAAGGCGCGGAGCCAGCAGGTATCAACAGAGAATTGATCGTCGGAATGCTCTTGGGTTCGGTGCTTGAGGGGAAAATTCCAAAAAAAAATCGGAGGGAAAACGAAGCCTGCAGATGAGGTGACTTTAAGAGAGAGGGTTGCGGACGGGCTGGAGCGTCGTATTACTTGGTTGGGGCAGAGTCGTTTTTTCGCGGGATTCCCAACCTCCTCTGCGTCCCGAGTCCAACCTCTTCGATTTTCCTGCCGTTGTCACCACACCCACTCTGACATCCACAATAACACCCTCGAAATATGCGCGTTGCAGCAGGGATCTAATCTCACCGGTTAGCTGTGTAGAACTTTGCCAGGACAGGCTTTAGATCAGGTTGCTTTCTCCTTCTTGATTGATCGATTCCGTCACGGTTGCTGCTGAACTTTTGCGGTTCCTGAAGATCGGGTACCGAGAAGTGAGTCCTACACAAGAGCAAAGGGTATTTAGTGGCCCTGGTGCGGGGAGATGCCTGTGTGAGCTGGCAAGACGGGTCGCTAGCGCCTCTGCGACTGGCCCGGCCCAGAGCGCCTTGTCTCCACTGTTTACATGCAGGGGTCGGTCCGTCCACTGGACGACAATCGATAAGTAGAGGAAAGAGGGCAACTAACAGACCCAATCTTCCCATCATCTTTCTGTTTCCCTGCTGTTTCTAACCCTTACACCGAATAAAGCAACTTCTTTCCTTCCTTGGCTTTTCCTCTCAGAGTCTGGTGGCCTGTGCGCACCTTTGTTCTCGTCCGTCACAATGCATTGTGGCCAGTCCCAGCCAGAGATTTTGCGCCCTTGTGCTTCATTCGAAGCTGCTTTAGTGAGATCACAGACGTCGCATCCGTTTCTACCCTGCAATGTCAGTTCAGCGGCAGGGCTGATAATAATACGGGAAACAAGGTAGTTAGCGACCCAAACGTTATTTGTGACGCGTGTAGGGGCAGGCCAGGAGCGCAATGACAGGCATAGAGGTACAAGTGCCACAACGTCTGGCATCGCAGCGGGATCTCGCTACCCGCCAGTCCGTGGGTTCCGCATATTTGGCAAGCTTGACTAAGCCAGGCCGACGGGATAGTTGCTTTTACCCCCCATCACGAATTGACTTCACGGTAAGGATTAATTAGGGGGCTTTCTCACATAGGTGCCCTGCATGGCATGGGCCAGTGTAGAACATGGGGTAATCTGCAGCAAAGACCGATTCAGTGGGAGGAAAGGCGACATCTGCCCCTGAATAAAAACGGGAGGCTGGGTATCATGGCACCTGGATCTTTGTTGCTATTTGGAGTTTCGAAGTGCGAGGGGTCTAGCCAAGCTTGACCGACTGCGATTTCATAGAGGAGAGGGAAGGCCAATCAGCACGCATTGCCGCACCGCCGCATCGGCTCGAGCAGCTTATCTGAGCCGTGGCCATTTGATTGGCTATTTAGAAGCTTTGGTGGAGCAAATGGAGCTCCTACCTGTGGCTGACGTAGAATTGGACCTCGAGCCAATCAAGCGCAGTCGGCCTGACGCTGTGACTTGGACCAGGGAAGTGACCCAAAAACTGGGTGGGCGCGGCTGCGGCTGCGGCTTGAGTGCGTTACGTTCGTCAGACAGCTCACAGCCGCGACGACCTGCTACCCTCAATACGCCTAAATCCATCCACTTCGTCCATCATCAACACCCTCGGCGACGCAAGTCCATCTATATTTGAAGCCGCCAGGGTCGCTACTTTCCTTGACTCGCCCGTCATGTCGCTCGATCCTCCCACTTACCTGGCCTCGCTACAGAGCAACATCCGCCAACGGCCAATCCCCTGGGATGGCGCTGTTAGAGCAGGCACCATTACTGAAGACCACCTGGCCCGCATCCGCGCCGTCGACAAGGCGAAGAGAGCTGAGGCAAGGAAGGAAATTGTAGAAGGCGACCTCGATGGCTACCGCTCCCTCTTTGTTGGCGAGCCGGGAAAGCCAAGTGTGCTTGAGTCTGCAGGCAAACAGGCCAATGTCGTCCAGTTTGTTCTCGTCCTCCTTGCGGATCTTTTGCCCAGTACGTTTTGCACCTCCCACTTGATCAGAACCTACACTTTGTTCAAGTCATCAATTCCCTCGATACCTACTTCATTACCTACCTTGTATCCAATGATTGTCATCCTCCAATTAAGAAATCCGAATTTCCCTACCGTAGCTCTGCTAACACAGCCAACCTCATCCTATAGGTGTACCATCACTTGCCAAAGCCCTTTTTAAGAATACGGACCCCTATAAACACTTCCTGCCATTACTCGCGCATTCGAACAACACAGATGATCCGATCCCCTTGCTCACCTCGACGGCCTTGACAAAGGTCATGTCCATCTCCGGCGACGAATCTCAGGCGACCCGTAACGCCATTCCAGTCTTGCTTTCATATCTATCGGGTCTTGCGAAGAGCTCTGATGCCGGTCTCCAGGATATTGCAGTTCAAGAGTATTCGTCGCTGCTGTATGGGCGCTCGTCGAGACAACAGTTTTGGAATCAAAGAAGCGAGACTATTGCGCCTTTAATCGAAATTCTTAGAACCGCTGCGGGCATTGGAAGCAATGGCAGCTCTTCTGCAAGTATATGGAGTGGCACGGCGCCGTCGAGAGCCGCTGGCTTCGAAGGCACGCTTGGCGGCGGGGTTGGTCTGCAGCTGCTGTACCATGTCCTGTTGGTCATTTGGCAAATGAGTTTTGAGGCCGAAGATATTGGCGATGACTTGAACGAGTATGTCTTATAAGCCCCATTTTCTTACACGTTCTATGCTAATGACTTCAAGTGAGTATGACATTGTTCTATTGTACACCCAGCTGTTGCGCCTATCCCCCAAGGAGAAAACGACACGTTTGATTGTTTCAACCCTTTTCAATCTGCTCGACAAGAACCAGAAGTCGCTCCTCCCTACAGCGGTGCTTGCACGGCTTCCCGCTCTCCTTGGAAACCTGAGTGGACGTCACTTGACCGACCCCGACCTCCTGGAAGACCTCCAAAACTTGAAGGACTTGCTCGAAGAATATACCAAGACGAAGACCACTTTTGATGAGTACGTTGCGGAAGTCGAATCCGGTCATCTTCGTTGGTCCCCGCCTCATAGGAGCCAGGTGTTCTGGGCCGAGAATGCGCGCAGGATTTTGGATCACGAAAATGGAGAAATCCCACGCAAACTTGCTGAAATTATGAAGAAACCATGGGACAGTGACAAGCAGGTTTTGGCCATTGCTTGCAACGACGTGGGAGCCTTGGTTAAGGAGGTGCCAGAGAAGAGATATCAATTGGAGAAGCTTGGCTTAAAGACCAGGATTATGGAGCTTATGGGGGATTCGGACGAAACCATCCGGTGGGAGAGTCTGAAAGCCTTGGGCGGATGGTTGAAATACAGCTTTGATGGCTAAACCTTTCGTTAGTGCAGCTGGGGCCATGGTTCAAAGCTTGTGTAAGTATAAACGGATGGAAAGCATTATCCAGGCAGTTAGAGTGGACCGGGAGTCATTTCGAGTCGAGTGTTTTTTTAGCAGCCCAACAATAACTGGGCCGACCTTCTCGGCCGAAAATGTGATGGTATTCTTTAGGACTCTTACATCACACCACGAAATCAACAGCATACCCAAGTGCGGCGCATAGTAGTTTCAACAGAGCATTATGACGATGTACCAAGACTGATTAGCGACAATGATTGTCAACATGGTGCATTTTTCCTGTTTTCCGGTGTTGTGAGGTTGTGTGGGGACGACGAGTGCGCAGCTGATGAGCAAAATCCGCCCGGCGGATAATGGCCCGAGGCCCATCATGACATTTTGCCAACGTCAATACCTTGCCCCGTCCGTAGCCCAATGGGAGGGATCAGTGGAGCTGTCCCAAGGCGCGGCACACTAACTCCGATGGGTCCCCGCGGCGTTATGTACTCCGGACCTTATCATACGGGCGGTACGTGCCCAGAGGGTCGAGCCACCCCACCTTCAAGACGTCAACCCCTCAATAATTAGTGATTCTAGATTCTAGAAGTGAGCCATAACCCCACCAGGGAGCTGAGGTGAGTTCAGGGTCCATACCTTACCATAGCTTCCGAGGGTCGCATGTTCCGTCGCAGCTTTCAGTGAACCCTCCCGCCCTCAACAGAATCTTCACGAACACACGCACAAAAACGCACATAACCCGCCCAAACTTCCCCCTAATTTGTTCTTTTCTTGTCGCAACCACATCCAACATACGCACAAAAAACAAAATGGCACCCAAGGCGATTATAGCACCTTCGATTCTCGCGGCCGACTTCGCCGACCTCGGCGCAGCATGCTCACGCACAATCTCACAAGGAGCTGACTGGCTTCACGTTGACATCATGTAAATCACCCTTTTCAGAGGAACAATCCGCGAAATCCAATGGGCAGAGTCTTCATCAGCCTGCAGGCGACGCTCTAGAGTTGTGACAATAGGGCTAACCATCACAACCTAGGGATGGTCATTTCGTTCCCAACATCACATTCGGACCGCCAGTCGTTGCCAAGATTCGAGGCCACGTCGACAAGCCTACCGAGAACCATGGCAAGGGCACATTCGACTGCCATATGATGATTTCAGAGGTAAGCTTCCCCCTCACCCCCGCCCCCTAGCTCGGCGCTCTTGAATATGCTCAGTGGGCACAGCGAGAGCGCTGTGGTCGCACCAGCACAGTAACATTTGACTGACGGATCTTCTTCTGCCGAATATAGCCCAAGAAATGGGTTAAGGAGTTTAAGAATGCTGGCTGCGACCTGTACTGTTTTCACTACGAGGCCGCCTTCTCATCCAACGCTGAGAGGCCTGAGGATAAGACAGACGAAAAGACGAACCCCAAGGCGCTGATTCGCTACATCCATGAGCAAGGGCTGCTGGCCGGCATCGCACTAAAGCCCGCGACGCAAGTTGATGTGCTCTGGGACATTCTTGAGAGCGAGGATCCCCTTGAGAGACCTGACGTGAGTTCCCCCTTTAAGTACACCGCCACTTGAATTATCTTACTACAGGCCAGCAGCTTGTTAAGAATAGCTCGGACTAACTCATTCAACAACAGATGGTTCTCATTATGACGGTCGAACCCGGCTTCGGTGGGCAAAAGTTCATGGCCTCGGAGCTGCCCAAGGTCCAGGCCCTTCGCGAGAAGTACCCTGAGCTCAACATCGAGGTTGACGGAGGCTTGGGGGCTGGGACCATTGATCAGGCGGCCGATGCAGGAGCAAATGTTATTGTGGCCGGAAGTGCCGTCTTTGGCGCGAAGGATCCTTCTGAGGTGATCTCAGTGCTAAGACAGGCGGTGGAGAAGAGGAACGGCAAGCTCTAAAAACGGCCGTCTGTGGCAGGCCACCAGCCCAGGTTGATGACTTTTGACGGTGTTTTTGCTTTTTGTTTTTGATGATTTACGCTCCGAGGGGAAAAGCCAGGCAAGCCATGAGTTACGTTCAGCATATACAACTAAGTCGGACAACGATTCCATTAGTGGATATTTGTTGGTCTTCTTAATCTTAATTTTATACATTTAAACGTCTACTTCTTTTCCGACAACGCTTTGTCCAGTGCGGAAATGAAGCTGTTGATCTCATCCACTGGTAGTTTGTCAGTACTCCACTTGCACTAAGCGAGACGGAGGGCAAGCACTTACGGCTATTATAGTGAACCATGCTGACTCGAACGATGCCGTCGGTGGGGTCAAGTCCAAGAATGTCCTTTAAGAGGCGGTAGGAGTAAAAGTGTCCCCATCTGAACCCAAAATTGGTGTCCTTCTCAACAGCCGTGACCAGCTCCTTGGCACCCCACCCCTTCACTCTGAAGCTGATGGTCGGGACACGGCGATCCGTGTCGGCATTGTCTTCGCCGTAGATAGTGACGTCCCCCCGGCTGTTAAGATAGTCGATCAGCTTCAACTGTAGCTGCCTCTCCTGCTCGATTTTGCCCTTCCAGCCACCAGACTGAGGGGTACCAAGGTACTCTAGCACTTTCGGCACAGACGAAATCAGCTCATAGCTACCTCCGGCAAGCCCCAGCTTACCCTCGAGGGTTTCGTGCTGGTTGAAGAAGTGGCCGAGAGAACGCATCTGGTTATCCTGCGCCTTGCGGCTGGCGTACAGCATGGCCGTATGGGGGCCATAGACCTTGTACCACGAGAAGGCGTAAAAGTCAACACCCAATGTCTTGACGTCGATAGGCCTGTGAGGAGCGTAAGCTACGCCGTCCACACAAACGAGGCCGTTTGGCGTGCTTTCATGAACAGCGGATGCAATTGCCCCCACATCGTGGATGGTGCCGAGTATGTTGCTTGCGTGGGTGCAGGTCACCAAGCGGGTCTTCTCAGACAGCAGAGGCTTGAGGTTGTCGACGGTGAGCTTGGGGTTGGTGGGGCTCTCGGGCTTCCACCACTTGATAACGAGGTCCTGACGGGCAGCGAGGTCGACCCAGGAAGCGATGTTAGCTTCGTGATCAACGCCTGAGATGATGATTTCGTCGCCCTTGCTGAAGGAGAGAGTGTGTGAAACATTCCTAAAGAGTTGAGTCGTTGACGCTCCAAAAACTTGTGCTTGTGGTTAGCCTTCGAGAACCAGAGAAGTAGGCTGAGCGAGGGGTTGTTACCGATCTCGTCTGGAGACGCGTTGATGTACTTAGCTCCGGCTTGGTAACCTTCGCCGTAGAGAGCAGTTGAGCGCTGGCCCACTCTGTATGAAGCTCCCAACTGAACGTTTGTCTGAGAGAGATAATCCCGTATACTGGTCGTGATTAGCAAGTTGAGGACTAAGTGGCACGAGGAGCCAGAAGACGTACGCATCGATGACAGTTCCCAGAGTCTGACTACCGCCAGCATTGTCAAAGAAAACTTGATCCTGAGCCAAAGCAGGGAACCGGGCTCGGACGGCCTCAATATCAACTTGTGAAGACATTGTAAGAATTGATAACTTGGGGTAGCGTCGAAGGTAACTATCAGAGATTGTGAATTGGGTGGCTGTGAAGGGTATTTCCAGAGAGTGTGGGATGAAATCCAGGCTGTTGGAGAAATGAATTGAACACGATGGTTTAAGCTCTTAAACAATGGGACTCATGCAGCAGCTTGCGTTATCGCAGTCCAAGCGGGGATGAGGTGTATTTGAGTTACGCGAAGGAACTGGACTAGAATGGCCAGCTGCCCAATTGAGACACAAATGACCAAGAAGATATGTATGGAGCCGCCAAATGAACCGGGATGCATGACGTTCTCGCTGGAGGACGCTCCCCTCTAACGGCGGGGAAGGAGGGGACGAGGGACGTGGGGTCGGCGCGGTTGGCAACGGCTCGCCGACGCTCCGGCCTCGTCAGAGTCCGTATAGGCCCGCCTAGTCGGGGTGCCACACCACCTGTTCTTCAAGTTGGCCGGCTTGGCTTCAGAACACGTCGTTACCTGGACGGTCATTTTTGCAAGTCGTGCAGAATCAATAGACCACTGAAAAGTAAGATCGCTAGTGCAATGCGTTCAACTCGATGCATCCTGCAACCTTCAAGCGCCGGAGAAGAATGGTGTTTGTGGAAGACAATATTGGCATACGACATTGGCTCCTCGCTGGTAAGGCTGGCGGCTCGCGATGCTTTCAAGAGTAAGAGCGCTTGAGTTGTCATGCAAGTCCCTGAAATTGTCTGAGTGCCAACAGATCTCCTTCAGATCTGCACCATATATATGTGCACCTGCATTGCCAATTGGGTGGCTGGGTGGTATTGTATGTAGTAAAGACCAAGAGCTTCACCCATGCCTCCCTAGAAAACCCGGCCGACGGAGGGGGGACTGGACGGCGGTGTAAGATTTGAGAATGCTGGACGTGGAGGCCACAACGGCGATTTGCAGGGGCCAACGCCGCCCATGGGACGATTTGCCGCGAAAACAGCTGCTACGGGAAAAAATTTATGTGGGACCTCAGCCCACGTCCGATCCGATCAGCGAAGCTCTGGTTCCAATATGAACTTGGCCGTGGCCAACAATAATTTTTTCACCCTACGCACAGAATTAGTTTCTTTCCAGACACTACTTGAAAGAAATCAATCAATCGCCCAAGATGAAGCGCAAGGCAGATTCCCGAATTGACGACAAGAAACCGACGAAGAAGAAGTCGAAGACGAGTTAGCCACTGCCAATCTCCCATCGTCAAAAGTTGCCCACTAACACCGAGTCCTGTAACAGCCCTCTCGGCCGACGCTGCAAAGTCGCGATTTCGCAAGGGTCTATTTGACAAGAAGGTCCTCGACTCCTACACTACCGAGTACGCCAATTCGAGCCCCTACAAGCACTCGGTCATCAGTGGTCTGGTCGACGACAAGCTCCTGCGCTCCGTACGTGACGAGATTCGCGAGAACGTTTCCTTCACCCCCAAGGAGACCGACATCTACAAGATCCACCAGTCGGGCGATCTCGCCAACCTCGACGGCCTTGATGACGATGCCCTCGCGAAGCTCCCCTCCCTGCTTGCATTGCGTGACGCAATCTACTCCGAGACCTTCCGTAACTACGTCTCTCACATCACCGACTGCGGTCCTCTGAGCGGCCGCAAGACTGATATGGCCATCAACGTCTATACTCCCGGCTGCTATCTCCTCTGCCACGACGACGTCATTGGCAGCCGCAAGGTCAGCTATATTCTCTACTTGACCGACCCGGATCAGCCGTGGAAGGCCGAGTGGGGTGGCGCTCTTCGCCTGTTCCCCGTAAACGAGCTCGAGGGCAAGGACGGTGAGATCGCAAAGACTCCTGCGCCGGATCACACCAAAGTCATCCCACCTGCGTGGAACCAGCTCTCGTTTTTCGCTGTCCAGCCAGGCGAGTCTTTCCACGACGTCGAGGAGGTGTACCATGCAGAGTCTAAGGCCCAGCTTGAGAAGGATGGCGGCCGTATCCGCATGGCAATCTCAGGCTGGTTTCATATTCCCCAGGTCGGCGAGGATGGCTACGTTAAGGGTGCCGAGGAGAAGCAGGTTAAGAACTCGGGTCTCATGCAACTGCAAGGCAACCCGGACCAGCACGACACCCCGCGCTCACGGGCTGTCAAGGTTGACAAGCCCGGCTCGAATCCCGCCCAGGCCTTCGATGAAGCTGGACTTGAGTTCTTGCTGAAGTATATTTCCCCGACGTACCTGACCCCAGACACGCTAGAGCAGATAGCAGAGCACTTCGAGGAGAACTCCAGCATCACCCTTTCCAACATTCTCTCGAAGAAGTTTAGCGCTCGACTGAGGGAGTACATTGAGTCCCAGGAGAAAAACGGTCTTCCCGAAGATAGCGAGAAGATTGAGAAGAAATCGGCGTGGCGTGTTGCAAAACCCCCGCATAAGCACCGCTACCTCTATCAGCAGCCTGCGGGCGCCGACGAGCTGCGTAGCTCACAGGAGGAGAACCCGCTGACGGAGCTGCTTGACAATCTTCTCCCATCGCGCCAGTTCCGCGAGTGGCTACAAATTGCAACAGGGACCGTCATCGAGAGTCACGAGTTCCTCGCTCGTCGTTTCCGTCACGGACAGGACTACACGCTCGCGACAGGCCACGAAGGTAAACCTCGTGTTGAATTCAATCTCGGCATCACCCCATCAAAGGGTTGGGGTGATGACGAAGACGAGGAGGAGAAGCCTGAAGAGGAAGAGGAAGTTGAGAAACCCAAGAAGGGCAAGAAGGGCAAGGGTAATGCCAATGCCAAGCCGACGCCTAAGCCTGAGCCAGAAGAGGAGATTGAGGTCGGTGGTCACGAGGTGTACATGGCCGGCGACGATGGCGAAGAGGAAGAGGATGCTGCGATTTACAAGTCGAGCGGTGATGATGACAACATTCTCTTCTTCCAAGCCGCCGCGTGGAACAAACTGACCCTCGTTCTGCGTGACAGCGGAACGTTGCGGTTCGTCAAGTATGTCGGCCGTGCTGCTAAGGGTGACCGTTGGGATATCTCTGGTGCTCTCGACATTGACGCGGAGGATCTTGCGGCCCAGGTTCAGGTTAGTGATGAGTCGGAGGATGAGTGGAACGGCTTCTCTGACCCTCCAGCGGGAGACTCGAGCGACAGCGATTAAGTCATTCGAGTTGGGTTTCTGAGTTGATCTAGATTACATTGACATAAAGATACATGTTGGTCCATGCTTGTCCATTCTGCTCTATGTTTCGTGCCTAGCTAGATTTTGCGACTGTTACGAAGACTCTGGGAAGCGGGGGTGCAGTTATCGGGCTGATGGATCGGCAATAACTAAACGTTGCCAGCCAATGCTATAGTAAACCTGGACTCCAGCTGTCTGTAAGAGGAGGAATGCTAAGATTGAGCACCAAGTGACGTAGTATGAGCCTTCTGCCAGGTATTTCTTAATCCAGTACATGGAACTAATACTGGTACTGGCTACATTTTCAAAGCAGCAACTTAGGCCATCCAGCAGTGAACATGAGACAAATGAAAAACCTTGCTATTCCCGCTAACACTATACCGACGTCTTGCGTATTCTAGTATTGTTGAAAATACTAAGTCAGCCGAGTCCTCCAGTGTATTCTATTCTCCTATCAAATCGAGCGCCGAGAGATGACCTCGTCGCCCATACCAACAGTGTCGAAGTAGCAGTTGCTGTCGCGAAGTCGACCGCTTGTGGACGGTAGAGTTCCAGGATACACGGCTCTGAGATATCAGCCGCAGGACGCCACTCAGCACCGAACATCTTTCCCAGCCTGGGGATTCATGTGTAGATCGGCACCGTCAGTAATGAGGATGATGGCAGTTTCTTGATGCCTAGATTCGTTTGCTCGACATAGCGCTTAATTCCCCAGCTTGTCTTGGGTTAGGATATTTGCCCCCTATTCAAGCGGCAGCTCTCCTGTTTTCGGGCAGTTTTGTTTGGTTGCCATATGCAAAGCAGTAATGCCAAATATACTCAACAACGCTGTTAGGTCAGCGCCACGGTACAACAGAATGTTGACATCTCCCACTCGTCCGTAATGTCGCCCAACCTAACGCCCTGGAGAGCTGTTCGCCACTACTAGTGATTGCTAAGTTGATATCAGTGTCATGCTTGAGCAGCGCCTGTAACCTTCCCCATGTTTTCCCCCTCCCGATAAGTGAAAATTCAACTGATCGAAACTCTTCTTCATCTACAGCGTACACGTCGGCACCGACGGATAGTAAAACTTCGATTAACTGATGGTTTCCCGTCAAAACAGCTTCAAAAATGGTATTCCGCCCAAGCTCGTCTGTGTGTATACATACACATATTTGTTCGCAAACTGACTCCAGCAGGATTTACTGCTTCGCCATGCAGGGCAAGTCTGTATCTTTTGATTTATTCACGGCGTCTAGAGTTAGTGTTGCTGATTGTGGGAGTTTGCTTGGTCATCAACAAAAGTTTAAAAAGGAGGCTGAGTACATCTGCCAATGGAGAGGCCTGGCACAACTATATTTTGTAGTCACGGGTAGAGGAGCTTGGTTGACATAAATCCATGTCTTTCATACCAAATATCTAGCTATATAAACTAATGCCTATGTCACCCGTTCACCAGAGCTCGAGAGCTCGCAGAGCTATGCTACAGTGAAAACAAATTTACGCAAAGAAGCAATCTGCATGTTGTAAATGCTTCCAAGTCTCGAGCCTGCTAGCGTCTCGATCAAAAGACAAATTTCGCTAACCTTGACCATGCCTCCGTAACGCCACCCTCTTTACCCCAAATCTCTTCATCTAGTCGTGTAAAAAATGATCCCAAAACAAGACAGTGCCGAAATTGAATGATACAGCCATGTAGTGCAATGCTTACATGCTCCTCTCTAAACCTCGAATTTCTTTAACTGCTTTTCCGGCACTGTCCTTACAAAAGCGTGCTTGAGGAAATGCAACCACACCTTGTTGTTATGCTTCTTCTTTTTCTTACCGCCCTTCTTGCCTTTCTTGCCCTTCTTTTCTGCTTCTAAGTCTTCATCGTCCGAATCTTCCTCCAAGTCTTCTTCTTCTCCTTTATCCTCTTCAAAGTCTTCTGAAAGGGCCTTGCCTTTGGCGGTTTCTTGACCAATGCGGTGGGCTAGCTTGACGTAGCTTCGTACAGTTAAATCAGACAGACGGTAGATCTGGTCGGTAAATGTGCTGTACTCAACCTCAAACTCGAAGGGATTCGGCTTGGGTTTCTTAGTCTTGGGATCCTTGTCTTTGTGAATACCGTCGCGCCACTTGTTGCCGGATACGTCTTCTTCTTGCGTCATGTCGTTGTTAATGTATGTAAGGTTTGCAAAATACTGGGTATATCCGAGGAAGGTCAGGGGCTGAGGAGCGTAAGCCGGGCCGGGACCAGAACCAGCTGGTGGTGGTTGGGGAACGACCAAGTTAGGGTCCTGGCCAAGTCCTGGTTTCTTGCCCTTGCCCTTCTTTCCCTTTTTGCCCTTCTTCTTTTTCTTGGCAGCTTCAATATCGCGTTTAAGCTCCTCGTGGATGGCGTCGTCATCGGCTGGAAGCTGGGCGAGTTGTATCTCATTGGTAAAAGAGTCTGTCCAGACCGCCGCATTCTCCAGACCAGATATGTTATACTCCAAAACTCGAATGGTGGGGAAGTAATTGGGCACGATGCTGGGACCGATCAGAGACAGGTGATATCTCTCCGCATACTTGCCACCCAAGTCCTTGCTGGGCTTCTTCTTCTTATGCTTCTTGCCCTTCTTCTCCGGCCCGACAGAATTGTCCTCGTCAAGAACCTTGGAGACGTTTGGAAGCTTGGACCAGCCCTCTCGCAACTCATGGAGGTAGTCTGCTGCAGACTGGATGTTGAGTTCGTCCTCAAAAGCCTCGCGACCGACTTCGTCATCGACGGCAAACCCACTGAGGATGTTGATGTCTGTCTCCCTAGTATCGTGCACGATGAAATGGTCGATGTTCATGTGGCCATACAGAGACCCCACGACAACGTCGCGGTACTGCCGCATCCAGAGATTGTACTTTTGCCAGCATGTCTCGTCCCAATTCTTCTTGCTGTCAGTTCGGGCGGGAGGCACATGGCCCATGAGAATAGCCTTCATGCCACGATCGCGGAGGAACTGTAGCTGCACGCGGAGCCACTCCATCTGCTTAAAACCTGGCTCTGATGGCTGCTGACAGTCGTCGATACCGGCATTTCGGTCGAAGAAGTAGAGGGTGTTCAGGCTGAAGACAGCAAGCTTATTGGGGATGACCTCGACGTAGAACCAGCCGCCGAATCCGAAAGAATGACGCTGCTCCTCTGGGATGAAGTGCCTCCAGATATCGGCATAGTAACCCAGCCATTTATTAGGGCCCGGTAGGAGGATGTTGTGCGGCAGGATGTCGTTGTTTCCAAAAGTGGGAATGACAGGAACTGACATGCGTGTGGGATCGTTTGGGTGAGCAAATGTCTCGGCGAACTTGTCTGCAATCAGTCGATTTGTGCCCAGCACCTGGCTCGCATTACGGGGGATGTCCTCGTCGCTGTCGTGACGAGCCGAGTCGCCGGTCCAAATGACGAAATCAATGTCATCGGCAATATTCGCGGCTATCCAATCAAAAGTTGCATTGACGAGTGAGATGGGAGAATCGCAATCAGACGTTTCTGCACCATAATAGCCTGCAGCTCCCTTGCCTCGGTGGCATGCTATGTCTTCTTGTGTGGATGTATGCGCTTTGTAAAATTGATCTGGGTGAAAATCTACAGGCGCCAGAGGGCAATCTCATTAGCCATCTCTATTCTTATTTTCAACTCTTTCAAAAGGCCAACAAAGGGCTGAGCAGTGCCGCCCTCAGCCCCTGAACACGGTTTTGCGACACACAGGACGGATTGGGTGTCCTTGAACTGCACCCCACGTACCTGTAATATGCAAAAATTTCCCGTTCAAGCGTCGAGGCTGTTCAGAAACATCTGCGAGCACAGAACTGGGGCCAATAACTTTTTGCTGCCCGCTGGCAACAGGTGATGCGGTGACGACATGCAGGAACGGCTGGAGCAGGGCGACATGCAGAGGCAGCAAGCCCACTATTGCGGGTAGAGACCGCATTACTGGGAGCCGAAGACGCGGCACCTGGCTTGATCTTCTAGCTTTGACGTATGGGCGTGACAACCAGCTGAAAAGAAGAGAGGAGCTGAAGAGGTAAGCTTGTCGCGTGCTTGGAGTAGAAGCGAAGGGACTTAAATCTGAGAGTGGGGGGGAGGGCGATTCAAGGTTATTAAATCATGGCTCCTGTTCCCTGAGCTTCTTTTGTCTCCGTGGAAAATAGATGAAGAGCGAGTGCGGTCTGGAAATGATCCAGAACAGGGACTGACAAGATTCTGGCGTGGCCGTGACTTGACTTTCAGGGCACTGGGGCTGGTCAAGGCGGGCGGGCGCAGGGACCAGGGAGTTGACCTGCTAGTACCTTTTCTTGCCAAGGGAGAGAGTTTGTAATTAGAAAAGAAAAAAAAAAAAAGACCCAGGGTCCACGTCACAGTTACAGCCCTGGGGGAAGGTCCCAGCTGGTTATGCTGGGAAGGGGATAGTGGTGGGAAGACCCTAAAAAGACCAGTTGAACTTGAGGGGTGATCCTCCCGTCGCCTGGTGTTGGGCTTTTTATCTGAAGGCCGCAAAGGGAAGTGATGGGTGCTTGTGGCGTCCTTGCCGCTGAAAGTGCTTGTGTCACTGACCGACTTTGCACTGGAAGCAGGGTGTCAGTCAACCACGGGGAATGAGGTAGTATCACGAGTGAGATCTTCTGATTAGGAGAGACCATGCCTTCTCTTTATGTGTTACCTATCCGGTGTTTCTGACCAATACACGTTGAAGGTTTTCGCATGCCCTCTACCCTCTCACACAAGGACGCAGGAGGGCGCTGTTCCCCGCCCTTCCCCTCTACTCTTTTCTGCGCAAATCGCTGGAAACATCACGAAATATGGCCATCAAGGTCCGTGGATGGTCAGAAGTGAACCACCCCCTCACCAGGCACTGTCTCCTCGGTGCGGTCGCATCTCCAGTTGTCCAGTATCTCGCGCCCACTGACACGTTGATGCCAGTCCACAAGGCTGAAGGTTTTGAGTCAAGCAGCCAATCGAGCCGCAGCAAGCCAACACGTGTGGTCTCTCAACAACACCCTTTGCCCACTGGGAAGGGTCCCCTCGTGGCTGAAACTGGTTGTCTTCCCTTCGGTAGAGAATGGGCAATACGGCACACGAGCCATTAACCAGGCAGAGGTTGACTGTGTCGGAGCCTCTGACCGGCCCCCGTGGTCTTGCTGCCCCATTCCACGCATGGAGTGGTCGTGAGACCATAAATGTGACCATTTGCTTCGTGCAAAAGTCCGCAACGCCGCATCCTGGGGTAAGCTAGTTGGCGCGAGTCAAACGACACTTGCCCACATCCATCGCTTGATCTGCCCGCTCCTACTCGTGGGGCCGCGTGATCTTCGATATGCCACATATCCATGATACCCAAAGACTGGTTTTCGATATTTCCCCCGGGAAGTGCCAAGGCAGCTTTTCATGCTGTCCGTCTGAGATAGCCATAGCATTCTTCATTATCGAATATTTGGACTCATGTCGTCCCCCGGCTGACCGGAGGCTGACGTCATATCCCCTCAACATACTTCAGGTCTGCTGGCCGACCCTTCTGGAAAGCTTCACAAAACTGCATAGTGACGGGAGGCTGACAAGATGCCAAAGTTTAGTCGGAAATGAACACGTCCAATCACGAAGAATCGCTTTGCCCGGATGTAGCTTCAAATTTCTGGTTTTCTTTCTTAGCTGTTGCTGTGTCTCCCCCCCCCCGCCCCCAATATTGGTCAGTTGACTGAATATCAGTGAAAATCAACCACCCTTTAGAGGTCTTGTCGCTTCTGTGCGACCAACGCTAACACCAGTGAGATCCACGCCGAATTCACGCCGAATGTAGAAGAAGAACCCTTCGCATAACCCGGTTAGCTTGGCAAAAGGCGGCTTGTCACCGAGTGTCAACCACCCACGGTTCCCCGACTCGCATCAGCGTCAGTATTGGGAAATGTGTTCAGATCAGATCGTAACGGCTGCTAGCGGGCAATCGTAGCCGGGAGAAAGAGTTTTCGAAATCGAACGAAACTCGGCTCCGTTGTCTCGATGGACCTTGGGAAGATGCCCCCCACTGAAGCACATGCGATTCGACACTAACCCAGATCCGCTCTAGCGTCCCGGCCCCATCCGCCATATACCAAAAGATTTCTGCGCTCATTCATTCTCAATTATTTTCTTTCTCCTTTCAACATACATTCAACGCAACACGATCCTGTCAATTCAAGCTGCTACTTTTTCATGTTTGTCGCAAACCAGGTTATCGTTGCCAGATTATTTTGCCGCACGTTTGAGGGTCGTCATCGCTTTTCGCTTCCGTGATGGCTTCCCATGGTTTTTCGTGGCTACATGTCTCAAAGTGCCAAAGCGAGTTTTTTTTATGAAACTCTTGTCATCACAGCTTTGATCGTAGCGGGATACCAAGTCTCGTTTGTTTGAAGTGCATTGGCGCTGGGGTTTCTAGACTATCTCGGATGTTCCTAACCGATGCAAACAAACTAAGAGATGAGACCGCGACCCGAGGTCGTCAGTTCTAGCAAACATTGTCATGATAATTACTGGGATATCTTGTTGAAAGTTTTCATAATGATACAGACCGAGAAAGGGCGACTTTACGCCGGTGCGGGAGTAGGTCCCTTGAAATATTTGCTAGGCACGAAGGGCATCTTGGCTACCGTTGCCGCCCTCTTCTTGCCTCGCACAACTACATCCAACTCAGTGCCTGACTTGTGCAGTCCCTCCTTGACATATCCCATGGCGATGTGCTTGCCCAATGTCGGGCTGGGCGAGCCACTGGTGATTACTCCCACCTTCTCGCCGTCCTGGGTGAAGATCTCGGCACCCTCGCGCGCAGGCGCACCGGTAATGAAGAAACCCACACGGCGTCTCTCGATGCCAGCGCCGCCCTTGCTCTTGGGCACGAGCTGCTTGGTGATGACCTCGGCACCGTGGAAGCCACCCTTAGCCCTTCTCTCCTTGGGGATAATCCACGAAAGGCTGCCCTCCACTGGGGTGGTGGTGTCGTCAATGTCGTGGCCGTACAAGCACATGCCAGCCTCCAGGCGCAAGCTGTCGCGCGCGCCGAGACCGGCAAGTTGAAGTCTCTCGGGCCCGGCGACCTCGAGCAGAGTCCGAGCCAGCGGGTCTGCCTCGCCGTTGGTCGCCTTGAAGGAGATCTCGAAGCCGTCCTCTCCACTGTATCCACCTCGGCTGATCATGGCCTTCTCAGATGTTGTCTTCCACTCGCCATCGACCTTGTACTTGAGCTTGGCAAAGCCAGTGTTACCAAAGTACAGCTTGTTTAGGTCGAGACCGTCGGCGGGGTCAAGGATCTCTTCAAGAATCTCGGCTGCCTGGGGGCCCTGCAGGGCAACCAAGCCGTATCCCTCAAGGACCTCCCACCAGAAGTCGTTGCTCTCAGGGTTCTGTAGCTCGGCTGTCTGCTCGGTAAGGTACTTGAAGATCTTCTCCCGCGTGCCGGCGTTGGAGACGACAGCGTATTCGTTCTCGCCGAGGCGGGTGATCATGGTATCGTCGACAATGCCTCCCGTCTTCGGCCACAGGAACGTGCTGAGCTTGCTCGAATTGATCTCCATGTCGGCGACGCTGGATGGCGTGACAGTCTCGAGGAACGACGCTGCCTTGGGGCCGGTGAAGCGGTGCTGAACCATGTGGCTGACATCGAAGAGGGAAGCATGGTTGCGGGTGAAGTGGTGGGACTCGGCCAGGCCCAGTCCGGTATACTGCACGGGCATGTGATGGCCGCCAAAGATGACCATCTTGCCGCCGTGAGCGATGTGGAAATCGTACAGAGGCGTCTTGTCCTGCTTGGAGAACTCTGCGAGCTTCTCCTTCCAGTTCTTGCGCGCCTCGGCCGAGTAGAAGCGTGCGGGTGCCGCCATCGGGACCGGCACCGAGATGGAGGTTGCTCCGGCGGCGGTGGTCGCAAGGGCGAGAGACCTGCCATTGCGGCAGGGAGAAGCGAAGAACGGCCTGGCCGTCCTGGCGGCAGCAATCAATCGTAATCTGGTCATCTTGACTGTCAATTGGTTATTCCTGAACTTTGTCGAGGGAGAAATTCTCAAAGGATAGAATGAGGGAGGAGGAGGGGGTGAATAGAGCTCTGGGAGGTCCTTTGGCTGATAAGAAGCGATAGGGAAGCGGGGCCGGCTCGGATCAGAGACCGAGCACCTACGGTAGCTACCCGAAGGTCTAAGTCGAGACGTACCGCCCGAAAGCGGTGTCGGAATGCTACCGCCAATTAAGCTGTTTTTCATAGAAAGAAGTACACTGTTGACCGATTGGTCTATTTTTGTTGCCCGGGCCATTAATCAGATATAGCTAGTTCTTGAGCTTAGATTTGCTGGTGTTGCGTGTAAGTTCAGTCTGTCAGGCGCAATCCCTCAAGCTTGGTAGACGAACGTCTCAAGTAGCCTTTGAGTCATGATTTACAAAAACCAAAGCCCAGTTATTAAATACCATTCAATTGTGTAAGTTGATTTCAAGCAGCCTTCAACAAAACTTGTCCCGGGTCGCGCTTCTTGGTTGGCGGTGGAAGTGGCTGAGATGGCTTGTTGTCGGTTTCCGGGGTTACCATCCGCCGAAGGCCATTTATAGGAGACCGTTAATTAACGTTGACGAGCTGCGATGTTTTTGCTGTTACCACAGTGTTTAGGTGTCTATTTGGTTGCTTGACTTATCTTGCTTTTCCTCTCAACTAAAGTTAGCCTGGCCTCCTTTCGCAGCAGAGTTGTTCTCCGTAGCCATTTCCCTTCTCTTTCCATAGAATGTTTTGCTCCAACCAAGTGGGACAGCGAATGAGACAAGCCCTGATTCCAGATCATATTGTGCGACCATGGTATTCCCCAGCGTTCGTCATATCGCCGGATAAAAACGGGGCACACAACGTTGTTGGGACGGCAAGGCGTCATTAACCGGCGATCGATTGCATAGCTGGCGTTGAGCCTGGCGCTGATGAGGTTTATGTTCCAGAAGCATGGATAAAGAGACTAGGTGTATCACAAGCGAACCAGGCAGTTGCAATCGATGGGTTGCGACAACCCTGTTGAAAAGACACAATATTCGAGACCAACAACGCATTTGGTTTAAAGTCAGTTTGACGGGTAATTCCACCAATGCCAATACAAATGTTTTCCTACAGTCAACGAACAAGGGGGACTTGAAGGATGCGTCGAAACTCGGAGCTATGCAAGCCACCGCGACGTGTGCGACACCAAAAAGCTTAGCAACTTAACAGGTCATGCTTCCAATCGATCGGCCTTTGGGGGGGGGGGGGGGGGGATCAAAACCTCATCAAAAGAAACATCGGCTCCATCTCATTGCGATCATGCGTGCACATTTTCTACCGATCCGCACGGCATTCGGACTGCTCGAGTAAACCCGAGAACCATCAGATTAAACATCAGACTCGACGCGTGGAGCTCGTGAGCTACACTATCCGACAAGACTGCACAAAGCTCATGATAGGCCGGTAGAGACAACGAGCAGCGGCCCATAGGGAGCCACGTCAAGGAATACAGGGAGCATCGCTGAAGAGGGAGGTGCCACGGCGGTGTTGATCGCCACCCGCCACAGGCTGAAGGATCGTCTGGAGACATTTAGATGCTCGGCTCCGCCAAACTGTCGGGTTGGTTTTTCGATCCCGTAGCAGAAGGCTCGATGGCCACAACCACAAATGTACTGAGCGTCGCATGGTGACAAGGGGGGCGCGCGCCACACCTCAGAACCACATCCAACAGCTCCTAGCGAGTCAAAGACCCTAACTGAAGTGGGAGACACTAGTGTTAAAGGCACACTCGGCAAACACCCCCGCAAAAGCTCCCGCCGGGATGCATCCCCTTGCCTCCAATACCACTTCACCTCACTTTCGACCTATGAGAGTTGGGCGCCACTTGACACGAAGTGGACAATTTCTTGTCGCACGGCGTAGTCTCCGTGCCTCCATACAGCAACATAATACCTAGCAGACACAGCAGACCACAGACTGTAGCTTCTTCCACCCACTAGCAATAGCCTTGGCCTGTCTGCTTCGGTTGACAAGGCTGCGCCTGCCAGCATACACACTTCGGTTTTGTCCGCTGGATGCCCACAGTAGTATCCTTGTACTAGACGGTTTTAGCCTCCGGCCAGCCAATCGTCGCCCGCCAGCGCCGTCCTCTTTCGCGCTCCTTTTTTCGTCTCTGGCTCCTTTTGGCTCCGTCCTCTCCATATCAATTTTCACATCTACCTCATTTCTGATTGCAGGCTCGACAGCTGCATCGCGGTCTCGCCTCTCTCTGCCCATAATTTTTTTTTCCCTTTCCCTCTTCCCCCCCTTGCCCTCGATATTGATACGCATACTACTCTCCCACTCTCGCGCACACCGAGGGCAGCCGCTCATCAAGTTTGCATTTGGGTTAGCTTCGCCTGGGTCCTAGCTCTCTCTCACCTAACCGAGTCGACGCGGATACGGTTGCCTCATGTCATCTTAATTTCCGTTCAATTCGTACCCAACCGGTCGACTCGCAGGGCTCTACGTCTCTGTCGCCTTCCCCCCCCTTGCATGCTGCTGTCCCTTTTTCGGACGATAGGCTCCACACGCAGCTGCAGTGCTGAGCGACAGACCGAGGCGCGCCCGGCGACCACGCCCGCATCGGGATCCTATCACCTCACCTAGGACCGGACCCCCCACCCCCCAGCCCAACCGATATACAACCAGGCAAAATGTCCACCGAGCCGTCCCCTCGTGCTGTGCGATTCTCCAACGGTGACGACGAATTGCTCCCAGACAAGATCATGCCCCAGCGTCCTGTCCCCGTCGCCGTCGACTCTGACAACTCTGCCTCATCTGCCGACTCCCATCCCGACGATCCGCACGCCCTCGAGCGCCAGGATGAGGTTGGTTCTCTTACCAGATACTCCGAGGGGCATGTCGGATCCATGTCAAACTTGGTTCAGGCTGCTGTAGCCAACGGCGGTACTACGCGAAGCCTACGAAGCAACGCCAGTGACAGCGATGGCGCCTATGCCAACGGCACCACTACGTCCAAGACCCAGCGACCTAGTGCTCCCGCAAGGACTCCCTCCAACACATACGCTCCAGCTGCCCACCGTAGGCCTCAACCTCAACCCCCACCATCTTTCGTCGAGACCGTTCGAGCGTCGTCCAGGGGCCGCCCTCGCCCCAGCGAGAGGTTCCGCCAGCAGGAGAGGGCATACGTACAGAGGCTGCGTCAGGATTACGGTGACGGATATCCCTTTGACGGCTATTCGAACGGTATGAGTCAAGGCGATTCCGACTCGGAGGGGGAGACGCCGTCCTCCGAGGGCCCCTTTGACGACAGATACGACCAGGAAACCATCATGTTTTACAACAACGACGACCTACAACCGTCTGACGAGGATCTGAAGGATCCCGCAAACCGGGAAAGACTAGAATGGCACGGAATGTTGGAAGCAGTTCTGACCGGAGATGTCGTCAGGCAGGAAAAGAAAAGGCTGATTGGGTCCAACGAGACAGCAGTGGGGAAGAGTGGGCAAAAAGCAGAGCTCTGGCTGGGCATCCGGTCCAAGGTATGCGGAAGACACCTTCCTGTGCAAAGGCGAATGGTGGAGGAGGCACGCGCGACGTTGGACCGAACTCTGGACGAGATCATCAACTTCTCCGTCAAGGGTGAAAGTGAGGCTGGAAAACCGCCATACGAACAGGTCAAGGATGTGGTGAAGAAGATCGATAAATGCGAGAGTCTGTACCCCTCTTGGACCTCCTTGGCCGCCGAGCATCAGTCTGCCAACTCACCACTTTTCCACGAGGCGTCAGAATCCATCATTTCCTGGTACAACACTAATGAACTCATCAACACGGAGCTCGCCATTCTCAAGAAATGGGTTGGCAATGATGAGCTGGACTTCACACGTACACGACAGCGATCCCCCGTGGGCCACGGTATCACAGATGAATCCTCGTTCCTGGATCGGTTGATGAAGGAAGATGGCCTGAAATCATTATATGATGAGGAGTTTGACAACGTGAAAAACAAAGATGCCCACAAGGGCATGTTGCCAGGCATCTCTACCGTTATTACAAAATCCAAGGAAACCTTAATTCGCAACTTTGCAGCCTTCCAGAAACGGCATCTTCCCCCTTACATCGAGGAGTTACTTACGCTCATCAGCTTCCCGTCTCGACTGATTGAGGAGATCATCAAAATGCGACTCGCTTACGCCAAGAAGGTCAAGGAGTCTGCCCAGCAAAACTCTATGATGCAAGATCAAATGATTGGGCAGTTTCAGCTTCTCCTGAAGCTGGCCATCCGCATTAAAATGGAATGTCTCGCCGTTACGCAACCGGAACCTGGCTGGGAACTTCCCCCCTGCATCGACGAATCCTTTGACCAGGTTGTCTTGGACGCTCTGAAGTACTATTTCAAGATGCTCAACTGGAAGCTTAGCGGCAACAAGAACACTTTCAAGGAGGCCGAATTGTTGTTCCAGGAATGGGACTTTGCCAACGAAATCGGCAGCCACCTTCAGGGTGGAGACGTTGAAGTTGCCGAGCAATTTAGTTCTTTGACGTTCAAGGCCATCAATCGTCTTAGCGTGACATTCGAGAAGGAGCTTCAGGTGAAACCGAAAGAGAGTACTTCCGAAATGAGCAAGAGATACAAGCAATGTCTGGACTCGGTTCGAGTAAGGCAGCGAATGTTGCAGCGGTTCTCTAGGATGTTGAGCGAAAATTATGAGAACGCGTCTGACTTCAGCATTTCGTTTGCGCCCGAAAAAATCCAGGAGTTTTATGACAGACTCATCACATCGGGCCACTTTCAGGTTTTCACAGACCTCTATGAGCAAGAGGGCATTTACATCATGGCCTCTCCCTCATTGGCTGAAAGGCACGATGCGATTCAGTCTATCCTAGGCCTCAGCTCGCCAGAGCAGTTCGCAGAGGACCCCACTGACCCCTACCTCCTGATCCTGCGTCCCGAAAGCACGCCGCACTGGTTCGGCGATGTGGTACCGCTCTCAGTTCGAGAGCGAAACATCGATTTGAAGAAGGGCCACATGAGACTCGTCGCTGCTGGTGCTCAAGCCAGGCTTCTCAATGCGAGAAAGGCCTTTATCGACGCAGTAGACATGCACGTCGATCTCGTGGTTGAGCAAAGATCGAACCTACACAAAGTCAACTCGCGACTCATGGAGATTAGGCGCGTTGCCTACAAACTATCCAACAACTTCATGGACAGTGTTGAAATCATTCGAAAGCAGACCGAGGGTAGGGAGGTTCAGGAGCTAATCCAAACCTGCTTTGTCTTCGCGACAGAATTCGGTCAGCGATCACTGCTCGTCATGGATAGCAACCGAAAACAGATGAACAACCTGAAGTTAACCAAGCTCGCGTTGGACTGGGTCAGCTTCATTTGCGACGACTGTATCGCATCGGATCGAAAGACGTTCCGATGGGCGGTCCTGGCTCTTGAATTTGCCATGGGAATGACGCGAGGAAGGCACATTCTAGCTTTAGGTGAGGATGAATATGCCAGACTCCGGGCCAAGGTGGCCGGGTGCATGGCCCTGCTCATCTCACACTTTGATATCATGGGTGCGAGATCCAACTTGGCCGCCCAAGCAGAAAAGGAACGCATCGAGGCTTTGGTGGGCCAGTTCAAGCGTCTTGACAAAAATCGGATGCTTGACGACCAAGAGGCCTCAAAGTACATCACAGAACAGCGGCTGGAAGAGATCGACAAGGTCGACGAGATCAGGAAAGCAAAGGAAGCCGAAAGACAGGCACTTGGTCGCGTCCTCGAGGGAAACAACGAAGTGGACCGTTCCCTCGCTTACCTCTCATCATCTGCTACCAATGTCACTATGCGTTGGCAGCAGGGCCACTTCGTGGGTGGTGGCACTTTTGGCAATGTCTACGCTGCCATGAACCTCGACTCTGGTCACTTGATGGCCGTGAAGGAGATTCGTCTGCAGGATCCAAAGTTGATTCCGACCATTGCCGAACAGATCAAAGACGAGATGGGCGTGTTGGAGGTGCTCGATCATCCCAACGTCGTCTCGTACTACGGTATCGAGGTCCACCGAGACAGAGTTTATATCTTTATGGAGTTCTGTCAAGGAGGGTCTCTTGCAAACTTGCTGGAGCATGGCCGCATTGAGGATGAACAGGTCACCATGGTTTACGCGTTGCAGCTGCTCGAAGGTCTTGCCTACCTTCATGAAAGCGGCATCGCCCATCGCGACATTAAACCAGAGAGTAAGTGGATTTGTTTTGGCACAAAAGACCTCGTTAAAGCTAACTGAACCTTAGATATTCTTCTCGACCACAACGGTATCATCAAGTACGTCGACTTCGGTGCTGCCAAGGTTATAGCCAGACAAGGCAAGACGCTTGTACAGGATATTACTGCCACAAAGCCCAACAAGTCCATGACGGGCACACCAATGTACATGTCGCCCGAAGTAATAAAGGGCGAGAATCCAGGCAGAGCTGGCGCCGTGGACATTTGGTCTCTGGGTTGCGTCATTTTGGAGATGGCGACAGGTCGTCGCCCGTGGGCCAACCTGGACAACGAGTGGGCCATCATGTACAACATTGCGCAGGGCAACCCCCCTCAACTGCCATCGACTGATCAGCTCAGTCCCCAGGGTATCGACTTCCTGAAGAGGTGTTTCACCAGGGATCCCAAGAAGAGGGCGTCCGCCGTGGAGCTTCTCCAGCACGAATGGATCATGACGATCAAGAGCCAGGTCGTGGAGCCACCCACGCCGAGTGACACTAGTAGTTCGGCTCAGTCGACACCCAGCACCAGGAGCAACACCAACGACGGTTTCTATTAGGGACGGAAATCGCCGCCGAACGTTGACCTCGTATCTGACCAAAGGGGGAAGGCGGAAGAGGACAGTCCTGATTAAACGCGTCAGGCCCGCTCGGTGTCCTCGACACATACATTTTTCTTCTACATCAGCAAACAATCATTTTCATCGTACCGGGCAACCCCCAGAAATTGCATTAGCGCAGCGTTTGGAGTCTTTTCCTCGAGGGTCTTTGTGCTTTTTCTGGTTAGGGGTTCAAAGGTAGTAACAGTCAGTCGCTGCTATAGGCAAACGGCGTCTCTGTTTTTTTCTTCTTTTTTCTCCATGACAATAACACGAACATGAAAGGGAAGCAGGGAAGCCGGAAATACGGGAGGTTGACACGAGTATGGCTAGGGGAAGAGAGTCCTGTCATATGTAATACAAAGTAATACCCCAAAAGCGACAAGCCGTATATATGTATATCCACTATGAAGCGAGTGAGCTTTTGATGCGTGCTGGTATCGCTAATTTCATATTGCTTATATGTTTTCTCTTCGTTTCACTTCATCACTAACTGCCACGCAGCCCATTACATCCTGGATAGCCCGTTGCCTAAAAGAGTGGTCCCGAAACCAAACGCCACACTCAGACAACCGCAGCCTCCGTAACGGCAAACTTATCAGTTTCTGAATCCATCACCACCATGGCGTCCATCGGCAGCGTCACTAGAGGCGACGTGTGCCCAACATCAACGTTCATCAAGATGGGGAACCTTCTCTCGGCTAACCGCCCGTGACAGAGGACACCCTTGAATACGGCCGCATACTCGGCCCTCTCGCGCTCCGTGTTGTACCCGTACGGCCTCCCGATGACCAGGCCCGCGACCTCGTCGAACACACCCCGCGCGGCGAGGTCCGCAACGGTCTGCCTCACCCTCCCGATGGGGTTGCCCTTTGCCAAATCACCCTCCCCCTGCGCGCTCTCCAGGAACATGATCTTGCCCTTCCAATCAGGGGAAATCTCCGCGATCCCCTGGATGCGACCCACCACGGTCAGGCAGCCGCCGAATATTCTGCCTTCCGCGCGGCCCGGGCGAAGCCACGTCCACGCCGGGGACGGCAGGAGACTGCGCGGTGTTGTCGCGTCGGGGTCCGAGGTGAAAGACGGAACCAAGGGAGCGTAGAACCTCGAGCGCGGGATGGGGCCGATGGGCTCGTTCGGACGAGAGACGGCGGCCAATAGGTTCACGAGGAGGAAGTCCTGCAGGTAACCGTCGTCCACCTCCTTGGCCTCGTCTCCGTTGGCGCCCGCCTTGTTCTCGTTTTCGGAGAAACGGAGGAGGGATTCGCGCGTGGACGTGACGGCGTCGGCCAGCTCCGAGACCGGGCACGGTCCGTAAAACGTCCGCAGGCCGGTGAGGGCGCGGAGGGACCAGTGGAGCACGGTGATGTCGGAGTAGCCCACGACGATCTTGGGGTTCCTCGCGACCGCGACATGGAGCTCCGTGTCGCGGACGAGGTAGGGGATGAGTTCCGTCATGGCGGGACCGCCGAGGGTGCAGAAGATGGCGTCAAAGGACGGGTCGGCGAAGGCGGCGCGCAGCTCGGCGAGGCGGTTCTCAATGGAAGCGGCGATGGGCCTGCCGTCGCCTGCGACCACGTCCTCATCCTCGCCGTCGTTGATGAAGATGACGGTGACGGAGTAGCCGAGGGATTCCAGGAGGGTCACGGAGCGGGAAAGGGCCAACGGGTAGATTGTGTTGACGCGTAGGGATGGGGAGATGAAGGCGATTTTGCCGTTTGGAGGGAGGGCTTTGGGAATTATTGGAGGAGGAGCCATTATATATATATTGGGGAGTTTTCTCTTTTTTTTCCTTTTTTTTTTTTTTTTGTTGCTGTGAAATCTTGGTACAATGGTATTTACTTTGTTGTTGGTGTTATTTCTTTTCGCAGCTCAAAAATTTTCTTTTTTTTACACTCCTGTTGTTGAGATGTCGTTGGATGGGCGTAGATATAAAGCTTCTTGGCGCCGGGGCCCGGGGGGTTGGAGGAGTGGTGTGTCAAGATGAGGCCCGTAGTCCGTTCGGCACGGTGAGCCAAGGGGGGATATTGGAGCCTCCGGCAATTTCCTTCCAGGTGCCCATTCACCACAAGCCACGTCTGCCAAAAGTTCATATCCCCGGGCGCAGAGGGATGGACGATGATTCTTACCGGCGTGGGATTTGTAAGCTTTGCTTACACTATCACACAATCCCCCAGCATTATCACGGCACGCTGACTGGATCTAACCACGGTCGGTTTCAATCTCATCTGCGCTTCCCCGCTGTCCGGGGGTTGTAGACTCCACCCACGTCGGTTCTGATCCGACTGACTGTGTGTGTGTGTGTGTTTGCGTGCGAGCCGGCAGAGACGTCCGCGAGTGGATCCTTGCGTCGTCGTTGTACCTACTTCTCTTTAAAAGTACGGGGGTGAAGCTCTGAAGAGAAACGAATAACAAAGCTGTACCTGAGGTCGAGGCTTGTGGTTTGTGGCACCATTGTGGTTTGCATGAGATTGCAGATGGCGTCAATAAGGGACTTTGGGTTTCGTATTCCTATGCGGGAGTCTATGTTGTTATCGATGGTGGAAAGCTTCTTCTGGAGTCGCTGTGATAGTTCAGGTGAACAAACACTTGTCGTGGAGGCGACAGGGCTGCCAGAGCAAGCGGTACTTTACGAGGTTGCCGGGAAACTCGTCTATGAACTTTACTCATCGCAACTCATGCAGTCATCGCATCGAGGTCACCGCGGTAACTTGAAAAAAAAAAGGGTTGTTTGATGGAAGTACTAGAATTTATGTTCTTGAAGAGATACCCTACGTTACCTGGCCCTCACTCACAAAACCAGTCACCCTAACTTCCGTGGACGTCCAATGCGTGCTTGGTGAACCACTCCATGCCTTCCTTCCGCCAGTCGTCCGTCTCGGTCTTGGTGCCGTTGATGCCAAAGACGACATCGCTGCCAACGCCGGCGCCGCCCTGCGTTCCATACACAGGCCATGGACCCAGACCAGGGGCGCCGTTGGGATCAAGCCCGACGAAAAAGTTGATCCAAGCCGAGGAAACGGTCTTGGCAAGGGTGTGAGCCTTTTCCGTGTAAGCGGTGTCGTTACCACCGAAGGGGTTCGCGACGTAGCCGTTACCGTTGAGGTTGTAAAACACAAATGCAACCTGTGCAATGTCAGTTGCGGCGTAAAATAAACCATGCATGGCAGCTGGTCGTGCTCGTACCTCTTGGAAGTGAGTTGCGCCAATGTATGGTGCTACTCCGTTCACGGTGACGTCGAAGCGATAGGCGTAAGAGGGCACGCCGTGGTTTGCCCAGGCGACATTAGCCCTCCGCCGAAGGAATTGGAAAGTCCTATAACCGAGCCGTCAGTCAGCCCCTTCGTCGTGAGAGTCTCAGAATGATGGCATACCAGTCCCCAAAGAAGGCCCCGGTGCGCCGCTGCTGCAAGCCCCGTGCTACCGCAATGTCCTCACCTGGTTGGATGATATGCGGCCAAGTCTCTAGGCTAGGGATCCCCTGTGCCTGGTCGTCCGGGTAGAGCTTCAAGGCCTCCTCGACCAGATCATCGACCGGCTGGCCCGTTGTCTCTTGCGCGTTCTTGGGGATAATGTTGCGGACAGCGTAACGGAAGTCGTCGTCAGTGTTGACTGGCCCGCTGTTTGGCCCGCGGCCCTGGCCAAACGCGGAGCCCTCGTCAGTGTTGGAGCCGATGAGTATGGGCACCTTGACAAAGTCGCCTCGGTTGATCTGGTTAGTTGCGTAGTCGGCAATAAAGTCACCGTCGAGTACTGGGGGGAAACGAAAGGCCTGTGCATCGCTAGCGTTCAGGACCGCATTGAACTCTTCAAGGGGAGCGGTCCGGAGGCATTCTAGTGACTCTTGGGTGCCGACATTGGAGGAGCAGGACGGTATTTTTGAGACCAATGTATCGTAAATGGTCTGATACGCCTCCGTGTTGTTGAAGCCTCCGGACCATCGAGGGATGACACCACCAAAGCCAGATTGCGCAATGGCGCCCCTGAATAGACCATCGTCACGTCCTACTGCGAGTTAGGCCCCCTATACAGTAGTTCAAAGGCAATAAGTTGAAAGGCATACCGTTATAAGCCAGAACCTGCGCGGAGACACTCTCGGCGCCAGAGCTTTCGCCAAAGATGGTGACCTTGTTCGGTGCGCCGCCGAAACTGGCAATGTTCTCATTAACCCATCTCAAAGCCAATCTCTGGTCTCGGAAGCCAAGGTTGGTGGCGCTGGCCTCGAAGGCCTCCCTGCCGCCGGGAAAGCCGAAAATAGATAAACGGTAGTTGAGACTGACTCCAATAACAGGTGTACCTTGCTCGACGCTGTTCTGCACGACAAAGGAGAGGTTGTACCGTTTGTCGGCGGAGCCTCCCATATACTAGATTCCATTAGCTCCAGCCCTTCAAGTCTCAAACTGAAAACAAGGGGCAGGTAGTCGTTCATACCAGACCACCTCCATGGATCCAGACGGCTACGGGCAATTGCGCATCAGAAGATACGCCGGCTGGGCGAACAACGTTAAGATACAAACAGTCCTCGGATGTCTCATAACCAATCGTGTCCTCGCCGTAGCCAACACAGTGCTTGGGATACGTCGTAGCAGGGCGGGTGCCATTCCAGGTTGAGTCTAAGCCTTCGGCGACGCGGAAACGCTCAGGAGTCTGCAAGATCAAATTATTATGCTGCTCTCGGGGGCTGATTGTTGCCGGTTGTTCACACCTTGGCATAAGGAATCCCGAGGAAGAAGTCCTGGTTGAATTCGGCATCATGAACGCCCGTATAGGAGCCGTTCTTTACACCAACCACGGGATCATTACTTCTATAACGAATGGAAGCAGTAAACGCCGGCAGGAGGTGGAAGCAAATTGCCAGGAAATAGACCATGAAATCCATGGTCAATATCGTGGAAAAAATCCGCTTAAGACACAAGAGGTGTTGGGATTCACGGCGACGGGGTGGTAATGATAAGAGTGGCTGGCCACGCGGGCCGCCACCACCCTTCTTATATTTCGATGCTTCCATCATAGATATACTCTCTTTCCTCTTTCCCTATTAGCAACACCCCAAGGGATAGAGACCCAGCCAGTGTAACACACAACGAACGAGGATATCGGACCGAAGACAGGCCGTTGTATTTACAAGACGAGGGGCCAAAACACGCGCAGAATGGGTCTACCAAGGCACTGGATAGTTGTCAGATAAAACAAGCCCCAAGTTGCAAATTGCATCATGCACCGCGGCACCAAGCATCGCGTGAAGCATCAAGTCCGTCTCTCACCGCAACGGAGGTGGGTCATTCATAAAGTAATGGCGGCGGAACTTCGGCGGATGTTGAGGAGAAATGAAGCGAAAGGACAATCGCAACTGCAATGGGCCTAGCATCGAGTGGTTATGATGGCCTCTTTTGGTACTATATGCATGGGTAGCAACATAGAAAGTGGATGCGCGGCTGTCATGAGCGGCAGTGAAGAGACATGTTGGGGAAGGTTTTTAGACTGATGCGGGGAAACATGGGGTTTGGGGAATGATTAACTACCAAAGAGCCACATCATCGTACCGGTCGTATAGGTCTCCTTTGGATACCGCTAGTCAGGTTTCCTCCACCCTTTTGCCTCGATGGAGGTTCCGAGTCTTGATGTGCCGAACAGAAAAATTGCGTCAAATAACCGCCTCAGTTCCTCAGCAACAACGCTCTTGAATGTGGGCTGGCTTAAAATCGGATGAGAAAAGCGAAGGACAGAAAAGAGGCAGATTCCCTGAGGCCTTTTGAAAATTATCATAGGAAGTCGATGATTCTAAGTTGATAATGGGGCGAGATATTTTAAGTCTGCTGCAGTCCTCTGAACTGCTTGCCTGAATAGGTAGGTAGTGTAAGCGTGGTTCTTACTCTTGTAAAACCAGTAGTCGTGTACACGTGATGTCTCACGTGCCCATCGTGACTACTTTCCCTGTCAGTATAACCAGGAATGCAAAAGTGGCAGTCTCTTTTCGGGAGAATTGAGGAAAGAGTCAAGAAGAGAATAAGAATCAAAGTGAAAAAAAGGTCTCATCCACATTCCTCGTCGGCCCTGACCCTACCATAAACCATGTGGTAGCTGGACAAAAGTGAACGGAATGCCAATGTCTTGCAAGGAAGGCGCTGCAGATCGACGGCTGCCTTCTCCACCCTCATTAGCGAATTGGCATTCCGCGAGTGGGGAATCACTCCGAACTCTGCTGTAACCTCATCTCACCATTCACCCACAGACCTGGAATATCTCCGGCCACAAGTCGTGGGCCCCAAATGGGGGGGCCGACGTGGAGACTGAGGCCTGCTGATGTCTTCCTTGATCATGGTTGCCCACCGCGAATGGACGGGTACTCGGCGCCAAGTGTCCTATTCGAGACCGAGGTTGATGTGCCACTCCGACTTAGGTTGAGAACGGTATAGTTCGTTCTCATCGCACCCCCATGCTTGTTTTGCACCCAGGGAAACGTAGTTGCGGCGATTCTTTGTATTGTTAACCTTCTAAGTCCGGCCTCGCCCGAGGCCCATCGCTGGAAGACACAGAACGCCCCATTCCTCCTCTGCCCTGTACTGCGGATCAATCGTCCCATATGTGCTAACCTGGATGTGAACCACCGGTTCGCCCCAATACATGCTCACGCTCCCCCACCCCCAGTGTTTACCTCAAACCTCTGAACCGACCCGCGATGTTAAATATCCATAGCCATCTCCTCCTCCATCGTCTTGCTCCTCAGTTGGGTATCCATCCAGGCTCTTCCTCCTTTTTGCTCTTCAGCCACAAACAAACAGCGCCGCCGCCAGCAGGACATTAGCCGTATGTATATCATTACATTAAGTAAAAGATTGTTTCTTTGGTGTATGTTTTGTTGTTGTTGTTGTTGTTGTTGTTCCTGATGTTGTAGGTATCATGGGAAAGAAAATCGTTGCTAATTAGATATGAGAGAAGCTCCCACCTGGTTCGGTAATCCGCCCATATGAAAATTGCAGTCGCTGGAAGTGCAATGTTAAACCACAACTAAACGCCTGTTTATTGTACATCGCTCAGACCATCCTCGTTGAGCTGACGAGAGCAGGGAAATGATTGCGCAACACGTAGTCATTACTCCCCGTGGAAGTCTTGCGCCGTCATGTTGGTGAACTGAAACTGCCTTGATCTTGCTTGCTCGGGCGAGGGCTTGGTTGACACTGACGAGGCATCCGACCAGTTGTACTCAGTATTGCCGCCACCGTACGATGAGTAGAAAGCCGGCCCCATGTTGCCGGGAGGGAATGAGGGTGTCACAGGCTGGCTTCCGCAGCTCTGGGCGACATAGCCAGGCACGTTCGTCGGCATGGGAAACTCCGCGTCAAAGTTACCAAAGCTGGGAGTGTGGAGAGAGTCGTCAGTGACGTTGTAGTCGTATGTGGGGAAGAGAGAGCCGTGCATGTTTGTGATCAATCCGGGAGTATCTGGCGGCGTTCTCATAGTGGGGTCCATTGCATACTGAGGCACGGTTAAGCTGGTCTGGGCGCTGTAGCTCTTTTCCTCCTCAGACGACATAGACGAGACAGTTGTCTCGCGCATGTTCTGCTGTGTAGGTACGACTGGCGTATTGGGAGTCGGGGGGGCAACTGAGCCTCGAGATATCGGTGAGTGGGAAGCCATCTGCAGAATGAGGTTCTCCTGGTTGCGGTCGAAGTACAGCGGCGATCGTGGGCCGGCGCTGGTCGCCTTTTGAATTCCCCTCGGAAAGTTGCCGGTGGCCGATGCAACGCGGCGCATGGGACTTGGTGCCTCCATACGCCTGGGCATCTCGATTCCAGTCTTGGGACCGGAAAAGTTGTACGACTGACTGCGCATGCAGCTGACAAGCTGAGCCGGCCGCTTAGAGTTTCTTCGGCTTGCAATGTCGATCGTGGAGGGCGATTTGAATCGGAAGTCAGGCGTAGTAATTTCTGGCGGAGAGTGCGCCATGGATTCGGGGGAAAACTGGTCAAGGCCGTTGATATCCTCGGTCTGCATATGCTCCTGCTTGATGTCGACTTGATCCACCAGAGTACTGGTCAAGTAGTGCTCAACATCGGCAGACAAGTGCTGGAATGATGACAGTGACGAGGCGCTCGCAGAGTCGGCAATTTGCGGCATGAACTGGCTAGGTATGGAAAGCGTCAAGCAGGGTGCCTGGGTGCTGGCTTCTGAAGGCAAAGAGGACGAAAAGTCGCATGCCTGGCCCGAGAAGAAGTTGTCTGCGGCCAAGGAGTAGCTGATGTTCAAATCTTGAGGCTGGTAGCTGGTCGAGTCTGGCGAAGCATATTCCGAGTCGGTCGTTTCAGTCGAAGATTGTTGCTGATCTTCCAATACACCGACGCTCTCGATCTCTTCGACAGCCGGGCTCTGCTGAACGGACGGCGTCTCCACAGGTGTTTTGGTGGGAGGGAAGGGCGCGGCGGACGGGCGAAGGTCTTCATCTTGGTCGTTGGAAGCATAATACTCCTTGACAGTGTCGGTGCTGGCAGTCGTCGTCTCGGCATCTTGCTCCGACTTCCGGCGGGCTTCATTTTCTTGTGCCCGTCTCTCCTGCTTTGCCTTTGCTCTTCGGTTTTGGAACCAGTTCTGAGACTTAGTTAGCCGTCGGTTCAAGAGAATGGAAAAGGACTGCAAAGTACGTTGATCCTGGCAATATCCACCCTCATCTCCTCAGCAAGCTGCTTCTTCAGGCTGCTGTTGGGTTTATTGTTCTTTTGGAACTCTCTTTCAAGCTTGTCAACCTCGTCCTTGGCAAGCCTGGGCTTTGATTCCGTAGTCTTTCCTCCGGAACCAGGCATCATTTGGTGATTCATCATGGCAATGTGCCTTTGAAGCATCTCCTGCTCGTAAGAGCCATTCTGATAATACGGATTGGCAGGGAAAGGGGTAAAAGTGGCGGTGTAGTCAAACGGTGAGTAGTTTGAGTAGAACGCCATGGTCGCTGGTGAGGATCGCGTGGATCAGGTTCGAATCGTAAACCGTTCAACGGGAATTCGGTCTTTCAGACGACAGTAGGCGTAAAAGAATGTGTGTTCGAGAGCGAATGTGAGAATGGACACAACAGCTAGCATCAGCGGTGTGCGTTGTAGTTGTGAGAGATAACGAGAGACGCAGGCTCGGAAAGAGCCTGAAGTGTAGTCGGGTTGGACAGTGGTTTGAAAGAATGACTGAAGGTTAGAAGACCTGAGAGAGAGAGAGAGTGAGAGAGAGAGAGAGAGAGAGAAAGCCTGATAATAAGAGAGGATATGATGAGGGAACGTGGGTGTGATGGAGGCGCGGGATTCGGAACAGCAGATCGCTGGGAGCTTGTCCGGTTTTAGATCAATGGGGGGAGGACAAGCGGGTTAAGGAAGGGTTAGGCAGGGCCGTGAAGAGGTGAGACAAAAAGGTCTGTCAGAGTCTTCCCAAGGCTTGAGGGCGAGATAATTGATCTGTCTAGGCAAGGGCTTGGGAAGAGCACAGACGAGGCTTGAGGAAAAGGGCCAAAAAACAATGACAGGAGGAGTGGAAAGAGCGAGCGACGGGAGGGGAGGGGGGTGAGAGGTAGAAGATGTATTCATTTGTCGCCTCGACCCATCGTCACAAAGTCTGGGAGCCGACGTGGGTGTAAGTCGCGCGGTAGGTGTAGGCGCTGGGGTGGCGGCAGGGCATAGACAGGAGACGGATGGGGTCCTCACGTAGCCCGCTGGGTCCCCCCTAGCAGCGAGAAGATCATACTCGGGTGGAGATATCGGGAAGCACAGGGAGCAAGGGGGTCAACCTTTCAGTCGACTTTTGGGCCTCAGAGGAGGAGGGAAGAGAAAGGGGAGAAAGAGAGAGAGAGGCCCCGGAGGGTCTCTAGGGACGAACCAGGGGCAGGGCAGACAAGGTAGACAGGCAGACAGGCAGACAGGGTAGACAAGGCAAGGCAAGCCAGCAAAGCTAAGGCATGGTGGGCAGGACAAGGCCCGAGCGAACAGCGAGCAGCAGCAGATTGCTGTGCAAAGCGTGCAGACTGTGCAGAGAGAGAGCTATGCAACCCCAGAAGATTATCCTGGACGAGAGACGCAGGGAAGAGGGAATGAGGTCAATTGACGACGTGGATGACGGGGGCCGAGCAGGCTGAGAGTGTGTGAAGATACTATGAACATTGCGCGAGTCTGCAGGAGCGCGAGTGGCCCGAGTGGCGGAACAGCCAAAAGGCCGGACGGGTTCTGTCGTCCATGTCAGAATAGAGTCAGCGGGGAGGGGGGACAACAAGTGCCTTGGGTGACTTTTGAGTGACTCGCTGTCGCTGTGTGTGGTGTGTGTGTGTGTGCGTGTGTACGTGTGTGTGCGTGAGCGCGCGCGTCTATGTGGTGTGTGGTGTGTGCGCGCGATGAGCTGGACTGCGACTCGACTGCGACTCCAGCCAGAGACGTGGGTGCTAGGTGCTCAGATGATGGAGGATGGTTGCACCCACCTGAGAGAACCTGAATGAGAAGTGGAAGTGAACCCTTCACATCCACAGATGCATCCACACGTCCCCATGGCATGGCATGCCATCCCATGTTACGCCGTCCTTCCATCCCATCACATCCCACACCCCCTGGTCCAAGCCCCAGTCTCCTGTCTCGACCCCCGGTCCTTGGAGCGTCTTTACGTCCCTGGGTTTGGACGACGCCCCCATGTCGACTGGTACCACACTAAAAACTTTGGACTCAAATCCCCTGCTCTGGGCTGAAGATAGCCCCGCAGGAGTGGACGAGGTCTCTGGGTGATGGATGATAGGAAAGTAGAGCAGAGGGGCAAGTACTGTCAGTCAGTGACAGATACAGACATGACGACCAGGCACGATGACAGGGCGGTGACAGTCGGCCAAAGGGGACGAGGGCGAGACATTGCAGAGTGACAGGTCAACGCACCACCTCCCCGTCTAAGGGCACGAGGCGGGGCGGTGATTAAACCTGAGCAGCAGCTGGACAGGGCGAAGAAAGTTTTGGTTTACGCGGCATCTTGATCCGCCAGCTTCGGTCAGGCAAGGCAAGGCAAGGCAAGTGGTTGTAGAGGGACAAAAAAAAAAAAAAAGGGACGGTATACCATGTATGACTCGGTAGAGCTTGACTCGGAGGGGCAACAAGGGGACACGATAGGGACACTGAAGGGCAGAACAGTAGGGCAGGGCAAGCTTTCGGGCAGTACATGCCAGGAAAAGCCGAATGGCAACGACGATCCTAATGGCAACCTCTGATTCGGAGAGGCGAGGGCAGCTGAAGTCTGTGCTGAGTTGGTGTAATTGCTAGAGAGTGAGTGCGTGGGTGTGCGCGCGAGTGGCCACATTGTGTATGTGTTGATTGCTACGGCGAGGCATGGCGAGCAACAGAAACAGGACCTCGGATCGAACATTTGTTTTGGTTCGCTGACGAAACCATGCGGAAAGCAGGATAAACACATTCTGGCTGAGTTATGGCGACCTGGCGTGTAATTTGCCGCGAAGCACCTACGCCAACGACGAACGCTAGAATGTCAGGGCGGCAGCCGAACAGAGTGCTTTGCTGAAGCTAGCAACAAGAAACAGAAGAGGGTCGAGAAAAATTGTTTCGGGTAGGAAGAATCGCTCATATGCGTCTTGGGTTTCCTTAGTTGCCGGGGCGAGTTGACAAGTCCGGTTCTTTGTTAGTGCGTGCTAGGGCAATTGTTTAGCTGCGTAGCGTTTGCGCAAAGTTGGCAATCTCGGGGCAAGTTAGGATGGCATGGTGGACAGCAGCTCAAAATGAAAATCCGTGTGTAGCTCAGGCAAGTGTTTGCTCGGGCCAATTTTGATATCCTGTTGAGAAGCCGTTGATCTGGGCAAGAACATAGTGGTTGAGATGAGTGGCAACAGCAAGCATACGACTTTGGATAAGGCCTCAGCTACAAGGCTGGGAGGCAAGCCTGAGGCATTTCAAGCAGTGTTCACGTCTTCTGTCCCCATTGGAATGGGCAGTCCCTGTCCCAGTCACAGTTTCCCCCTCCCAGTACAAAGCAGGCAGGCATACACGTGTTGGTCAGGCCAGGCCGATATCGAAGGAAGGTACACCCAGCACCCAGTATCCAGTTTCTTGTAGTATGTAGAAGGGAGGAGCCAGCCAGCGTGCTAGTGGGGGAAGGCAAGTGGGCAAGTAAGTACAGAGTAGTGCAGTAATTCAGGGCCAGGAAGGTGGTTGTGGAGTTGCGCCATCCGCGATGAGATACCCTGTGCCTCCTGTACCACATAGTAGCGCCCTTTCCCCGTCCCCCCACCTTTTGGCCCTTCGCCTGTGCCTGTCCCTGAGCCTAAGAAACTCCTGCATGCCAGACAGTGTGGGATATATTGACACAGCCTCCAATTACACGGACCAACGGTTGGTGATGGCCTGTGTGCTTGTCATTTCCTCTGTCGCTGTCATAGACACGGGTGAACAGGGCACGGGCTGGCCGGGGGGAAGGGGGAAAAAAAGAGAAGAAGAAAAGATTAAAGGACAGTGCTGCGGACAGTGCGTCCCGCCGTCGGGCCGCTTGGTGCGCAGAGGTACGGACCAAGAGATCCATCAATTTTCTCTTGGTTACTTTGACACTCTGTGTACGGAGTACTTCGTATATACTCACCAGTGATGAGCGCCCAGTGGAGAGAGAGGATAGTCGACCGAGCAAGGGGACGTTATCCGCCCCTTGTGTGCTGGAGCTAGGAGTACGGACAGCCTGAGCTCAGGGTTACCACTTAGTAGTACCTGGATAGATCGAGATGAAAGCTTCCGGGCACCATCCTTCATCACTTGTCCGTTAATCAGTTTGCAGTTGCAGAAGTTGCAGTCGCGGTTCCTGTCAAGTATTACGCATTCCGTAACTTTGGCATCTTAGGGTTCAGTTTGTGAGGAAGGGGCTCGGTTTTCAGTTGTTCCGTACTGTTGTATTCCATGGAAGCATTCCTGGCCCATTAAGTCTTTCTTAACCCACCCTGCCCCAAACCCAAAAGCCCATACACGAACCCGAGGTCTTTGCAGACCTGCGGGCCCACTGAAGAAAGTGTGGCAGATCGCCCTCCGGTTTCCCAAGGTAGGCACACATCTATGGCACGGAAATGAAAGAACGGAAGGATGCCTTGACTTCCTTCCCTTGACACCTGAATGACCACAGCAACAGCTAGTATACATCCACCATCGATTTAACTAATCTCTCTGATCGTCACGTCACGTCACCGCCACCATCACTCTCTCATTCTCTGCAAGATTGAGCGGTCCCCTCCTCGCCAACCCGATGTGAATACCGCTCTGGGTGTGTTGAGGTTTCCACCAGCCTCACAACTAAACACCCTTACCCGCCCTGTGTCATGTTGGGTCATCAGCTTCCTTCTGTCTGCAAATCCCACCTTTGCATTATCCAGCTTCATCCTAGGGCTTCCCCACGACCACCACCTTTGCTGTTGATCCTGATCTTGTCGCTCTTTGTCTCGGAATGCCGCAACTCCAGATCGGCCTTGTACTTGCAAAAAAGAAAAAAAAAAAAAAAGAAATGAAAAAGATTTCAATACCACCTTGATACCACCACTGCAGCAGGTCTCAGTCAACCGCAAACGCAACCACTTTCCTACTGTGCTGCTGCTGTTGCTGCTACCTCTGCCGCCATGGTTAACGGATCACCACCGATCGCCAGGAACCATACGGGCTAGAGCCATGTCACTGCTACACAAGGCCCGACGAGTGGCTGTGGACTCGTCCCGCCCGTCCAACCCGTCATCTGCCCTTCCTACCCGCGTTACGACACCACCAAAGCAAAGCAAAACCGTGAAGCTGGAACGCACGCACTTGTCAGCCCGAACCAGACAACTTGACCCCCGTTCCTCCTAATCGCCAACTGCAATGGTATTGGTCAACGCCATATCGCCGTATCCACTCGCTCGCTGCTCATGTATGTTTGCCCCGACCGCCATACCCAACCCAAGGCGAGGCGTTCTGCTGTC